CGCTTACCCCACTCTCCCCTACATAGGAAGGGCAAAATTACGTATTTGAGGGCGAGTTTTAAAAATATAAAACAGTGGTTGGGTAGAAGTTTAAATGTGGGAGTGTTTAAGGCAAAAATATTTCCCATAAAATACCTGTGCCTTAGATAGGAATTACTCGCAATACTAGGTACTAGAAATGGGTGATTTGGGGATGGAAGCACGGCCCTATGCCCCCCTCCCTCCCCCAGATCCACTAGTGCACATAATAATACAACAGGATTGCAAAAAAGGATTGCGGATTTGATCACAATCCAAGTGAAAAAGGGGAATGCGGGTAGGAATGCAATCCACTTCGGCACTAGGAATGTGGATTGGGAATGCAATCCTTTCAAAAAGGATTTTACCGATGCCTGCTTGTTCCTGTACGGAGTTATTGGCCAAAAACCTTTGGTGACCTTTGATGACGTCACATGACCTCACAGCTGCCCAACAGCAAAACAGACCTCAAGGTAGTGAAGGTTGATCGTATATGAAGTCATGTATGGTATATGGGGCCATTCCGACCCGTTTTAGTGGTAAAAACAGGGAGTTGATTTTTCCCCCATTGACTTATAATGGGGAGGTCGCGAAACTGACCTGACCTTAGGTCACCGATATCAAAATTCCGAGATATACAAATTGCACATACTGGTACCCTAACTAAAGCCTGAAGAGAAGAAATTGATCGGTCAAAAACTCTAGCTCTGGCGTGATTGCAAACTTTTCTGAGGTAGGGTCACCAAACCGCCTCTGGTGACCTGACCTGAGGTCAGATCAACTCAAAATTTTCAGACATGTTGCGTAGAAGCCTTTTAGGAAAAGTCAGAAAATTTGAGCTTCCTAGCTCAACGCGTTTGGGAGAAATAACCAAAAAACCTCAGGGGGGGCTCCTGAGGCCCCCCCCCCCCGCCAGGAATAGGGTTAATTAAGGTCGTCAGAGGCTATAAACTAAACAAAAAATGAAGATTTCCTCGTGTAGTAGTGCAATTTGAGGCCCGTTGGGACCCTAAGTGGCTGGCATTTGCCCACCGGGACTCCACGCCGACTTCTTTAGATAATCCAGTAACCAGTTCCCGTCCCCACAGACAGACCACCAATCTGCGCCTACGTACGACCACCACGGGAGCCTGCTTCATTACGATTAGCAGCTACCTAGCCGCACACCGGTGACTGTCCAGCCAGAAGTTGGACGCCGCATAGTGAGGACGACGATAGGCAAAAACAAGTGACGCCCCGAGGACAGAAACAACAGATTGATACGTAAAGGCTATATACGGCCTTGCGTAAAGGAGACATTTTTGTCGGTAGAGCGTTGGACTCCACGTGGTGAGGGCACGCGTCCCGGTTATAACAGTCCGGGTTCGATTTCGAAGCGCGACAGAGTCGCTCGATGTCTACGAGCCTCCTGGCGAGTATGGTTACGGTTGGTGGCAGGCCGTAACCAGTCGAAGTTAGTGAGGCGACCGGCCATGCGCGGCTATGTGCATACGTTAAACTTTGGGCTCTAAATTCTGCCATAGATCATGAATTGCGCGATCGGAGGGTAGAGGGCAGGGCCAACGCAACAAGCTCTGCTTAGCGGGGGCTCTGTCCTTGTGAATCCTTCCATTCAAAAGGTTCGGACTAAATTTATAAAAAAGAATATCCGAGACACGGAGTTGGGCGCCTGAAAAGACGAAATGTAACGTATTGCTGAGCGAAAAAAAAAAAATGGTTCAGGGTCAGGTAAACAAAATAAACACTTGATGACAGGCCAAGTAATCGGGTAGGTATCAATGTGCTCACATTGCACCCATGTTTCGTTTACACATTTGCTTTTATGTGCACTGACGCCAAAAATTCGTTTGCCTTTTGGCTATTGCCGGCCCCCCCCCCCAGTAGTGACTTTTTGCCCTGACTGGGGGGGCCAGGCCGATGACTGCGGGGGTTTGGCCCCCCCAGTTAACATGTTAGACGAGGCCTTGTTTCAGACCCCATGAGACCCTGTTTTTCGGCGATAATTTATTTAATATTTATCCAATTGGCTTCAAATTTTCGCACAGCACATTTCAGCTCAAGCGCCAATTTTCGCTAATATGGTCTCTTAACAAAATATCAATTGTTAGGGTACTTGTCGTTGCCTCGTAATGTTAAAATCAGCTCCGTAAATCCGTCAGTGGAGTAGAGGCTATCCGTACGTAGGTGTGACGTCACAGGCACGTGACCATTAAGCTCCGCCCCCCCCCCCCGGCGGACGGAGCGGTGACCTTGGCCGGTCAGTCGGATGCGTGGAGCCGACGGGGCAGTAGCCGCCGCACCCAAGGCCGTAATGCCGGACGGGGGCGGCTCGCATTGGACGTGGCTGCCTTGCGGTTGCCGTTGCAGTAATAACGATACAGCAGAAACTAGCGCTCGTTATTAGCGCACTAGCCTTCGGTATTGCATTTATCGCAAATTAACCTAAACCTTGTCAATCAATAAAGATATATCTACTTTAATACTAAGTTCAGGGCTAGTGACTGCATTTTTGCTTGATTGAACGTCATTAAAAAAGGTCGTTGATGTCAATTGACTGTGAACTGATGCAAGACGTCGGTCAACCTACGTCAAATTTGCAAGACATGGTAAACAATATTTTAACCAACTGAAGTGTGGTTAAAATATGAAATATATTATGCTTATGCGTATGCCTGAGATGGATTCATGTGATTGAACACCTTCAGAATTAGCCCATTTTTTAATTGGCTAGATTGAGGTCACCGGACTGACTTGACCCCAGGCTTTCGTGTTGAACTGCAAATAATTATGATACCTGCAAGTAAGTACGCTACTGCCTCACTATTGGAGTGCTTGAAATGTTACTTAAGTTTCACAAAAAGACGCGATTTCTTTACTAGCCTATGCGCTTGTTTCCCTTATTCTGATGTCACATTTCTACCATGCGCAATAAATCGCACATCACATTTCTGCTCCCTTCTCAACGCTTCCCGAATAACGAACACAGCTCGTAGAGCGATGTCTGAGGCAATCGGAAGTGCTCGCGACTAATAATCCTACTCTGTTTTTTTTTCTGCATAGTTAGGTATAACAGGGTCTTCAGAAACAACAATTGACGCAGCCAACCATATCAATATTTTCGAGTAGTGCAGAGGCTTCGCATGATGTCATAGGTGACAGAATAGTGGCACAACCTGACCATGAAGTAGGCGCCAGAATGTGCATTCATTCAGATATTCAGATAGTGCATGACTCAGCTCTCTATTTAATGTTGGTTCTAGGGAAGTTGGTGCAACTCCCCAAATGAAGAGCAAGCTTTCGCTCAGGCACTTCCTGTCGATTCCATGTATGTTTCCAGTGCACGGCCCCCGCGCGACCTCTCCGCGGTGCTGCCGCCGACTGAGCCGGCAAAGACCCAGCGCGGCCACGGCCAGTGGGCGGAGCTTAGTTGGGCCCGGCGCAACGTGATTGGCCAGCGCTCCCATCCAATCCGCTGCGGTAGCGAACGAGCCTCTATCCGGGTGCAAAATCTAATTAGCATTACGAGCCAATGACAAGTGCTCTAAATATTGACATTTTGTTAAGAGACCATATTGATGAAAATCGGCGCTTGAGCTGAAATGTCTAATGTCAAAATTTCAAGTCAATTAGACAAAAACTGAAGAAATTATCGCCGAAAAACAGGGTCTCACGGGGTCTGAAATACATAGTAAATGTGTAGAGTATCTAAGCAGTCTGCATTATACGAGTCATTTTGATCCGTCTTTTCCTTCACTTTGACTTGAGAGCCTATGCTTTTTATTGCGCGAACTGAATGAGAGTTATCACATGTTCATTGTTCCTATTGCATGCATTCATATTTATTTGTGGTGTCATTATAATATGCAAAATCAGGGGACATCGATGCGTGTCAGCCCGGTGAAATGCCAGTTGATGAATAGCTGTTTGGCCCATTTTAACACTGCGTCGGCATTTACACAGCTTCCGAACGATATGCCTGATAAGAGAGCATGAATTCTTAGGTATTGCGAGCTGTGTAGGCATTGGTGCCTGTCCAGTGTTCACACACTATACCCATTGTGGCATAAATAAGACATTCTTAGCTTATAAAGATATGTAGTAAAAATAGGTTTTTGGTCTTCTCATTATGTTTAAGTGGTATTGCATTTCAAGTTGCGTGTAGAGGGATTCATTTTCCGTGTTTTGTCGTAAATAAAAGTGAATTAGCTGTTAAAACCAACACTTATATAACTACAAGCTTGGATAGTAGTTTCTTGGATTAGAAGTTTTCACTACAGGAATGAAACTTTTGCACTACAATGACGAAAACGTCATCAATCGTCATCAGATATCGTTGATTTTCTGAAAGAGCACTTCCGGCAGAAGAAAACGCATTACACAAAATGATCGAAGTGTCTTCACTTGTTATTTATTACACTATGCTATAACGTTTCCAGTGGTGACCGTCGAGCGTATCGAAGCAAACAAATTGATATACCAAGCACCCGCTGACGACAGATTCTATCAAAGCTCGTGAATGGCTTGCGGATCTATTCTATTCACGAGCCAACATATGGGAATGTGTAGAACGGAACAACATAAAATTACAGCTAGCCCAATCGGTAACACCTCTGATCAAGCCCCGGTCCATAAAGCCGTCATGAAGACCGAGCTGTCGGTGACGCTGGTTACTTTAGTTTAACGGTATGTTTTAAATGCAATCTGCCAAGTTCATGCCGTATAAGAACACTCCGTGTCATTTAACGTCTTACATTTCAAAATATCTGCCCGTCGTGAAATTTTTAACGATGACACTTAAATCCAAGGTAGAAATGCATCAATTCAATTCAGCTCATTCCAAATCGGCCTGTTTATCAACATTCAACATCAATAAAAATGTAGCGTTACGCCGATTCGTCTGTTTCTCCCGTCTATTTAGCGATTTGTCCTACCGCGGAAGCCCCCCTCTCTGTAGGATGTAATAGGTGTAGCGTTCCGTTTACCTTGTGACAGCAGACCGCCGAACATGTACCACTGAATACTGAAGTAGCGGACTTTGGCGTCAGGCCGGTGCGGGTACAGTTTCGGTATCAGATGCTCGGCGAAATGGTCCAGGAAAGACATCACCGGAGCGATCAGTAGGAGAGTCAGCAAAACCGCCACCCACACCTGAAACAAACAGATAGGTAATCATCATGTCTATTATACCTACACTTCGGCATTAGGAAACAATTGATTCGCGGTTGAATCAAATTTTAATGGTTTACACTTTACAGTAATAACTCATAATCATACATGATATTTCCATGGTTAAACATTACCGGCAAATATGCTATAAAGTATAACAAACCCTAACAAAAAATAGACTTAAAACGCGGCTGTGGGTATTTATAACATTCTTAACAAGGTCAAGGAAGACAAACGTCCTAATAGTTCGCGTGGATCGAAAGACGTTTCCCCATAGGCGCGGGAGCCGGGGGGGGCAGTGGGGGTAGCTTGCCCCCCCCCCCCCCTCCAACTCTGGGGCCGTGGGGGCGGTGCCCCCACAGCTTTGAGACGGAATACCACACTTTTTTTTGCAAATGTTTTCTTTTTTGTTGAAAAAGCCGAGGGGTGAAAAATAAGTGGCCTAAAACCGGTGAGAAAACTAGATTTGGGGGTACCCTAGGTTGATCTCTATTATGGTGTGCCCCCCCCCCCCCCCCCCAGTCGGAAAGTAGTTCCCGCGCCCCTGCGTTTCCCTGTTTATAACTGGTAATCCGGCTATCATTGGTAAAACCGACTATTTATTCCATAGACGCCATACACGTACCTTCACAAACCTCTAGCTTTTCCAAATTCCACGTAGCCCTGACCTCTCCCATCTGATGGCATGGCAGTATTGAGTCATTGACCAGCTCTCCCGCTTTACGCTGCACAACTTTATTTATCGTGTGACTGGTCGGGCGTAACAGCGACGGAGGCTCTGGGTAGGCTGTACCAATGCTTCGGTGGCCGGCGGCGCAGTCTACTCGCAGACGGCAATCAGGGTATAACGTAGACGGCAACGTGCTGCAGCGATAGTCGTTAATGTCATACCTAATTTAACAAATTATCAAATGAAAAAGAAACCATGATTTCCCACGCTGCATGATTCCCAGTGCAGTTCCAACACTCGACGCAGCAACAGTAGCAGCTGTTGTATTGTGCACGATAATGAGAAAGGAGCCGGATCTGTTTCTAAGGAGCCTATCACGGCACACGGTGTGCACGTGCCTGCAGAGTGACGTAAGCTGTCAAGATCGTCTATTGCAATCTGGATTGCGGCTTTAAAAAAACTCGGGTTTGTCTTTCTCGACTAACTATAGCGCCTCGGGTGTTCGGCGCCACCTTCGCTGGACCGCGGGGATGTTTTAACCCAAACACGCCCCCCCCCCCCCCGACTAACTCGACCTCCGGGCCACGTAGCGACACTTGGTCAGCGAAATTCAGAGAAGTGTCAAAATAAGGAGGAGGGCATTCAATTAATGCAATTATTAGGTCACGTCAACGGTCAGGTCACCAGAGGTCATCAAAGGTCAGCTTTTGCCCAATTTGACACTTTTTAACAAATCGGTGGATAACTCTGGAAAGAATATAGAGTGGAAAATTGCATTTGAAAGCCTTTTGAAATCTCTTCTGAAGAATGTCCTTAGATTTGATCAAAGGCCAATTGTGTAGCAATACCATCCAGGGTACAAAAAAGTTCAAATTGACGCTTTTGTTATCGTTTATCGTTTTGGATTCGCTTAATCTTCAATAGCTTTTAATATATAGGAACCAATTAAGTTTTTATGTCGTTGAATTTATCGGCACCGTGTTCTTCTCGTCGAGATGCACCGAATCAACTATAATTTGACCTTTAATAAAGGCAACTAAAAAATTGACAAAAGCACGAGGTCATGACCAGACCGGACAAGGTCATGTTACATGCACTATCGCAGTCGATCTGTATCGTTAAGGTGGCCACATTCGAGTGCTTTTACGCTCTATAAAATATCTCTATCAAAAGTCATTGTCGTAAAACTGCTAGTTAACTTTCATGACCTAAAATGCCCTCGGAGGTCTATAAGGTTGGGTCATGGGTCCAATTTACCGAGTAAATATTCAATATTGAATAATATTCAATATAAATATTCAATAATATTCAATTCAATACTCTTAGACGTTGTCGACGCGTTTAGAATGGTATTCGTAAAAAGTACGTTCCATTTTATCCCATTTACTACTTATCATGGAGAGGTTACAAAATTGACCGAACCTTAGGACACGCATACCATATTGAAAATACGCGACATTCGTTTCGTACATTCTGCATCCTTATCAATCCCTGGGAACCACAAAGAAATAAGTCCGTCAGCGCAGCTCTGACGAGCATGAAAACTTTAAGTTTTGTCACTGTGACTGGACATGAACTGGTGACCTGACCTTGAGTGACCTGTGTCAAATTTTCACGCATGTGCAAAATAAAGATACATCAAAGGTCTGCCATCTACCCAATAGCAATCTAAAAGCAGGCTGCCCATTTTAGTTAAACGAGTTAAAATGGGATTTATGTTCCTTACAAAGCGAGAATATCTATGGGCAAACAATGAATGCCCATCGATACGTTGATAAGTTGTAGTGCTGGCATTTGTGGCTACCGTACCGTTAAATGCTGATTTCTGAAGAAATACCACAACTACTGAGGTAACTCATCTCTGTATTATAAACGATAGGTACATGTCCAATCAAATTGTCGTTGGAAAAATTAACGCCAAATTAAATGGCGTACAGTATACGGCCGGGCGCTCAGTCGGCAGTGGCGTACAGAACGGACGTCAGACTGCGGGCGGGCAGCGTCAGGCTGACGGAGCCGCGAGTCGCGTCCGTGACGACCACCTGCTGCGCCTCCTCGGCCCTGTTGAGCAGCGTCACCACCGTCTGGCCGTCCGCACGCAGACCGACCACGCCCTTCAGACTGTCGGACGGATCCTCCATGGCGACGATGTCCGTGCCGTGCGGCAGCAGCACCGAGAAGTGGCCCAGCGCGTAGTACATGGGCTGCTTGAAGAACTGGTCGCCGTGCGCGTCTATGATGATGGGCGAGTCCACCTTATTACCGGCCCAGTTGGGTCCGCCCGTCATGTCGAGCGCGATGTTCCAGTCCACCCATCCGGTGACCCAGTTGTTGAGGTCGTCCAGGATGTCGGCGGCGTAGGTATCAGCGCGCGACCAGGCGCCCAGCGCCACCTTCTTCTCGACCATGGAGCCCTCGCAGGCCTCGGTGGCGATCAGCGGAACGTTCGGGTGCAGATTGTGCGTGTCGGTGAGCAGCGAGGCCGGCGCATCCCCGTCGCGGTACCAGTGAACGCCGATGGCGTCCACATACTGAGCGGCGTCGGCGTCATCCAGGATGGTGTTCACCCAGTCCGGCAGCAGGATTCGCTGGTCGTCCAGGATGATGATCTTGGTGTCGGAGAAGTTGGCGTTGCCGCGGATGGTGGGTCCAAGGTTGTCGCGCACCCAGTCGCGCTGCATCTCGGGCGTCCAGGCCATGGTGTTCCAGAAGCCGTACGAGTCCAGTCCGTTGGTCGGCTCGTTCTGCGTGGTGATCGCCTGGATCGGGATCCCGTTGGCCACGTACTCCTCTAGGAAGCGGACGATGTAGTCGGCCCACAGCTGGTAGTACTCGGTCTTGAGGAAGCCCATGCCGATGAAGTCGTTGTTGGTCTTCATCCAGGCCGGCGCCGACCAGGCCGAGCCGAAGAGCTGCAGGTCGGAAGCGAGTTCCCGCGCCGCCAGGATGTGAGGGATCTTCAGGAGGAAGTCCTCTTCGGTAAGGGCGAACTGCTCGAGAGACTCATCGCCCGGGTTGTCGTCGTACGAGTAGGGTCGCTCGGAGAAGTCGGTGCCGGCAATCGGCACCCGACCCAGCTTGTAGCGGATGCCCTCCTCGGCGAAATACGCGCGCAGCAGCTGGTCCTGCACCTCCGGAGACAGGCTGTTGATGTTGACGCCGGCCGCGTCCGTGAACGCGCCGCCGAACCCGCTGACCTGCTGGCGGGTCTCGGCCTGCGGCACCCGGACACCGGTGACCCATTCCGGCGGGCACGCCTCCGGGCCGAACTGGGCGCTGGTCACGGCGAACCGGTCCCCACCACGGGACGAGGTGACCACGAGCACATCGGCGCCGGACGGCGGCGTCAGCTCGGGGAACGTGTCGCAGTAGGTGGCGTTACACACGCACACCACGCTATCCTCGTCAAAGGTAAGGGGCGAGCAGGGCAGCGCGGCGGCGCCGGCACTGAGCGCCAGCAGCGCGGCGGCCCAGAGCAGCGGCACACGGGACATGGTCGGAGCGGGGCGCGGGTGTGGCGGCGGCCTGGCCCGGACGCCGCCTTTTGTGACCGGCTCAGGTGGCGCGTTCCCAGGGGCTGGGCGGGCCGGCCCTGATAGCGGCTATCTGCTCGTGCGTCGTCGGCACCGAGCTCCGCCTGCAGATGTTCCCGCGACACGGCGCAGCCTTATGAATGCGAGGTCCGTCTATCGTGGCGCTGGTAGACGGTTTTTATTATTGGGGACTAAAAGTGAACGTCACCATTGTGCAGCGATCTGACCCATGCCCAGCTGACGCAAGTGTGAGTGACGTGGATGTCAAAAGCGTTAATCGGAACAGTATCCGGGCTTTTATTCCCTGGCAATGTCTTCTACATTAAGCCTTCATTTTACCTACAAACGGTCTCATGAGACTTCGCTATGACCTTGGAACACTCTTGATGCTATAACTTACACCTATGCTAGATCAACATATAAAAAGCATGAGTTATGTAACACGACTTATGAGGGAGATAACTGTGTAGGCATCCCTGGTAAAATGACAGCTGTCAGACCTCACCGTTGCAATACAGAACTAAGAATTAGGGTGCGTAGCGGAATTCTTCCATTTCTCCATGCCGGAAAGACGTTAAAATTTTCAGAACGGGGAAACAGAATCTTTACGAAAAGTGTAGCGGACCGTGGGAAAATTAAAACCATGTTCCCGTTTCTCCTTTACTCCTTTATAAGTGGTTATTCAAGCGGATCGGTTTACAGATTTATCCCCTGCAGATGATGCTTAGGAATAGGACTACAGGTGCACAATAGTTTTCGTTATAGTTGATATTCTCCTCCTGGCCCCGTGCTGTACTCACTCCCCACGAGAAGGGCCGCACCACCGCGAACAGCTTGCTGCCCGGCTTCGGAGGCGGCATCAGAATGGCAGAGGGTTCCTCGTAGAAGGGGATGGTGAAGTCGATGCCCTCCTCGCGGACCTGGCTGATGGTGAAGCCAGCCACGCCCAGATTCACCTCCTGGAAACACACGCCGGATCGGATCAGACTGCGGGCGATTTTTTGCCAGATTTACGCCGATCTACCCCTTGATATATTTTATTAGCATAATAGAAAATATCATATGCATCATAATCACATGTATCATAACCATAATACATATTATATGAGTCAATACGAATTTGCTTCGTATGGCACAGTTACTCTTACTTCGGGTATCACATTCCATAGAGACATGTCTACTCACATTTGAACACATTCATAGCTCATGAAATATCGATAAGATTTACTGTTTGCCGAGTTCATTGTTGTTTATTTACCTGCCTATCAGCATCGACCTCTAAGACATGAAACAGGCGACTTTGACCTGGATCTAAGGTCTGACGGCATACCGGTGCAACAAGGGAATCCTGGACAAACAACCCGCTAGTTAGGTACGTATTTACACCTGGCGTCATACATTCCGGCTATCACCGCAAAATCTACTGGCACATCCAGTCATGAAAGCTGTTACTATTGACAAAGCCGGCCGTGTGGCTGCTGCGCGAACGGAATGGCGGCAATGTAGGAGCCAAATTTAAAGTATGTACGTCACGCCAATGTAAACACCACACAAGAATCAAACACTCCGAACCAAATGAGCAGAACCGGGGATGGTTTAGTTACTGCACACATTTTTAACGTCTATCAATCAAAACCAATGTCTCGCTCTTTTGATAAATTACAGGAGCTGCATAGCGTACCAAATTTATCAACAGATATATCTCTTCGCGTTTCGTTTCATACATGTGGTGCTGATACAAACTTGATAAGATTACACATTCAATTCTCATACATATTACATAATGAACAATAAGCCCAGCGTTTGTCGATATAAACTCACGGATCTGTTAACCATGCCGACCATGCCATTCCATGTTCCGTTTTCCAGCCGCTTTCCCCAGTTGCCGTCGTACGGTAGCCGCAGCTCCGTCCTGCAAGAGAGTCAGGCTAGGGCTGCGCAAAAGATAACACATTGATTTGGTGTCTGTCCAGTCCCGCTCCCGATCCCTGAACAACTGTGAGGTGTTTGTGTGGTAGGTGGCTAAAGATTCCACACCATGTCCTCACCTAAGCGAAAAAATGCGCCTTTTAATTGTCAGAATTATGCTAAGAATTAATAAAACGTCTAATATTGTCGTTAACATTGTATGAGCGGGTAAGAATTTAACATGAATTGCCAATAGTCCTAGCTTAGAATGGGTGAGCTCTTACCTAAAACCGTACTTTTCCTTTAGGGCATTCAGCATCTCGAAGCAGAAGCCCTGTGCGTCAAGTATTGTCTTCCCGTCTGTGGCCATCTTCAGGATAATAAACGGCGGCCTCTGGAAGCAAATAAAACGTTTTGAAAGGCAATTGCTTGAACGGCCATAGCTTCATTTATATCAGAACATTTTCCATTTTAGACAGAGGTATCTGATGCCACGAGCGGATCCAAGGAGGGGCTTTGGAGCATTTACCTCCCTGAAACGTCCGAAGCTGGCGCCTGGTGGGAATTTGTCATTTTCCTCGCATCTAATGAAAACCAAACATTACAACTTGAATCAAAACAGATAATTTCCATTGCAAAGCAGCGGAAAATGAAGCGTAACCTGATAAGTTTTTGGAAGTTGCGAAACTTTTTGGGGTGATTGCCCCCGCTCGCATCGCCCAATACCTCCTTTCTGGATTCGACAATGTCTGATAGGCAATGGAATTCTTTACAAAACTGATCAAACCATATGAGGACGACCATGCTGTATTCGTCGCATATCGACTTTCGGCTCCCCGTTCCTCCTAAACGAAAGATTCGATGCACAATGAATGGATGTGATATAGGCCCTTGATGCATTGTGGAAAGGATGTCGAGCATTCATTTGCAACAAGAATTTTGCGATTAATATCATGAATTGTTTGAAGTTCCGATTACTCAATGTGCATAGTTTACTTCATTCACGTTGATACGTTCACTTATTTATATCTTGCCGGCGTCGAACCTAAATAACATTGGGTTACACAATACATAAGCACTGATTGTTCGTAGAATCAATGCGATCATGGCCTGGTGCCTTACCACACAACGGATTATAAAACTATTATGATTGTTTGATCATATGTAATGTACAGGGTGTCTCAAAAGTTCGTTCACAGGTACCAGCCATGCTTTTTTGTCAATAATTATGAATCAACAAGAAATTAACAGTCGAAATTTTGCATGGGCATTGGTGACAACCTTCCTCAAGCAGTCTCATTGTTTTCAAGTGCATTCGACCCTTCATGAGCTCACAAAAAGGGTTCACCTCTGACCTTGGGTTAGGCACGAAAATGTAGGTTGCAAAGTCGGGTATGTTGTGAAACTCTCTGTTTCAGGAGTAATGGGAATGGTTAAGTCGGAAATGACACATGGCTAAGTGTCGGCGAGGATGAGCGCAACATGATGATCATCTCATAAAAACGGTGGCTAAAATTTTTGAAGGACGAAACCATGCGAGACTAACGGCGTTTTGAACGACCCTCGCACGACAGCAGACTCGTGTTCCGGAAAGCAGCTGAAAATGCGGTCATAACTATTGAAAACTGGCAAGAAGGTCACAGACAGAGGTTACCCATTTTCAAAAAGTGCAGGTCATCGTAAAATAAAGACAAATTATAATTTAAAATTGTTTATAATATCTATAACGCTAATTTTGGGTGACAATAACACAAAAATCGTCAATGCCAAGGACACCTGACCCTCCAAAAGTGTCAGTTATTGTAAAATTTTATCTAACGAAGTTTCAAGATGCAGATCTGCAGCGAATAATTTTCTTTTAAACACAAAATCCCGATAAAACCACACGGTGGACAGGTTTGGGCCGTTTACAAAGCAGAACATCTCCCGAGGAAAACACTCCGCAACCGAGCGAAGGTCTTGGCATGGGTAATGACGAGCACTTGGAATTTGCAAAATTTGCACAATGTGTCTGAGAAACAGACGTCCGACACATTCTGCTACCATATGATGCGAAAAATTTACTCCTGGCACTTCCCGTTTGTTCAGGACTGGGGTCGTTTTGAAAAGGAAAATGGCGCTTGGGATGTCGGCGCCAGTCATTCATGAAGGAGTTAGAGCCAGAGAATGCCTACAAAATACTCAAGAATGGTGCCGATGCAAGCTGTCGGCTTTCAGGGAAAATCAGATGTTGCCGGGGAGCTAGTCAAAACTAAATCCGACGCAGAAAGTGCAGGGGATTCTCCTGCAAGAGCTTGAAAGCTGGTACCCTTTTATCAGCCTCCGGCAGCTGACGGAGCAACAAAAATCGGTATGGGCAAATATTTTTGGAGATACAGCAAAGGGGTTGGTTTCCAACCTTCTTAATCAGTTGTCAAAGCATGCATATTTGTCTAGTGTACACACAGACACCAAAACCTTATACTTTTGGCCGGTTCTTATATGCTTTATTGGCATGGGAAATGTGTGAACGAACTTTTGAGACACCCTGTAGCTCAAACGCTACATTGAAGAACAATTATCTCATTTACGACATTGCAAAATTTAAATCGTGGCTTATGAGCGTCCAGCCAAATTCGGTAAAAGGTCAGCACGCGTTTATTCACCTGTTAATTAACAGGTGAGACCGCAGGGTAGCCGACCGGCAGCGGTATCAAACTCACATGGATGGTGACCACCTGTAGTGTGCGGTTCCAGAGCTGCTGGCGCGCCTGTCTGAGCCGTACCTCCTCCACGTCGAACCCGTCGCTGGTCCAGGAGCGGCGCTGGAGTGAGCGACGGTCGCGGGCCGCCCCTGCCGAGGGAGGAGGGGTCAGCTCAGCGAAGGTCGGGCGAGTGTCCAGGAGCGGCGCTGAAGCGAGCGGCGGTCGCGGGCCGCTCCTGCCGGACACAGGACAGATTAGCAAAGATAAGGTGTCATTAGTTGAGAGGCGGTCGCTGTTCACCCCTGCCAAAGATTAATACAAATACCTATCTCCTGCCACGATTGAGACTGAGAGGATAATTTGTCAGGTCATCTATCTGTAGCAGGACAGATCCGCGGGGTGCTATCACGATTTCCTCATTCCCGGCCGTGAACGCCTGTCAAGTGTCAACCCGTTCAAACAAAACAAATCCCAATCGATCGGCCACCTGATTTGTTTGCGAAATGTAGGCATGCGTGTGTTCAAAGTCGGGTAGGTAGGGAAGCAATCATACAATCACTTTCCGCGACGTGCGGGGAGACAAAGAAATTTTGTTTGTTTGTTTTGTTGGGTTAGGCCCTTTCGGTCCAATTAGACCATTGCAAAGCCGGAAGGATGTTAGGAATTAGGGGGAGACATTGGTCTGGGCAGGCACCCTAGTGAGTCACCGGGGCTGAACCCAGCCCGAAGGATAGGCCGACCAGCCCCAAGGTACTCACTGCACCCGGCTACGGGGTGCGCTCCCTCGGGAGCAGCGGTGCCGCTCCAAGGGAGCGGCCCGCATGAGATAAAGTTGCCTGTCCAGCCCGGAGGAGAAGAATTTCAGTATCCTGAGGATAGAAGCATGGAACGGTGATGACAAAGAAATTACAGCGCACAGGTAGGCATAGCATACCTATCGTTCTATGGCTCTACCGTTCAGCGCATAAATCCGAGTATGTATACCTACTTACCTACAACCCCAGCCATATGGTGCCACGTCCTACATCTTATTTATTATTGACGGGATAGGTACGAGAGCTGAACCCCCTCGGCAATCTCAGTCACTGTACCGCGCCATGTCATCCGGCACAGCATAACTTCGGGCGCGGATTACAGTGCCATCTAGGAGCGCCAATCTCAGTTACAGTAAGGAGCCCTCCGGCACAGCATAATTTCAGGCGTCTATTACAGTGCCATCTAGGAGCGCAAATCTCAGTTACAGTAAGGAGCCCTCCGGCACAGCATAACTTCAGGCGTCTATTACAGTGCCATCTAGGAGCAGGAATCACATTTAAAGAAGGAAACCCTCCAGTACAGCATATTTTCAGGAGTTTGTTATAGTGCCCTGGACAAAAACCAAGAACAGAAATTGAACATAACAGAACAAGCACGAAAAATAAGTAGCCAAAATTGTTATCACTTAGTTCCTCTAACAAAAGGGTCGTTTGGAGGGCAATGCATATGCAACACAGACGAGAGAAAAATGACCGAAAGTCTGATAATGAACATCACGGGAAAATTCAGAGTCCCGTGCCCGAATCTAAGCCACGCCATGCATGTCATTACAAAGTAAGACAAGTTGAAAGACGGCAAAACACAATTTATGGCAACACTGGGTCCTTTGACATTTCTCAGTGAGAGCAACCAGCCCAGCGACGCCGTTCTCTCTGAAAACAGGGCTGTCACTGTAAACATAGAGACGATTCAGATGTGATTTACCACCCCACTGATCCCGATGACTCACCGGCCGGTCGGCAGCAGGTGATACAGATCAGCAGCAGCAGTAGCAGGCGCTGACCGGTCACAGGGTACCCCGGGCCGGGCAGGCGACCCGCCATGGCGAGCGCCCGATTGCCACTGACGCCCCGCCGCCGGACGGAGACCAGCCGACCCACCGGCCACCGCGTGCATTGGTAAACGCAGGCTCAGTAGCAGGAACACAGCGCCCACTGCATACTGAATGGGGTCATGACCTCGTCCAGCCACTGACGCAATGCATGAGTGGTCACTGATATAGAACAACATGCGCACAAGTATGCATTGCATAGTACCAATACGCACAGAGCAAAAGGTCAGCGAAACTGACAGAAATCATTGCCGCTTAAAGCTACCTCGAATTACCTACCCTCAATGGCTTCCAGGCTCGATACCCAGGCTCGATGAGCAGACACGTTATAAGACCGCATTGTGGGCAATCACAACCTTGTTTCTCGAACCCCGTAGGCTGTACCTGGGCTGGGCCTTGGCTCTGCGGCGGGCGCAGACACACCTCGGTGGCTCGCTAACACGGAGATTAGGCGCCATGTCCGGCCAGATCACTATAAGCGACAACGGCGTACAGCAGGAAACTTCCTCGCATGAAGATCATCTGGAGGAAGACGGGCCCAAAGAATACTACGATCCATAGACCACTATATACCTTTGCAGATGGCATATAGTGGTCTATGTCCGATCGCGTAGTCCTGTCACACTAGAAAGCTTCCTTTTGGGACGTCAAGAGACGGGTGTCCCAACTGAGTACTGATGCGAGGAAAAGTGGTGTTCTTTACCGGTAAAACAATAGCACAGTGTGTGCAGAGGATGTCCGACCGACAGATCAATTATTGCAATGGCAAACAGGCGGCCACCACCCGTCGGACGGATCATTATACCGTCCACAGCCGGTACTGTCATTCAAGTTGAGTCCATCACAAGACACCGTCTGTCACATGGCAGTTGAAGGTCACCAAATGTCACACAGGACACTGCCACACCATACACAGGATAAAGGTATTCAGAGCTATCATATCATCACGGTGCACGTTAAAAATATGAAAACAGTGCAAATGACAGTAATTTTGTTGTGCTTCTCGACATTAATAGCATGTACCGAGCACCGACCTTTGTTACTTGTAAACAGAACTGATTAAGAAAAAGTAACAACACACCTTATGTATGACCTCCTAGTTATTGCCTGACCTTGACCTTCAAACCTCCTAACACCGTTTCTACGTAGGCAAATAATTGTCTGGCATTGTCTCAGACACAACAAAGCTCTAAGGGCCATACTGATAAAAATGCCCTTTCATGGCCACCGACTAACCGTCTTTTCACACCACCTAGACATGCCGTCATTTCTGAAGACCCAGACCGACAATAAAATGTTGTTGTTTTCCCCTGAATCCCTTGCGGTTAGCTCTAATGGCAGTGGCAACCCCTCAGCCCCCGTCCAGCTAGCGGCGGCTAGCGGCGGCTAACGTCACTCCGTAAGAGGATAGTTACAGCACCAAAGCGGCATGTTTGTCAACTATGCTTCTGCATCCTTGGCGCTCGGTGGCGACCAACCCACTCATCACAATCCGTGAGTACAAACCATCGTCTATATTGTCACCTGAATCACACCCGTACACACCAATAACAAACACATGAGCCCAAGGAAGTCAGTTCCTTTACAATAACAGCGACAGTGTGGGGTCGGTGTATCACTTCATGGCGCTGTAGCGCAGGCAGGTCTGCAGCAGGAACAGGGTCTGGTCGAGCTGCGTTTCGGCCAGCGAGAGCCGGTCGGTGACGGCGGCGGCGCGAGCCAGCTCGGCCCGCTCCGGCTCCGTCAGAGCCTCCTCCACCTGGCGGGGAGGGTGCAGATACGTCACATGGAGGTCACACGGGGTCATCACGGGTCAATGATCACGTGAGCGTGAGTTGCATGGGGTTACAGTGTTACGTGGGAATTCGTATGGTCACAGTGTCATGTGCGTCACAGTTGGTAACAGACGGTGCCTTCCCTACATAACGGAGGCGGCGAACGAGTCACAACTCACAGGGGGTCAAAAGCAGGTCGACGGATTATCAGCGAGGGGCAGCAGGTCACACAACCACATGTCTGCCGAGATCACGACACCGAGTAATGCGGTGTTGTATCAGGTCAAATCCGGGCCGTCGCTAACGCCATCTATTGACAGGAATACCTACTACAAGGTGCCGTCGCCTCGAGCGATGCGGTACAGCATTCCCCCAGGCTGTCAAACTAACGCCATCTGCGAAATAACGGTTAGCAACATTGCGACACCCGGTACACTTGAATTCAGGCGTCAAATACTGGCGTAATGTGCTGTTCCGGAGATCATCAGACTTCCTGTTGCGTTGCCTGGACCGCGGGTCCCCGGACCAAGCTATATGTGCATTGTGCACGCTCAAATACATCTAATTTGTTTGCAGATAACAATGAGCTAACGCATTCTCTGGCATTGAAAGTTGAAAATGGTATGACACAGAGCGTCACTTATCACAATACAACAGTCCAGCGCACCCCTAACATTTTCGTCCGTCAGGACCGAAAACGTAGCAGAGCGTGGTTTCGATCCACGGACCTCTGGGTTATGGGCCCAGCACGCTTCCACTGCGCCACTCTGCTTCCTGCCACCCACCGCCTCGGAACGCAATATGACGCTTCTGCAGTATTACAGCCATGCTAGATATAGAATTGTGCAAGCTGTATAGTGTATATCACAAAATCGTGCATGATGCATCCGTTAACAATGTCACAGGAATTTCTAGTCAGTGATGCACCAGCGGACGGCACCACAATTCGGTATGTCGGTATGTCGGAGTCGCTGTTCGTTCGTCCCAGGTCGACCGACAGCCGCCTGTGGTTTATGCAGAGACTGGTTTCAACAGGACAGTCAGGGGACAATCGGACAGACTGGGTTAGTGGGAGCGCTAATAGCGCTTTAAATGATACCAGCGGCTTGTCGGCAGTGACTGGCACCTAATCTATGGGAGATCGACAGTCGTTAAGCCAGTAAAGGAACGGAAAGATGAACAGCGGTCATTCTGAAAGCACAGAGCGGCCAACTGGTCGTCGATAAAAAAGTGTGAAAGAGAAGGGATAGAGGGCAAAAGGAGGAAAGAGAGGGAGGGAGAGAGATCCGTGCCCCAGCGCACCGGTGCAAGTGAGTGAAGAAGGGACGGGCATTCGGCAGGGGAGGCGATGCGGTCCCCTTTCTGTCCGCCCGAGGTTGGCACAGACTCATTGCACAACATGCACTCCAGCCAACGACTGGTAAGCAGCCATTGCAACCCCTCCCCTCCCCTCCCCGGCTAACGGCAGGGTCCCCGACCTCTACAAGGAGCTGTGTAAAATATGGTAACAGTTTTGTTGTTATCGTGCACGCGAAACGACTACCGCCAATCAATACCGCCAATCCAGCCGCTTAATTATCGAGTGTTCAGAGCGGCGTAACTCATTCGAATGTCGTATCCAATGTTGGCAATGAAAGTAGCACGACTTCCAATCAAGTAATTCGAAATGAATGCCGTAGTTAGTGGGAGCAATGAGCGCCAAATCGGACCGGCAGCTGTCGGTCAGGCCATTTCGGCACGTCGGTCTCGGGCAGCCGACGGTCGTTTGTAATTCAATCAGTAACCGCGCGGGGAAGGCCGATGGGAGTGGGCTGGTCAGACGGACATCAGTCGACCACCGGAGGTTGGTAGGAGTTCTACTCAGATTGAAACCAAAGCCGACGGAGCGCGTAGTGGAGTTGGTACTGAGAATCGTATTACGGTTCGTAACAGCTTCTGTCGCCCTGATTGAAGTGATGGAGCTCGGGAGAAACGGCCCAGCTCGATAACCACACGCCCGATCAGAAATGGAATCACAGGTAGTTTCAGGCGCTATTGGAAAAGAACGAGTAAAGGAAGGAAAACGGACAAAGAATGAAAAAATAAAAAAAAACTGAAAGGGAGCAACGTAACTTATGCTAAAATGTATTCAGCAAAAAACAGTTTCCAGCATTACCACTTAAAGCAGAGGTAATTCCCGGCGCCGTCTCACCAGCTCTGCCAGTTGCTCGTCGTCGGAGGGCTGTGACCTGGGTACGGGGATGCACCAAGGTCCCCTATTAGGACCGCCACTACCGCTGTAGGCGGCGCCGCTGCGGCGCGCGGTGGAACGGGGGTGCGGGCTCCCAGTCGTGCGCCGCTCCGCTCAAGCCGGCTCGCTCTTCTCTCTGCCCCGGTTGCCTCCCCGCTCTGCCTGCCTGGAGAGCCGGGACGGCCGGGACTACCTCCCCTCGGTTTGAGAGTAGCATCGCCCATGGTCCTAGAGGTGGACATTTTCGTATGGCTTTTACTCTGTTTGTACTTGATTTTGCTGTACTTTGCGTTTTTCCGTTGTATCATTTGTACTATGTTGATTGTCGTAAACGACCAATTTGAAATGTATCGCGTGATTATTTGCTAGTTTGAATATTCGATGGCTCATTGTTCGTTGGCGTATTGTTAGAAGGCAATTTCTGCAATACTTCTCAGTACTCGTTTGTTGTGTGACGTGCCACCCGGCTCTATGCCCGGCCATGATTCTGGACCATTCGCGCTGATGGCGGCAGAGGCGGTCGTGTCGTGTCTGTGTTTGCGCGAGCGATGGTAAGTGGCTGAGCAGTTGTATTTCACTATGATGCGTTAAAATGTGTGATCTGTTAGCTCGTATAGATATTCTGTTGTCAATTTCATATAAGACGTTTCAGCGCCAATATGATTAAAACCGAGACTATGATATTTTGCACTGAGGTAAACGACAGTGGACCTGACTGGTGTCTGGATTCGTAGATATGGCGTCGGAGATGTGAGGCTGGCTTGGGAAGATGCCTCTGGATGTATGGACGTTAGCCGCGAAGCGACCCAGAAGGCACATTTGTCGGTAGGTCACGAAATGTCACGAGTGTTGGGAAAGGTCACGAAATGTCACGAATGTTAGGAAATGTCACGAAATGTCACGAATGTTAAGAAAGGTCACGAAATGTCACGATTCATTTGATGTCAGTACGCAGGGATGCTGTGTTATCTGTGGTAGGGCCCCTCACGGCCTGTTTTGGTGTATCATTTATTGGTACGTTTAAGCCCTCTTTGTTTGCCCACCCCTTTCGTTTATTTATTGTACGTTTGGTAACGCTTATTTATACGTCTTTTGATTTGTGTATTGTGTTTCGTTCCCAGCAACGACTGTTACTCTCGAGATCGTGTGGGCTATCCACTTAGCTCACTCGGTCCAATAAACGGTCCGTTAAGACATACTGGATTTCGACACGCTGGGTCTGGAGATGCGGCTACAGTTGCGACAAGTGTCGACAACGGCGACGAGCTGCCCACGGCAGAGTAGCGACTTCTGCAGCTACGCGTGAAGGCAGCTCGACCACCCACCGGGAGGACCTCGCAGCACGCTCACACCGGCTGGTGGCTCTGCTGGCCTCGTTAGGCGGCTGGTTTGCTGCTGCTGGCTGGTGCTGGTGAGGACTGAGTCGCCCCTGCTCATCAGTGAGTGCTCTACTTCTGCTGATATTTGGGGTAAGCGGGCTGTATGGTACTTGCAGTGGCGCAGTGACATTCTGATAAACGGTTCACAAAAACAGTGACTCTGGAGGCAAACTGGTGATCAAATGTGAACTATCTTGCAAAGTGTGTGCCTTCATGGTAAACGAGTCGAAGAGAACAGTATCTTGAGAAGCGACAGACACTTAGTGCATCAGTGTGTGATCATTTATTGTGGTGTGAGTTATGCTGAGTATGGTTTCCATTGTATTTGTGTTCGGTGATCTACTAAGGGGTTAAGGACAACCTGTTGATTGATAGAGATTCCAGGATAGCATTGTTGCTGATTAGTTCCAGTTTCCAGAAGAGCTTTCTAATTTGATTTGTGGTAGTTGGTTGTGCCCAGGCTCGGTCACGAGATGGATACGCTTGGCAAACTAAGGGTTCATCAGCTGAAGGCTGAGCTGTCGAGAAGAGGTGAAGATAGTAGAGGACCTAAGGCGGTGCTGGTGAATCGTCTGGAGGACATCCTGAAAGAGGAAGGCGTTGATTTGGCAACATTTGTCACAGAGTTTGGTAGATTCGAACACACTGATCGTGTAGGCGGTGTAGGATTTGATGGTCAGACTGGTGAAGGAGCTCCGCCGCTAGATGTTCCGGAAGAGCTAGACAGGGCGGGTGTCCGTAGTCGGGAAGTCGCTCCAGGCCAGGAGGCTGGTGGGTCGCTCTCTGTTGACCACTTTGATGCGTCTGGTACCAGGCCTGGCACTGGAAGCCCTGCTGAATCGGTGAAGTCATCCCGTTCTTCGTCAACAAGGGCATCAAGCAAGGCCACAGTTGCTTCAGAACGGGCCTTCGAGGCAGCAAGAAGAGCGGGGCTGCATGCTAAGGCAGCAGCGTTGAGGAAAAAGCATGAGCTCGAAGACATGCAAGAGCAGTTGAGAAGAAGGAAAGAGGAACTGGAAATTCAAGCTGAACTGGATGAAAGCCTGGCAAGGGAAGGTGTATTGGCTCAGTTTGATAAGGAAGAAACCTTCAAGAGAATTGAGACATTAACGCCACAAGAACAAGAAGAAAGAAGAACACAAGAACGAGAAGAAAGAGGAACACAAGAACAAGAAGAAAGAAGAACACAAGAACAAGAAGGAAGAAGGACACAAGAAGAAGAAGAAGAAAGAGCACATGATCAAAGAAGAACGCGTGTTCAAGAAAGAGCACAAGAACCAAGAAGAACACGTGTACAAGAAGAAAGAGCACAAAATCCAAGAACACGTGTACAAGAAGAAAGAGCACAAGATCCAAGAACACGTGTACAAGAAGAAAGAGCACAAGATCCAAGAACACGTGTACAAGAAGAAAGAGCATACGAACAAGGAAGAAAAGCACAAAATCAAGAAAGTGAACGAAGGAGAGCAAGCAGGGATGAGCCTGGAGCTCAGCAGCACGGGGACTCCACACAGGCTCTCCTAGCCCATCTGGAAAGAAGTCAGCTGCCCAAGGCTGAGATACCGATATTCACTGGAGACGTTACGAAGTACAGATCTTTTATACGTGCATTCGACAGTCGGATCTCCTCCAAAACTGATGACGACGAAGAAAAGCTGTACTTTCTCGAGCAATATACAAGTGGTAAGCCACAGGACATAATCAGGGGCTGCCTGCACATGACGACTGGATCGGGCTACCTGGAAGCCAGGAGACTCCTTGATCGGAGGTACGGAGACGAGGACTCAATCACGAGTGCGTTTGTGGATATGCTTGTGGAGTGGCCACAAGTAAAACCAGGAGATCTGGAAGGAATGGATCGTTTGTCACTGACGCTGAGGTCTTGCAACAACGTAATGAGTGGAATATCACCCGGAGCAAGGGAGACAGACCACCCAAAGACCATGCGGAAAATCATCGAGAAGCTGCCCTACAACCTGCAGGACCAGTGGCGCCGCCTAGCGGACCATATCCATGAACAGGAGCACAGACGAGCGCGCTTTGAGGATATCGTCGACTTTGTCGAGAGAGAAGTAAGGATCCAGACGAATCCGATGTTTGGTCGTCAGCACAGTGTCAGCAGGACAAGAGAACAGGAAGGTCAGCGGAGAAAGGTTCAAACTGTATCGGCAACAGTCATCGAGCCAGGAGCTCAGCAGCGGCGGGGATCGCTCAAGTGTTTGTTCTGTTCAAAGGCACATTACCTCGACCAATGTGAAGAGTTCAGAGGAAGGGCACCTCATGAGAAGAGTGCCTTCATCAGAGAGCAGGGACTTTGTTTTGGGTGCCTCTGCAAGGGTCACCTGGTGAGGGAATGTGCGAAAAGGAGAACCTGCTCAATCTGCAGACTCCGTCATCCAACAGCACTGCACAACGACAGACCACCGCCAGAGCACGGTGTTCGAATCGTCTCTGACGGCCATGCAGGTAGTGAAGTGCCGCAGAACCCGAGCCAAGTCGTAACAAATGGCAGAGTGAAGCTGAGGAGCTCTTCCAAGACGTGTGCTGACTCGTCATCTACTATGATGTCTATCGTACCCGTGAAGATGTGGACTGATGGTGGCCAGAAAGTAGAGACGTACGCGTTTCTTGACGGAGGCAGTTCAGCGACGTTCTGCTCGGAGTCTTTGCTGAAGCAGATCGGAGCTGTTGGCGAAAACGTTAAGCTCTCAATGACTACCGCGTCAGTTGACAATCAGCAAGTGGACAGTCGTGTGATAAAGGGAGTCAAGATATCGGATCTGGGTGGAAGTACGTGCATTGCGATGCCTCCGATGTACACTCTCAGCACAATTCCAGTGAAACTAGAAGACATGGCGTCAAGCGAGGATCTAAACCAGTGGGTTCACTTGCAGGGCATTGATTTGGCGCGGATCGATGCTGAAATTGGTCTCCTGATAGGTAGCAACTGTCCTCAGGCGCTCCAGCCGCTAGAGGTAAGACGAAGTGAAGATGGTGGGCCGTTCGCGCTTCGGACTGAGTTAGGATGGGTGGTGCAGGGCCCAAGACGCGTTTGTCAGAACGAGAACGACAGAGTAAGAGTGAATCGCATCAGGGTTGTCAATGAGAGCTCCGATCTCCATCGCAGTTTCATGGCTTTGTACAACCAGGATTTCGAAGACCATGGTAGTGCTGTGGACGTCGGTCTGTCTAGAGAGGACCAGCAGTGGCTCAAGAAGGTGGAGACTGGAGCGCGCTTCATCAACGGGCACTACGAGTTACCAGTCCCCCTCAGAGACGAGCAGGTGTTTCCTAACAACAGACAGCAAGCAGAGCAGCGCGCCCAAGGTCTAAAGAAGCGGATGCTGCGTGATGAGAAGTATCTGAGGGACTACAGCGGGTTCGTCAGTGAGCTGATTGAGAAGGACTACGCGGAAAAGGTGTCCAGAGAGAGTTTGGACGCCTGCTGGGGTAGAACGTGGTATATTCCACACCACGGTGTCTACCACCCAGCGAAACCGGACAAAATCAGAGTAGTTTATGACTGCTCAGCGAGCTACCGAGGTGTGTCTCTCAACGATCGACTGCTTCAGGGGCCCAACTTGACCAGCTCACTTATCGGAGTGCTGCTGCGGTTCCGTCAGGAACCCTTCGCCATCATGGGAGATGTTGAAAAGATGTTCTACCAAGTTCGAGTTGCTGACAGAGACAGAAGTCTGCTACGATTCCTCTGGTGGCCCGACGGCGACCTATCTCGACAGTTGGAAGACTACCAAATGAACGTTCACCTGTTTGGTGCGACGTCGTCGCCATCCTGCGCGAACTTCGCGCTGCGAAGGACGGCTCAGGACTACGGAGGGCTGTATCGACCAGAGGTAGCCAGGTGCATACAGAGGAACTTCTACGTTGACGACTTTCTCAAGTCTGCGTCAACTGAGGACGAAGCAGCAGGGCTCGCGCTGGAAGTTCGTGAGTGCTGTGCCAGAGGAGGTTTCAGGTTAACGGGTTTTGTCAGCAACAGCTCAAGGGTGATGTCATGTCTCCCTGAAACAGATCGTGCTCCGAGTCACAAAATGGACCTCACTAAAGGTGTGCTGTCTCCGCAGAGAGCTCTAGGAGTACAGTGGGATGTCGATCATGACACACTCAGCTTCAGAGTGGAGGTACAGCGTGGTCCAGCCTCGAGGAGAGGAATCTTGTCCACTGTGAGTGCCATGTACGACCCCTTGGGATTTGGAGCTCCATTTTTGTTGCCAGCAAAAGTGTTGCTTCAGGACCTGTGCAGATTACAGCTGGGTTGGGATGATCCAATTCCCTACTCTCATCTCCAGCGGTGGAATCAGTGGTGTGAAGAGCTTGCAGACCTCCGAGATTTTTCCGTTCCGAGAAGCGTCGCCCCACTGCATGGTGAGGCTCGGAGTCGCCAGCTGCACATGTTCGCAGATGCGAGTGAAGTCGGGTATGGAGCAGTTGGGTACGTTCGAGTAGAGGACGCTGCGGGAAGGATTACGACATCCCTACTGATGAGCAAGTGCCGTGTAGCCCCATTGAAGACCTGCTCCATCCCTCGCCTGGAGTTGACGGCTGCCGCTCTGGCAGTACAATTGAGCACTCAAATACTCTCCGAGACAGATCTGCATTTCGATGAGGTGTGTTTTTGGACCGATAGCGTCTCAACGCTCCGCTACATACAGAACGTCACATCTCGCTTCCAGACGTTCGTGGCCAACAAGTTAGCCGTCATCCATGATGGCTCAAGTCCTAACCAGTGGCGATACGTCCCTTCAGAGCTGAATCCGGCAGACAGCTTATCCCGTGGTCAGTCAGGACCAGCGTTTCTTGCATCTCGCTGGGTTCTTGGCCCAGCGTTCCTCGAGAGCGCCGCCTGTGAATGGCCGGATCAGGCACAAGTCCAACAGCTTCAGGGCAGTACAGAGGAGCTTGAGATCAAGAAAAGCGTAGTCAGCGCCACCACAGCTACAGAAGGTAATGACTACACTGCACAGCTGCTGAACAGCACAAGTGACTGGTTCAAGCTGAAGAAACGTGTCGCATGGGTGCTTCGGTGGAAGCAGCTGCTGCAGAAGAGAGTAGCCGGCAGGAAGGAGTCCGGTACACGTGATGAAGATCTTCTTTCACCTAGGCTGTCCGTACAAGAACTTGAGATGGCAGAAGCTGCGATTCTGAGACATGTTCAAGAACAGGCGTTTCCTGAAGAAATGTCCGGTTCAGTGAGGAAGTCGAGCCGTTTGTTCCGTCTGAATCCTTGTGTGGTTGACGGAACTCTACGAGTCGGAGGACGGCTCGTAAACGCTCAGATTCCAGACGCTGCAAAACATCAGCTGATTCTTCCCAAGAATGGTCACGTCACTGACCTCATTATACGGGACATGCACGAGAGAAAGGGACATTCTGGAAGGGAACATGTCCTGGCTGAGTTGCGCCGAAGGTTCTGGATTGTGTCTGGAAGCTCTGCAGTACGCAGAGTTCTGTCAAGATGCGTTAGATGTCGAAAGATTCAGGGTTCGGTGGTGACACAGCAGATGTCGAACCTACCGGAAGACAGAACGGCGCCAGATGGTGGAGTTTTCAGTCGAGTTGGGACCGATTATTTTGGTCCGTTCTATGTCAAGGTGGGACGAAAGCAGATGAAGAGATATTGTGTGCTTTTCACGTGTCTCGCAACTCGGGCTATTCACATCGAGGTGTGCGAAACCCTAGATACAAGCTCTTTCATTAATGCTCTTCGCAGATTCCAGGCTCGGAGGGGTCAAGTGAAGTTTATCAGGTCTGACAATGGGACGAATTTCACAGGCGCTGAGAGAGAGCTGAGAGAAGAAGTCCGTAAGCTGCGAGAGAAAAGCGTTCATGACTGCTTACTGAAAGAGGGGATCACGTGGAAGTTCACCCCTCCAGGTGCCTCATCGCAAGGAGGTATATGGGAGCGACAAGTTCGGAGCATCAGGAAAGTCCTGAATGCGCTCCTCAGGGAGCAGACGATGACTGACGAGTCGCTCCGCACGCTTCTATGCGAAGTGGAGGCTGTGCTCAACAGTAGACCTCTAACGACGGTATCAAGTGACCCAGCTGATCTGCAGCCTCTCACCCCCAACGACCTGCTACTACTGCGTGGTGGTCCGGTGCCAGACGGCATCTTCAGCGAGGGGGACAGCTGCTTTGGTCGAAGGTGGAAGCAGGTGCAATATCTCGCCGACCTGTTTTGGAAGCGTTGGGTAAAGGAATACCTGCCACTTCTTCAGCAGCGCCAGAAGTGGGTCAGAACACGGAAGAACCTCTCTGTTGGTGACGTTGTTTTGGTCGTTGACGTTAACAGCCCGCGATGTCGATGGCCTCTTGGACGCGTATTGGAGGTGTTTCCGGACAGCGAGGGTCTTGTGCGTTCCGCTATGGTGAAAACGGCAAGCAGCGTCTTGAAGAGGCCGATCTCGAAGTTAGTGTTTCTCATGTAGAATAAGTAATGTGACGCACATGGTGCGCACATGGGGGCGGGTGTAGGCGGCGCCGCTGCGGCGCGCGGTGGAACGGGGGTGCGGGCTCCCAGTCGTGCGCCGCTCCGCTCAAGCCGGCTCGCTCTTCTCTCTGCCCCGGTTGCCTCCCCGCTCTGCCTGCCTGGAGAGCCGGGACGGCCGGGACTACCTCCCCTCGGTTTGAGAGTAGCATCGCCCATGGTCCTAGAGGTGGACATTTTCGTATGGCTTTTACTCTGTTTGTACTTGATTTTGCTGTACTTTGCGTTTTTCCGTTGTATCATTTGTACTATGTTGATTGTCGTAAACGACCAATTTGAAATGTATCGCGTGATTATTTGCTAGTTTGAATATTCGATGGCTCATTGTTCGTTGGCGTATTGTTAGAAGGCAATTTCTGCAATACTTCTCAGTACTCGTTTGTTGTGTGACGTGCCACCCGGCTCTATGCCCGGCCATGATTCTGGACCATTCGCGCTGATGGCGGCAGAGGCGGTCGTGTCGTGTCTGTGTTTGCGCGAGCGATGGTAAGTGGCTGAGCAGTTGTATTTCACTATGATGCGTTAAAATGTGTGATCTGTTAGCTCGTATAGATATTCTGTTGTCAATTTCATATAAGACGTTTCAGCGCCAATATGATTAAAACCGAGACTATGATATTTTGCACTGAGGTAAACGACAGTGGACCTGACTGGTGTCTGGATTCGTAGATATGGCGTCGGAGATGTGAGGCTGGCTTGGGAAGATGCCTCTGGATGTATGGACGTTAGCCGCGAAGCGACCCAGAAGGCACATTTGTCGGTAGGTCACGAAATGTCACGAGTGTTGGGAAAGGTCACGAAATGTCACGAATGTTAGGAAATGTCACGAAATGTCACGAATGTTAAGAAAGGTCACGAAATGTCACGATTCATTTGATGTCAGTACGCAGGGATGCTGTGTTATCTGTGGTAGGGCCCCTCACGGCCTGTTTTGGTGTATCATTTATTGGTACGTTTAAGCCCTCTTTGTTTGCCCACCCCTTTCGTTTATTTATTGTACGTTTGGTAACGCTTATTTATACGTCTTTTGATTTGTGTATTGTGTTTCGTTCCCAGCAACGACTGTTACTCTCGAGATCGTGTGGGCTATCCACTTAGCTCACTCGGTCCAATAAACGGTCCGTTAAGACATACTGGATTTCGACACGCTGGGTCTGGAGATGCGGCTACAACCGCAGCTCGCACTATCTCACCTCTGCGATCTGGTCGTCGTCGACGCCCTGCTGCCTCATCGTGGCCAGGAGGGTCTCCACCCGCTGCTGTTTGTCGTAGAGCCGCTGGTGCCGGCTGGCCTCCGCCGAGCGGGACGTCAGCATGTTGAGCAGCGCCCGGTAACACGTCTCGATCAGCATCCGCGTCAGCTGATGTCGCGGAGAGAGGAGGGTGGGTCAGCTGGGGCACGGACAGGTCAACCGCAACAGGAGGCTTAGGCGGGTCAGCTGGTGACACAATCAGGGTATGGCAGGTCAACTGGGGCAGAGACAGGTCAGATGACTAAGTGGTCAGAGACGGGCACGCTAAAATTAGGACACAGGCAAGGCGGGGAAGGTTAGCTAGGATATGAACAGGACACTCAAAGGGTAGAGCAGCGGCCAACGCAGCAGAGGCAGGTCAGGTCGGCTAGGGAACGGACAGGTCAATAAACCACGGACTAGTCGGGGCAGATGGACTACCGCATGGACAGAACAGATCTATTGGGACATAGACTCCGTGATAAAGTGATGGTCAGGGACTCAGGAGAGCACTTCAAGTAAACAATTATAACCATAAGCCGATGCGATATAACCCTTAACAGGATAGAGCGCCACAACATGCCTTTCCGTGTCCCCATCAGTTCGGTCCCACATCATTTCGGACCGGATCTGACCGGACCGCCAGCGTGCCCGTCCGGTCAGCGGCGTGCCAGCTAACGACTCATGGAGCGGCCAACCCGGCCGGCGGGCGGACGGGCGGTCCTACCGAACGGCGCGACACCGGGGTGTGTGACTGAAACCAATCACATTCCGAGGTGACCCGCCGCACCGTCCGCTGCCTGGCGACCACCACGACATTTGAATACGCGTCCAGCGACGGCGACAGGGCTGGGCAGGACCCGTACAGAACGCCCTCCTGGCATACCCAGCGGCCCAAACTGCGGCATTAGAGGCGTCAGAATGACCCAATGGGCTCAGATATAGTGCGAAAACGCCACTGTGGCATCAGGTAGTGCGCCTGGACGTCAGCTGATAGCGACATCAAAGTGGCCATCAAAACCGTGAAATGGGAGGCGCGCCTCCAGCGATGAGGCAAAGGGTCATAAATAATGCCAGTAATGTGGCCCAAGCGTTGATCAGCCCAGCAAATGAAAGCCGGTGCCGCTCGATGCCCTGGGACTTGTCGTTCATACGGAACAGAGACGTGATGGTATTTATGGTTCGCAGCATAACATCCTTAGTATCAAATTTATCAATATTGATATTCTTAAACCAGTCGACTCAGCTTGACGAGCAGCGCAGGAAGAAAAACATCCGTATCGCTAGCTGCTTCCTGTCCTTTACTATCGAGTGCAAGAATGCTCTAAGTGATTTTGTGTGTCACGGCCGCCTCAGTAGTGTTTTGCTTCTTCCGTAAAATCATAAAAAGTTAAAAACAGCACTATGGAACCATCCATCGACCCAAATTGAACTATCTTTCTTAGAACCATCGATATGATTGAAAGGAACTGTTCCGGTGATCCCAAGCCTCTCTAGGTGCAATGGCATGCGAAGAGCGGCGACCTGACCACTGTTGCCATTGCCAAGTGACCAGTGACCACTGTTGGTGGCAACAAATAACCAATTGAAAAATGAAACAAAAATTTGTAATTTGGCGTTTGAATCTTGTGAACCTGCTCTTTCATACATATATCTAGCTACTCGCTCCACTCCATCCATCCTACTTTATTTTATTCCTGATACGCGGTGATGAATTCCTTTGATCGCAAACTGACGACCCCGTGACAGTTTTCCATCAGAATGACAGAGCGAGGAACACGGCCATGGGGAGCCGGCACACGAAACCGGTTAGTTATTGATGTTTGCGTCAAGTGCGCACAAAACCTTTGTGTAGTGTCGCGGCAAATGTCTTGCCTCGTCCACTTGCTGAATGCCATAGGTTGAAACGCATGGAGACATATGGAACGTAGCATCCAAAATAGCCGCAAAACTACTCGACGTTTGGCCAGCAATAGCATAAAATGAGGCAAGATCGAGAGCTGATACAGTTTGGGAGTTTCAGCAAGTTGTATAGCGTCATTTGTTGGCAATTACATGCAACAAAAATGCACAGGAAATCATACAAAAGTCATAAGACGATACATACCCAACTACTCGGACATTTCTGAATCGCAGGCGAGCCGCCACTGAGGAATGTAAATGTGATGTCTGAGTAGCCAGTGGGGCGGCCTATATGCTGATTATACGAGTCCCTATTGCCACTGTTTGGCCAGCAGGACGGTCAGTCGTCATGGTCACGGTCACGGGTGGCAATTGGACTGAAGGGGGAGGGGAAGTATGCAGAAACTGGCTATCGCCGACCAGCCTAGCCACCGACTAAGCAGCTCGCCACGCCAGCAAGGATGGTACCATTTCATAAATGGACTGAGCCGGCGAATGACTGGCCACAACGCCACGATTTTAATGACCTAAAAGCAACGCTGGGATCGTTTCGAATAGCTCTCGACAAGCGTTAGTCGACGAGCGCATGTGAAATGGATGGCAGTGAAACCTACCAGTCCCGACTATGCACATGATTAGAGCGATCGCAGAATCGCAACAGGACAACAAAGCGCATTTCACGGTGCAGACTTTGCTACTGCCGACAGGCACAGCGTCTCCAAAGCAAAAGGATCGTGTTAGTCACTTCATTGAAGGTCACTCATTCATTCCGCAGTATCCCGTGAAGCGAGCTGTTGACCACACATTTGCCACAACTGTGTCCGGCAAGATGTAGTGTGCCCGTACCACCCGTGGTCATTAATCTGTACCACCTAACTATACGTTATCCAGTAGCATCATTGTTCCGTTATTGAGTATTTATTCCTAAACCCGTGCTTGCGCCGCCGTATAGCATGGTACAATACGCTGACCCTGACCGTCGGGCGCCGACCAGTATCGACCGCCTGGATGTGTGTTCAGCGCCGTGACTGAACTCACTCCATCACCGGCCAATCGCGACGGAGGCCGCGCTATAACTACTCAGGGTGCAGAGCGCCCCCAGAAAGGGCGGACCGTGCCCCTAACGGCGCTACCGCCGCCCACGTCCCGGCGGTCCCACAGCCGCGCTGTAAGTGTGCAGGATGCACGCTGCACACTGTTCAGAGCTCTCGCCGTTCACAGCAAGTCACAGAGGCAGGAAGATCGACCAGGCTAGACCAAAGGTCATTGGGGACGAGCGTAACCGCGGTTACCGCAAGAGGAACTTATTTTTGGATGTGAGCACGCATTGTAATAGATATGAAGCATGGAACTAAACGTCGTTTTACTGCTAGGCTTAACTTTGCTAAATTTCATTGGAAATACTAATTACTACTTACTGGTGCCGCCAAGTGAAACATGTCATCAGCACGACACATAGAACGAAAAGAAAATGGGACTTATCTCATCCAACTGTCCTTTTCCACGTAACCAGCTTCGTGACCAAAGACCCGCGAGCCCCAGTACCGAGTCCGACATACAGATGGATCCTATCTCTCCACACACCACATCCCGTACTGCACTCCCACATCAACACAAGCCCGCACACCCAATCTCCGTCCCAGTCCCAAACTATCTCCCCTCCCCTTCATCCGCCGGCCCACTCACGTGGTTAAAGTCCAGGTGGAAGAGGAACACCAGCCGGCCGGGCGCCACCTGCTGACCAGGCTTGCGGAGGTCACAGACGCTGACGAAGGTGGCCTGGTGCAGCTGGTAGGTCAGCAACTTGGCCTCCTTGGGCGGGATCATGGCCCACTCATGGATCTTGTCTTGTTCGATGTACCGCTTGGACCGGATCAGCCTGAGTGTCCATGGACGAAGTTCTGTCATTACTCGGGACGCTACTGGCTTCCGTTGGGGAAGAATGAGCTGACAGTACCCTTAAGCTGAGCGAGGCCGAACATTAGGAGGCACGCATACATTGGCCTTACGTAATCCACATACAGTCGATCAGTGCAAATCGGCCAAGATCCATCTATTAATTTACTAAATTGTGCTTCCAAAAAGCGCTCTTCCAGCTACTGACTACCAACTCTACTGGACGGGCAGTATTCTTTCTAAAACTAATACAATCTACCCTAATCGAGTTGAATTATTCGACCTGCCAAGCAGAGATGATTCATGAGCAGTAGACAAACGTTCAAGCATATCGGAATTCTGCCCCTCCGCTCATCTTTCTCTCCCTACCCTGACTCCACTAGCCATAACATCTACCATACCTCGAAAGTCGCTAGCCACGGAATACCCCATTCCACCCGTTCCGTCATCTCCATCCTCAGAATAGCCAAATCCTTCTCCCCTACGCCTCAACCTCCTGTTCCGGGCTGGACGGGAAATTTCATCTCATGCGGGAAGCTCCCATAGGAGCAAGCCCGTAGCAGGGTGCAATGAGTGTTACGGGGCTGGGTGGCCTGTCCAGTGTCCACTGGATGGGCTCAGCCCCTAGTGTGCCCGCCCAGACCAAAGTCTCCCCTATTTCCTATCATCCTTCTGGCCCTGAAATAGTCTTGTCAGATCGAATGAGCCTAAAAATACTCGTCCTGCCAGACTACAATTACCATAATAATCCGTCCATCCCTCCAACTCTCTTCCCTTTCCGACCCTTACCGGAATATGCGGCCGGCGCGCGAGCCGAACCTCTCCTGGACGACATTCTCGGCCACGGCCCAGCCGAAGTTTTGCATCACGCGCTTCATGTTGAGGGTGTACTGTCCGCCGCCGGCGTCCCCGAACCGGACCAGGTAAGGCGTCTCGCCCTCGCCTAGTGAGCGGGGAGAGGTGGGCGAGGGGAGGAGCATGGTCAGACGCTGACCGTCCGCTGCGGACGAGGGGGGAGATATGCAGTCCGCTACTTTCTACTTTTAACAGAAATTCTTCGGGTACACATACTTCAGAAACGGGCAAACTATAACGTCATACACCGACCGCCCAGCAAAGTTCAACATAGCTTATCTACTATATGGCAGGTGGCAGCACCATTCGAACCAAGCCCAGCAGACGCACCCCATGTAAACCTGTTTACTTCCCGCGCCCCGCAGTAAGTCACTCATCATACGGACGTACTGCCCGCAGTAACTCACTCATGATCCGGACGTCCTGCCCGCAGTAACTCACTCATGATCCGGACGTACTGCTCGCAGTAGCGGACTGCGTCGGCGTGCACTGAGTTGGAGAGCCGCGTGAGCCGGTCTTTGAGCTCGGTGAGCGCCACGGGGCCGCACTCGGGCGACCAGGGTCGGCTGGTCTGTGCCGCCAGCGCCATCAGGTGTCGCATGACATCGGCGGCCGGCTCCCCGCAGGTGCGGGACACAGAGTTGAGCACCAGCTGGTCACTGAGAACGGTGGGAGGGGAGAGCCGTCAGTCCATCGCTGCATACATCACATCGGCGGCCGGCTCGCCGCAGGTGCGGGACACAGAGTTGAGCACCAGCTGGTGACTGAGAACGGTGGGAGGGGAGAGCCGTCAGTCCATCGCTGCATACATCACATCGGCGGCCGGCTCGCCGCAGGTGCGGGACACAGAGTTGAGCACCAGCTGGTCACTGAGAACGGTGGGAGGGGAGAGCCGTCAGTCCATCGCTGCATACATCACATCGGCGGCCGGCTCGCCGCAGGTGCGGGACACAGAGTTGAGCACCAGCTGGTGACTGAGAACGGTGGGAGGGGAGAGCCGTCAGTCCATCGCTGCATACATCACATCGGCGGCCGGCTCGCCGCAGGTGCGGGACACAGAGTTGAGCACCAGCTGGTGACTGAGAACGGTGGGAGGGGAGAGCCATCAGCCCATCTCGCTGCTAACAGCCCACACTTACCGCAGAAATACGAGTCAGGTAAATACGTACGAGCATCACGAACGGATTTTTAATACAAAAGTTGTTTTCTATACAGTATTCCTTTAAATTCGGCATTGCTCGGTAGGTCGGTAATGCTCCCAGCAAATGTTCTGCGTTGTCAGTCTCCGAAGCCCCCTTGGGCGCTACGTCCTACACCAACATCAATACGAGGTCTTCTTAATATCCCTCATCTCGTCGGTGACAGGGCGGCCGTCTCCCACCCTCGCTCACCGGAATTCCTCGTCCAGCCGCGAGAAGTTGACCCTCCACCGGACGGGGTCGTCGGGCGGCGGCCGGCCGGGCCTCCCGTCCACCGCGCGCTGCACGGCTCCCATGTCCAGCTGGGCCGGCGGCATGAAGGCACGCTCCCCCTCGGGCTCCACCAGCGGCGGTACGCCCTCCACCACGGGCGGCGGCGGCGGCGCGTCCTCGGCCGGCGGGGGAGCCGACGGGTCCGGCGGCGGCGCCAGGGAGGCACACCGCTGCAGGTAGTGGCCGCGCACCAGCTCACAGAACTTGTCACGGATCGTGGAGGGCTGTACGCGCTTACCGCCCTCTGCGAAAGAGCAATGGGAGGGGGAGCAATGGGAGTTCAGTCTGTGGGAAAAGCAGCGGGGCGGAGGGGCAGCAACTAGCAAGTATACAATGCATGCATTGACTACGGAAGACTACGAAGTAAAGATATTTCGCTGACAAGAAAGACAAAAATTGGACAACAAAATGACAGTAACAAAATATTATCATTTTTGAGATCCAATGCTTATTCGTCAAAGGAGCAGCATTCTAAGGTGTCAATAAAGACGTCATGAAATTTTAAGTAGCCAATACAGTAGTACTCCAAGCATGGCCTTGTAGCCCAAAACGGTTGGAAATACGCGAATAGCAACCAATGCTACTGGCCGCATGGATGTCAGGACAGTAACCATTTCGTCCAAAAACAGCGCGAAATGAGGCATCTGCGTCAGCCTAGACCAAACACCGACAAAAAGTCGTCTCAGCAGCCGCATTTATTCTACACTGAAAATGTAGAGAATGTAATTACCACTATTATTACCTTCGAGCGACTCGTTTATCCGCTTGGTGACCCGAACGACCAGCTGGAACGCCGAGTCCTGTCCCTGACGGAGCAGCTCGTCCAGAATCACCTCCTGCTCCACGCCAAACCGGGTCTTGATCAACAGCAGAAACCTGCGAAATCGCCAGAGCCAGCACCTATCAGCACCCAACCATCACGATAACCACTGTATCAGTCCCGTTCGTAGCCAGTTCACAACCCCTAACAATGCGGCGCCAGCGGGGAAGGCAATCTCTCACCTGGCATAACGAAGGAGCAGCAGTACCCGGTCCGGATGGAGGGTGTACTCGACCATCGAGGTGCGGGTCACGGAGAACGTCACCATGTGGTGCTGCAGCAGCACCTGCAGCGCCAGTTTCACCTGCAGACAGAGGTGGACGTGAGACAGAGCATGGAGATGTGACAGAGCGCGGGGGATGTCAGCTGGGGGAGCGGGCGAGATGAAACCAGAGGGTCGGAGCGAGTGACGGCAGGTTACGAGGAGCGGACAACTTAAGATAAGAGGGATAGCCCGAGTGAGCTCAAATGGATGGAGCGGTGGAAGATAGCGAGGGCCGATGATAGTGGACGGGACGGGATTTCGGTGCAGGTTCGATAAATACCGTAAATGAAACAATATCCGTGAGATGATGATTATCAAGATTCAAGGCACCAATGGCACATCACAGGGAATATACAGCAGCAGCTTGGCACAGGCTGCCCTTACCTCATTGCGCTGGTAGGGCGAGTTGACAATGACGGCCGGCAGTGGCCGCGATCCGGCCGTGAATAGGTACTGGACCACGGACTGGACGACCGGACCGAAGGCATCTCCTGCCACCTGGCCACACAGCCGGCCCAGTACCTGGGACATGACTGTGTAGAACCGGCCAGGCAATTAATACAGCTGAGGATCAGCTACCTGGAACAGAGCCAACAGAATGGAAAAGCTGTAAATGTCAATATGTGCATTGTTATCACCGAGTTTGCTATTCATCCATCGTCATCCGTGTGGCCTAGTGGAGCCTAGTGGATAAGACGTTCTTCACATAACTCGAATGCAGCAAGTTCCCGACCGGGGAGCTCCAGGACCGTTTAAACCGCGTTTCTATATACAGCCAGCTGGCGAGAGGTCACGCTGGACCCGGGAAGACCGCCTGCCTCCCAGTCCCAGGTCTGTCCTGAATGTTAGGCACAACAAGACAGACCTTCTGAACCATTTTTTGCCTAAGTAGGTCAGAAGTCAGGTCAGGGTGACCAGTGAAGTCAAGGGTACAAAATGGCAAATTTCTATATTATCAGCTTTCGAGCGCAGTTGGCGAAGAATGGACTAATACTGATTACTCCAAACGTGTTCTTCTTCTTTGGATAGGTACCTACCAAGACGAGATGCCTTGCATACAATGTCATGCAAGTCAAGGTCAAGGTCAGGTCACCAAAAATGGAATATAGAAACAGACATGTACGTCACAGGTTTTGTGGGTCAGTTTATTCATGGAACTCAATGAGCTAACTCAATTAAGGATATGGACTAATCTTGATGAACTTCAGGTCGAGGTCAGGTCAAGGTCAAGTCAAGTGAGGTCAAATTATTAAATTGATTGTTAAGACCACAAAATGTGCATATCTGATGCAGTTTTTTAACAACAAATCCAATTATCCAATGGAGCTATTTTCGTTCCTGTTTGAGGCGTAGAACTTAAAATTGTTGATTTTATACCTAATAATTAAAAAAATATGCTCAGTTTTTTCAAAAAATGAGTCAAAACCAAACCATTCACAGAGTACAACTCTCGATCAAAAATATATGACTCAAAACAAGGATGCTTATTGATTTAATTTTTAACGGAAATGGTTGAAATGAGTATGACATCACAATCACACATACCACGATTTTTTTAATTGAGTTTAGACCATTTTAAGAATATTTTATCATTGATCAAAGAATGTGAAATGATAAGCATGCTAAATAGCATATACATACCCGAAAAATAATTTTTCATGGGCTCAGTCATGGCTACTTTTCTCTAGGGTTTAATGACGTCAATGAAATAATAAATGTCAACAAGAAACCGAAATTGACTTACGCTGGATATTATGCAATTCGCGACTAAAGCGGCGCAGCAGGTGTGATATGAGAGAAATCTTAAGCGATTGTTGTTGCGTGGCTACTGGCTAGCTTTCCCAGTACTTTCTCGAAATTATCATTCTCGGTATTCTCTTTTTGGCCCTCATCGTTGTGAATTTCTGCTGAATTCTGGCGGCGGCGGTGCTGCGCCGCGCTCGGTCCGCGTCGGTTTAGTGTCGGCCATTTTCCCACCTGGAAAATCGTGATTTGAACAAACCGGTAAGGTTCTCTGTTCTCTCCTTACTGTTACGTCTCTGTTTTGTTAATTTGCTTCTTTCTCCATCAAAAGTTTCCTTCATACTCGTTTCTTGGGTGTGCCTCCTGTGAGATCTCGTTTTTTCAACCCTCTTCGTGCGTTTGGCACGCTTTTTTCGGCGCATTTCCAACCATCTACATTCTCTAAACATGGCCCCTCCCCTGTCCCGCCCCCGCCCTCCCCTGACCCGCCCCCTCCTCGAAGATTCCTCTCCGGGCTCGCCTGGTCGAGGCTGGGAGCCGCTAGATGACGTGCCTGACGGGCAGTCGTTTATCATCCTGACTAGTCCTGATCGGTCCCTCCAGGGTCTGTCACCGTTTCGAATCAAACGAGAACTCGACACCTTAATCGGCCCGGTTGTCACCGCAAAGGTAGTCCGATCGGGATCTCTTTTAATCCGGGTTAAAAACAAGGCTCAGGCCTCGCTGGCCCTTTCGATCCAGACTTTCCTCGGCAACGAAGTCGCCGCCAGCCCTGCCACCAAACTGAACTCGGTGGCCGGCACTGTATTTGCCCCATCACTGAAAAACATGGACGAGACAGAGCTCCTACACGAACTGCGGCCGCAGGGGGTCACCCTCGTCACTCGACTCCGCTCGCGTGGCCCCACCCCAAACCCGAGGATCAAAATCCACTTTCTGGGCCTTACCTGCCCACCGGCTATATACGCGGGATATGAAATCTTGGAGGTCAGGGAATGGGAGCCCAGCCCCCGCCTCTGTCGACAGTGTGGCAGCTTCGGCCACAACCAGACGACCTGCAGGTCAAAGCGACTGAACTGCCTGAAGTGTGGCACATCCGGCCACAAGGTCGATGAGTGCGACCGGGACCTCTACAGGTGCGGCCACTGTGGTGGCCCGCACCCAGCCTGGGATCGGATGTGCCCCGCATGGGAGTACCAAAAAAATAAGCTCAAAGCCAAGCTGGCGCCACCACCCCCGCCCCCACCGTTCCCGCCGAGTTCCTACTCGGAGTCAGGTGCCTCTGAATATCCGGCGCTCTCGTCCTCTCCACGCAGGGCCTCACTCACGGACACCGTACCGAGTCGCGAAAACCCGCCGGTCCAGAGTCGCACCCCGAAAGCCCCTGTCCGTCGACAGCTGAGCGCGCCCGAGGCTGTGGAGACCCCCGCGTCTGAGCCGGAGCGGGTGACTGAATCGCCCCTCAGCCCGGACGGAAAGCAGACGGAGACGTCGGCCGGTCCTCCGGCTGTCACCCCGGGACAGGCGCAGTGCGACCGCGGCGACGACGAATCGGTTCCAAACAGCACCGGCAACATGGTGATGGAGTCATGGGTCGACAGTATCGTGGACACAGGGGCGGACTCAGACGTTTCTGACACAGAGACCGTCTCTACAATCGTGGGTCCGGTGGCCTCTCCGCCCGCCGACTTAGAGACGGATGAGGCCGCCTCAGCGGCGAGCCAGCATGTAAACGCAGACACTCAGCATCCGCGAGCCACGACACGCGCCCCGTCCCCAACCCCGTCAGAGGGGATGAAGACCAGAGCCGCAGCGGCGGCTGCTCGTGAAAAATCTGTTTAACACTCAACACACATAAAACATGCATCGATCTGATGAATTCGTCCTCCAGTGGAACACTTCCTCTCTAGTGAGCCACTGGGGCGAATTCAAGAACTATATATTAAATAAAAAACCGTTGATAGCCGCCATTCAGGAGACCCATTTTCTGGACTCAGATTCCTCTAATTACAACTTTAACATACGTGGATATACTTTATATACAAATAACGTAAATGAAAAACCCCGCCGAGGCGGCTCGGCCCTTTATATTGCTAATAACCTCTTGCACCACGAAATTCAGCTCCGCACCACGCTTAACGCGGTCGCAGCTCAAGTCAAAATAGCGCAACATGACCTTGCCATCCTTTCCCTGTACCTTTCCCCAAGCCACCGCTTTTCCTCCTCTGAACTCCGCCAATTGTTTGTCCAGCTTCCCCACCCCTGCCTAATACTAGGAGATTTTAATGCCCACCACAGATCCTGGGGCTCAACAACGAACAACGCGCGCGGAACACTAATTGATAAGATAATGGATTCACTTGATCTCATTTGCATTAACAACCGCACACCCACTTTCACCAGACGCAACCAAGGTCAAGTCATACACTCCGTCATCGACTTGGCCTTCACAGACACTAACACCGCGACACTTTTCACTCAACACGTCGGAGATGATACATTGTTTAGCGACCATTATCCCATTCACTATCAACTTAATGTCCCTTCAGGACAAGCCAATTTTACATTTCTTCCTCGTTGGAACTTTAAGAAAGCTGATTGGGCCTCCTTTCAAAAACATATAGATGAACACACTCCCACCCCTCCCCCTGACATCAACACCTTTTTAAACGTGATTCTCGCTGCTGCTCACCAAAATATTCCCCATACCCACCCCCCACGTGAAAACAAAGCTGCCCCTTGGTGGAACGCTGACTGCAATCGAGCTGTAGCTCTGCGGAAGCGTGCCTTACGAGTCTTTAACAAATGTATTTGCGATTACCATGAAAATGCCCTCCGGAAGGCCCGATATGATGCTTCACAAATAATACTTAAAGCAAAACAAGAAGGATGGCACTCCTTCTCTAACAGCTTTAATAGATTTACTCCCCTTTCTAAAATCTGGTCGCTAATTAGAGTTTTTTCGACAAGGCGCAGCACAACTTACAAAATTCCTCATCTCTACATTAACAACACCCACTACACCACTCCCCTTCAAGTTGCGACACAATTCGCCCAACATTACGCACGAATATCTTCTGCTCAACAATACACACAAGTACAACATGACAGCTTTGACACAACACTCGACACCCTCTCCTTCGACTCAGCAAATACTGAAAATTATAACAAGCACTTTGACTTGTTCGAACTTAGACACGCCATATCTCGATGTGGTGAAACGTCGGTAGGGCCGGATCAGATAGCCTATCCTTTCTTCAAAAACCTTTCTGAATCCGGCCTTGAAAACCTTTTGATAGTAATCAATAATCTATGGGAAAACAATTTGTACCCCGAGAGCTGGAGAAACAGTACCATCGTCCCCATCCTCAAACCCTCCAAACCACCCTCCTCCCCCTCTAGTTATAGACCTATATCCCTAACCAGTTGCGCTGCTAAATTGACAGAACATATGGTCAATGGACGGATTAGGGCATATCTAGAAGGTAACTACCTCCTCTCTCCACATCAAACAGGATTTAGGTCCGGCCGCTCCACGGCAGACAATATAGTCCACCTCATTGATGACATCCAGAAGGGCTTCCAAAATGACATGTATACATTTGCAGTTTTCATTGATTTTCAAAACGCCTTTGATAAAGTAAATAAACAAGCCCTTCTGATCAAACTTCATAAGACAGGTATTCGCGGCCACATGGCCCATTATATCTCTAATTTCCTCAAAGATAGAACATTTAACGTACGATGCGGTAACACATTTTCTCCCAATCTTAATCAGGATCACGGCCTCCCTCAGGGCAGTGTCCTCTCCCCAACCCTCTTCCTTATTATGATTAACGACCTTTTTCAAAACCCACCTAGTAGCCTTAAGCATTCTATTTTTGCCGATGATGTGGCCATTTGGGTAACGCGAAGAAACATTGACTCGGCTTTTGCCTCCGTTCAAAACGCAATGGAGGATATTCATAGCTGGTGCGATAAATGGGGCCTAGTCTTGTCGCCCAGCAAAACAGTAGCACTTATATTCTCCCATAAGTCCCGTTTTAAATTTGATACCGAACTTAAAGTAAAGAACCAAACTATCAAATACGTTAAAACGTTCAAATACCTCGGCATCACACTAGATAGTAGACTCTCCTTTAAACATCACTTTGAAGACGTTAAAATGCGTTGCACTAGGCGCCTCAACATACTTAAGTGTATAGCAGGAAAGGATTGGGGTGCTGATCGCAGCACCCTCCTTAACCTATACACTTCCCTAATCCGTCCTATCCTGGATTACAACAGTTTTCTATTTGATGATATAGCTTCTAATCAGATCGAATCACTTCAAGTTATACAAAATAAGGCCCTGCGTATAGTTACAGGAGCCCAATGCACCACAAATATCAAGGCTCTCCACGCAGAATGTAATATTCCTCTTCTCTCTCACCGCCGTAAACTCCAACTCCTTCGCTTCTATGCGCGCACTTTCTTGTCCCCTTATTCGCCTTCGCACCGCATTGTCTCCAATCGATATACGGACGACCCTCCCACAACGGCCCAACTCAAATACCCGATAATCGCCTATCGCATAGAAAGGACACTCAGTGAGGTACTGGCATGCATTTAACTTATGCTGGAGGGTTTTTAGGGGGAACAATCACTGGTGAGCACATCCCAGCAACCATTGTGAAGTGTACAAAAAGTGGCCAGTTTTGCCTCTCCCTTTGGGCTTTGATAATGACTGAATCTGACATTGCATTTTATTGGACAATGGATGTGCTCAGCTGAATGAAGCCTGAAGTGAAATAAAAATGGTGCTAAATTTGAATTTATTCATATTTGTTCATGTTAGGTGAGTTGAGTTGACTTTTTCCAGAACTAGAAGTGTAGTTCACAACTTCACATGTTTTTAATTATTATCTGCTGTTTTGTAAAATCATGAAATGTGTGATGCACCCGCCGGCCGCCACCCTAGCAGATGTACTTGTGGTTCTTTTTACAATTGAAGGTATTCATTTCTTTTTCAGCAAGCCACATTGTGTGTCGCACAAATTTTTCATATCATAATTGGTTTGCCATGGTCGTGCCCTAGGACCCTCTACTTTCATTTACCATTTCCAACATATGTGGTGTTACTGCTAAGCCGGTGGCCTCATGGCTGAGTTAGATTCGCGCCAGTTCCGGGCCGGCTGCGCCCGCCTTCTGCGTCGCTCGCGGCAGCTGGGCGACGTCTGGCAGTGGCGTCAGATCGGTGCCGACGGCTTCCTCGTGCGGGAGACTGTGGTCCCGGCTCCACCGCCCGCCGACGATACCTGCGCCGTCGACTCCGACGATGGAGAGACCGACTCGGCGGCGGTGGCGGCGTGTCCGTCCGTCTGGCTGCTGGAGCACCATGTGGCGCTGAGCAGCTCGTACGGCGTGCCGCTACTGCTAATGACCGGCCGCGACCTGTCCGGCCGGCCGCTGGAGGCCGAACAGGTGTGGCGTCTGGCGCCCGCAGAGCACGCCGACCACCTCCGGCGCCACGGCTGGGCCACGCTGTCGCTACTGGAGCACCCCGTGCTGCGCCGGCTGTTCCTGGCCGTACACCCCTGCCACACGGCCCGGCTGATGGCACAGGCAACTGCTGCGGACCGGTCGGAGGTGGAGAATGGCGGCGGCGGGGACCCGCCTACCTCCTCTGTCGCTCAGAGCAGGCTGTGTAACAGCAGTGCTGGTCAAGGCCAGCAGAACTCTGAAGGCACCGAAGCGCGGTCTCGACCGTGTGGCACCGTCGAACCCGTGCCTGTCGTGACCGTAAAGATCGCATCTGGTGATATTAGAGCAGTAGTGGGACATAGTGATCAGGACCGGACCAATGGATGTGAACTTGACGATACTGGTCTCTGCACTGAGCAGGAGGAGCGGGCATACCGCTACCTTATACTCTGGCTCAGTATGTTCGGGCCCATTTGCGGACTGACCGTACACGAGGCCTATGCTTTTTAGATTGTGATGTGCGTCAAGGGGCGTATATTGTGATTTCCGCCGTGCGTCCTATGGTGCATGTGCTCTGTGTGTCTGTATTTGTATGTAGTATGCGTCACTGCTCTGTGGTTCATATTCGTAGCCGATTACGTGAGTCAGTCATAGGTGCGGTTGTTGCATTGGTCTGTATCGCCGCCACATGCCTCGCTCTTAAATCAATTACTTTACAAATGCTACCAAGCTTTCTATGTTAAGCTGGTGTAATTCGGATGAGTATAAGTATTGCACTGTGATAGAATGCCGGTAAATATCAGTGTTAGCAATGCGAGTGTTCGCCTGTGATTTCTGGGCAAAGCTGCACGTTATGATTTATTATTCCATTTCGATCCCGCGGGAAAATATATATTTTCATTCATCACATTTTTCAGATATATTCTAAGAGTTGATAATCATAAGCATCTACAATGAGCGATGAGGAGCCAGACTACATGTCAGAAGACTTCCTGAAGTCATGGTAAGTGAACCTAGTGTCTTACGGGCGTATTCAGCTTGGAATAAGTTTTGAAATCGATATAAATAAGAACTTGACCGGCCAAACAATTTTGCTATGATTAATCTTCGCGTAAAGAACCCTGACTACACACCCTGACTACACAAAGCGACACCTTATGACCCTGTTTTTTATCGTTCATCGTCCTCGTCTTGCTGTCTTGCCACATGCTTCGATTCTGCTGTTTTATGTCCGTGCTCAGCGACGCCCGCGGACGCTACGTAGGCTCTGCTGCCCGCGGGTGCACGCCAAGGTCCCGCCCTCTCGTCGGCCAGTGAGGTGTTCACGAGGTCGGTCCTGCACGCTATAATACCTACTCTGTGAGCCAAGTCTGACTGTGTTTATGTCTGTGTGGCGCAGTGTCGGCGGCCAGGACGTGCGTCCGGGCCTGCAGTTCCGCCGGGAGGCCGAGCGGCAGCACCGTCTGGAGCGGCGCCGCCAGCTAGCGGACCAGCAGCGGCGCGAGCGCAGCCGGCCCATCCACGTCCTGGAGGCGGAGCAGCGCGAGCGCGCCCTGGATAAGGTGAGACACCGCCGCCCACCGGGGGATCAGGTCAGATACTCCCGTCTAGCCGAGGACCATCGACCGGGTCACACGCCCCTGCTTGTCCACCCGGGTTCAGGCCAGACCTATTCTCCCGGGAACTAGATCAGACACCCTATCATCGAGACCAATCAGACACCAATTCGCAATGCGGAATAAAACCGTTTGTAATACGCATTGAATATTCAGGCTTCGTTTTTCTTTTCAGCCAATCGACTCTAGCAACAAAGGCTTTGCGATGCTGCAAATGATGGGCTACAAACCTGGAATGGCAATCGGCAAACAAGGTAATGTCGACGACTCGACATGTCTCTGCTATTGTAGCGTCGTTGAATTACTAATTGAACTTGGTATGACTTCACTGAAGTTTGTTCGAATAATCGTTTTCCTGTTTATAAATGCGAAGGGACAACGGTAGGGCTGGTGGTGTTTCATGATGATTTGAGTGTATCTAACTTGGTACTGAGTTGCTTACTAACTGATGCATATGTATTTATTAGCGATGTGATTTGCGTACCAGTTTCATTTTAAGCCAGCAATTATTCCGGATTGACCATTCAAGGACGGCAACGAGATAATAAGACGGGAAAAATTATACTTGTCCATGGACGTTGCATCCACAAGTCTCAGTCGTGTCGCGAAGAACCTGATAGCTTGCGTGTTTGTGCTGGTTCGTGCATGCATGCGCTCATGCTGCATTTATCCAGGCACCGCTGAGCTCCTGACCTGAGACCCTGACCTGAGACTGATCCGGCCACCGCCCTGTGTCACCAGGTGACGGTCGGACCGAGCCGATCCGGCCGGAGCTGAATCAGGGCCGCGCGGGGCTCGGACGGCAGGCGGCGCTGCGCGCGCTGGAGGAGCGCAAACGGGAGCTGCGCGCCCGAGCCGCCGAGCGCCGCCAGCAGGCCACCTGCGCTGTGGAGTTCCGACGGAGGATGCGCGACAAGATGAGCGACCGGCACCTCACGGCCGACCTCATGAAAAGTCAGCGGGTCTGCCAGGAACTGGACTCAAAAATGGTGGGTGATCGCCGATTTTGTCCTTTATGCTTACCTTTGGCGTGTGCTTGATTATTTTTTTACATAGCTAGAATATTCTATTTACCGTCTTAGTTATGTCTATTGCCGATTTAGTTACCGTCTTACACATCTGTTCACTATCTTTAGCGATTAATAAAGTGCTTTATTAGGTCAACTGAATATCGGGTCATTGGTTCATTGTAATATTGACGCCAGGAGATTTCCAGTATCATGGGTCGATATTTGACTCTGAGGTGCCACCTCTCCGGCCGCAGGACGTTGCGGCTCCTGCCGAGCCGTGGTTCTGGCCGCCGCCGCCGCCGCCCTCCGAGGCTGACGGTGACGCAGAGGCTGACGCCGAGCAGCAACCGGAGGAGGACGCCGTCCCCTTCTCACCAGCCGATCAGCTGGAGCTCCTCACCGACTACCTCCGCCGAACGCACTTCTACTGCATTTGGTGCGGCTGTGCTTACGACGACGAACGCGACCTCAGGGAGAACTGTCCCGGCAACACCAGGGATGATCACTGAATCAGTGTGCTGATAGCAAATGAATCGTGCCTATTTTCCTTCGGACTTGTGGAAAGGTCGACACTCAGGAAGATGTCACGCTTGTATGTGTACTCGAACGTGAAGTGCGCATACACACATGACACGTGCAGGGACGCGCTTACGCAGTTGTATATATCATACGTGCGTTCCCATGCAAGCGTGCTCCAGTGTCGCCACTTATCGATGTCCATGACTTTGTGCAAATACATCTCGATATTTGTGTGTAAGTGGAGCGTTCCAATGGAGACCACGATTATTCATATGAATAGCGCGATGAAGCCCAAAGCTCTCATCTGAATGTAATCACAACACAACAGGCAAGGCTGCGAGGGGACAAGGGAAAAGTTTCTACAGATTTTATTGTTGTTGTTGGTTATTTTCCTCTCGTCCTCGGCGCCGTGGGTTTTCGGTCCTGTTCTTGTACGAGCGGTATCCAGCGGCCTAGGCGGACACCACGTGATCCTGCGTCGCAGCCCCTGGATTTCGTCGACGTTGCCCAGTGAGAGGAGACGGCCCCACAGACTCAGTGGACTCAGTGGCGCGGGCAGTGCAGTAGGACGCAAGGCGATCTATAGGTAGGACGTACCGTGCGATGCCCTTCTTCATTGGCACAGCTTCCAGGCCGAGACGGTGTAGGCCGTTGCAACCGGCGGACATTTCTCGGTTGGTCGGCGGGGTCGGCGATCGATTCGGTGTCGGCATCGGGCAGTGTGCCCAAGGCCATATATAGTCTCTGTCTCAATGCCAGGCCCGGAGCAGATGGATGTCCACCGTGGTCCCTTTTACCCACCCCCATAGGTGCTGGCAGCGAACTGTCACTTTATAGATGAAGCCGGGGGTGTGCCGTCGAAATTAGATAAGACAGCAGCACGGTATATAGAGGACAGCACGATCGCATGGCCCTTGCTGCTCTGCGCTGAGCTCGCTAGCGAATACTCAACTGCTGCGTTTTTCACGAACGTCATTTCGTCAACCTTGAGTGAAAGCCGCCGGTTGAATTTCCGGTAGAAATTTCGGTAGAACCGGTAGAACTCTGCCTTGTTTTTGTGAATCTGTGCGGCGGAAGGGGTTTCGGCGCACGTTTTTGTACGATATTCTATTTTTCTTCTACATATTTAGTCACTGGCGGTCCCAGGGGGGGGCCACGGGGGCCATGGCCCCCCCTTTGGTGCTGAAAGGTGGGGCCATACTATCTTTTGGCCCCACCTTTCAAATCGAACGAAAGTCCTAGAAAAGCTTTTTGTATGTTTCATTTTCTTTCTTGAGCCATCAAAGGACGTGAATTTCAGTCATGAGTGGGTTCAGTTTCGCATTCTGTCAATTTGGCGGTCAGCGTCGCTGGCACCGGTTCACGAGTATGGCCGGATCTTATATGGAATATCAGCGTGGGTTTACTTGAGGCTCTCGTAGGCCCAGCAATGGCTGTAATGAGACCCTCTTCGGTAGTGGCGGGTGGGCCCTGCCAAATGAGCGTGGCTCTACGACACTAAAGTAAGACCTCATGGGTGGTGCTATGCATCTCAGAAGCCCGGTGGTGACGCCGTATGCCGGCTTGGTTTCTTAAGGATTAGCGTGGGACCTCCGGGGCCTGCATAGAGTTTGCATGAGCTAGTATGTAATCTCAGAGGCCTGTGTGTAATGTGTACACAGTGGCGGTCGCGGGGGGGGGGGCATCAGGGCCATGCCCCCCCCCCAATTAGGCACATAAAGGGGGCCATCATATCATTTGCCCCCTCCCACTCAAGCAACCGATGGGCCCCCATAGGTATATGGGGCCCTGGCCCTGATTCGATCGTCATGAGGCTAAAAAATCCCACGCCCAGCTATTAATATAGCTCCCACACCGGTCTTTGAGAGCCCGAAACTGACCTCTGAGGAAACTTCAGCGGCGGTCAAGCGCCCACGTTGACCACTAAGAGCCCACATCGACCTCTTAGGTCCCACATCTGGCCTATGAGGGCCCCTAACAGGCCTCAGGGGTCCCAAACGGCGTCGAGGGTCTCACACCGGTCTCTGGTGGCCTTATTTCTGTCTCTGGTGTCCCAAGACGAAGATTTAGGTGCCAATGAGGGCCTCGCACTGGCTGCTGAAGACCCGATGCCGGCCTCTAAGGGCCTGCATTGGCCTCTGAGGAGGGCCCATCTTGGCCTTTGAGGGCTCTCTGCTGGCCTCTGGGGTCCAACGACGGCTTATGCCGGTCTTTAAGGGCCCCACGCTGACCTCTGAGGGCCCCATGTTGGCCTGTACTGAGTAAGGACCCACATTAGCCTCTGAGAGCCCAACTCGGTCTCTGATGGTCTCAAACCACTGGCCTTTGCAGTTTGCAGGCCCTGTATTTGTCTCTGAGGGCCCTAAACTGGCCTCTAAGTGAAAACATACATGGGTGGGCTTCTGAAGATCACAGGGCTCACGCAGACTCCTGCACAGCCTTACGTTGGTCCTGATCGAGGTTACTTTACGTCCGGATGGTCCCGCGCAGATTCCCTCCTATTTCGACGTCGGGGCCCCATGAGCCGGTATGGGTCCTGGGGCTGGCAGTGACTGATGAAGTCCTTAGGGCTCAGGGCCAGTCTTTTTAGCAGTAGGACTAGGCAGGTTGAGTGAGCCCCAATAGAGCCGTTGCGAAGCCCCGCAGAAGTCGCGCACGGCCCTCAGATGCCAATAATTTTGAAAACCAGGAACCTGTGGGGGTCTCCAGAGGTCGGTCTACCAACTCTCTCCCGCCGCCACACAACTATACCTATTGGTAAATGTCATAGTCTGAAAATGCTCTCTGGGTTTCACATGCTTGTTCAAAGCAAGAGGTATCTGTACTTTTCCGAATTGTTTTATAGTGGTAAGGTCATGCATCCGCGTGCCCGATCTTCCAGCATATGCTACACCGATCCGTCGTCATGCTGGACGTAAAAAATTAGCCGATCACTCCCCCCCCCCCCTCCGGTGACGGATAAATGTTATGTCCCGCGAGTGTGACTTTGGCCCCCCCTTTTGCTAGCGGCTGCGACCGCCAGTGTATTTAGTTGTTGGTAAGTGATATTTATCGATTTTCAGCCATTTTATGTTTTGTAACAAGGAATAGGAAACAGCAGTTAATGGTGCAGCCTTCTGCCTTGTTTCATGGATTGGCAACAAGTAATAGATCATTACAAGTGCATCTAAATTTATCTTCATTTATGAAGCTGTTGTGATATATAAGAATTAACTTTCCCACTCCTTGCTTACCCTGCAACTTGATTAAAAGCTGCTTACATCTTTTATGCATCAATGTACAGACATTTTTTGCTAGAGGGTTGTTGTGCAATTTGGACGACTTTGTTGGTGCGAAGGCGTCCCAGCCTATGCTGATGCACGATGTGCAATTCCCATGTAGCAGCGTAGGCTCCAATTTGGCACCATGCTGTACTGCTGCGCTGGTGCATAATCGTCCAAGAAAATTATGTGCAGCATTGGGCGGGCATTGGGAATCGGGACATGTTGGGGTCGGCCACGCCACGGATGGGGGCGTTTAGAATGATGTTTGACTTCAAAAAATAGTTGGCTACTTTCCGAGATCTTGAGTTGGGCTCAACAGACCCTCCCCAAGCAGTGGCAGAGTCTGAGAATAGACCAGCTGGATGTGGGTGAAGATTTAGTTGTTTTGTTGTTTTGGGTTAGGGAGGGCCAGACTGGAATAAATACATGTTAAGCCAAATATGTCCAGCGTAGTGGTGGGATTGCGGCAAAAATATCAGCGCACGTCCGGCGTAACTTTGCTTGCCCCGAACTCAGCACATGGCGGGAGCCAAATTTTTTGGCGCATGGCATAATTTTTTGCATAATTTTTGGCGAATGATGGTCACAGAATTTAGTTGGCACGCTGGTCAATCTAGCAGCACATTCGCCCTCCGGGCGGCTCTGGAGAGGGTTTGGGAGGAGACGTCCCTGGGCGGTCGTCAGTGCCGAATTGGTGAGCCGACCTGAGTCTATTCAGCTGAGGAGCAGCCGCCCAGGTGAGGTCTCCACCCTCGGGGCAGAGATGGGCATGAAAGGCCTTATTGAACATCGCCGGGCGTCGTGAAGTGATATAGCAGTCAGGTTCCTGCCCACCGTGGTATCGAGGGGAATGAAAGCGCGGCGAAACAAGCGGCCCCCCTGCCCTCTGACGCCCGCATGCTGATCCGGATGGTTTATTGTGCGGCCTCGCGTCAATGGCGCGACAATTGGTCTGAGTCACTATTCAAGCCACTCCTCGGGAGTACGCCGCCGCTCCCCATCCTTGGAGAGACCGAGAGGACGCCGTGTCAGTGCACCAGATGAGGGCGGGGCCCGAGCCACTGGGGCCGCTCGCTACAGTACCTGCAACGGATCGGCCGTCTCCCCTTTGAGGCATGCCAGGAGTGCCCAGACAAGCGGTGCGCACTGCCCCGCGGCGCTCTGCACCGTGTGCCGAGAAGAGGCTGATGTGCCGGGGCACGTGCTGCTCCGCCGCCCGGCCCTTGCTGGCGCCCGTCAGCCTGGAGCACACTGCTCCGCCGATTTGTGTGGCCCCGGTATTTCCGGCAAAGGGCGTTGCTTCATGGCACGACGCTACAGTGCGCTAAGCGTATTGTGGTATTGGGTTTCCGTGTAAATAAAAACTTATTCAGACGCTCAAACATAGGAGTGTCCAAGGCCCCGGGACGCTCTATCTGGTTGATATAGCCGGCCGTCTGTATTTGCGTGAATCAGTCTCGGTCAGTAGATGTGCACATGTGCTTTATATAAGAGTGGCTTAATTTTGACGCAAATAAGCACCCAATTTTTGACACAAATCATGCAGAAATTTCAGCGCAAAATCACTTGCGCCAAATTTCGGCGCATGAGGGTCTCACGGGCGTCTGGAGTAGTGTATGAATGTTTTCCAGTCTGGGGTTAGGGCACATAGCAACTTGGCTCTTGGGTCCAACTTTGGGTCAAGCATTGTAGGAAGATGCCAGTTTGGTTAAGGCGATAGGTTTGACAGTTTTATATGGTTGGTCAATAAGTCACTTAAAAATAAAAATTGCAGCACAAATGTATTTGCAACTTTTTTAGAGTAGTAAGAAATAGACTAGGTACCTACCTATTTGTTTTGTGTCACATCTGGTCCCCCTCTGCACCAATTTTGGGTTGTACAGATAAGATGTAGACTGAAAGATATCATATCTTTGATGACTAACAGGTGTGTAGCTGTAGAGGACTAATCATTACGAGCGAGCTCAGCGAGCGAAGTGAGTCTTTTCAATATAACGGAAAAATCTCAGTATGAGCGGCCCGGCCCGGCCCGGCCCGGCCCTGCCTGTAACGCTTTTGAGAGGCTTACCTATATCTCAGCAACCGCTGGACCGATTGGCCTGCGGTCTTTTTTGCTGGGTAGCCCCATCCCTTCTACCCCGTAATGGACTACTTTTGATACAACTCAGTGACCGTCGTGGCACGTGCCACGTGAAAAGTCAAGGGTGTTCAAGCTGTTTTGCAAAAGTAGTGATGTTGAGAGGCTCGTATCTCAGCAGCCGCTTGGGCGATTGACTTGCGGTAATTTTTGTAGGATAGCAGCATCCCTTCTACCAAAAATAGGATACTCTCGATCAGGGCTGCGGAGTCGGAGTCGGAGTCGGAGTCGGTCGGAGTCGACAGTTTTGACCGGAGTCGGAGTCGGAGTCGATATTGGAAACCCCAGCCGGAGTCGGAGTCGGAGTCACCGAAGATCTGTCGACTCCGCAGCCCTGCCAGGTGTGCGGAGTCGGAGTCGGGAGTTGGAGTCGATCGGAGTCGACATTTCTGCCCGGAGTCGGAGTCGGAGTCGGAGTTGGTTTTTGAAAGCCGGAGTCGGAGTCGCCGTAAATCCATCGACTCCGCAGCCCTGCTCTCGATGCATGTGGGTCACCCCCAGGCCCCAGTGCACGTACAAAATACAACAATAAGAGGTGTCAAATTTGTTCTCATTTTAATAACTCGGTAATTACTGGGGCGATTTCGCTGAAACTTGGCATACAGGTAGGCACCCACCAGGCAATGCATTCCCATGTGTTGCGGTTAATGTGCTACTGCACGTGCGCACGTGCAGGGGGCGCTTCCAGATCTCGAGAACGGCTGGGCCGATTGCGCTCAAATTTGGTACACGGTTGGGGACCAGTTAGTAGGGTGCCGTGCAAAAGTCAGTTTGGACTCCCTTTGCACGTGCGCACGTGCAGAATGCCGCTTCCAGATCTCAGGAACGGCTGGGCCTATTGCGTTCAAATTTGGTACACCGCTAGAGACCGGTTAGAAGGGTGCTTTGCGCAAGCCCGTCGGAAGTACCCTCTCGCCCTTCCGCACGTGCGGGGCTCACTATCTCGCTCGCTCGTTCTTCGCCCAAAAGGCGTTTTACTGGTTATAGCATTTACTGTGCATGAATGCTGCTAGATACTTTGTCAAAGCTGAACAGGTGAAAAACCTAGGGTATAATATCCTTACCTAGGAAAGCCTCCTTACCTTGGGCCTGGGTGCCACACCTAGCCTGACATCCCAGGCTTGGTGAGGTGTAAGTGAGGTCTACCTACTTTATATGCTTGGTTTATAAGGCTGCATTAGCATGTCTAGTAATGCAGTTGATTTGTATGCACAAAATATTTCAGGTTTTGCAACAGTGCTATATTGTTATAGCATGAGGTGGTTATCCTGTCATTGAACATTTATCATTTTATACACCAATCGATTCACTGCAGTATTATGGCTTTCTGCCATTGATGTGACCTGCCACCTTTTGGCAGGACTGACATCATGTGGGGCGGATCGGAGAACCAGTCCCAGAAGACGCTGGGGATGACCTCGGCCATCAGTCTGGCGCCGGCCAAGCCAGCTGACCTGGAGAAGTCCCGAGAGCTAGAGAGCTTCCTGCGGGACCAGGACCAGTTCGAGGCTGACGTCGAGCTACACCAGAGGTGAGTTCTCGGACGCCACACCGCAGCACCGATGGGTACTGCCGATGGTGAGAGCTGGCACAGAGATGATGGTGCACAGTTTGGTAGTGTGTTATGACCCGTGCAAGAGAACGCCCACTACTGCAGGGATCTTCCTCACTGATTATCAACTCTGTAATAGATCTGTGTGCGCAGTTGAATGAAGACATTACGTTCTGTTTCAGGCTCGAGGTTCTTAGTAAGCTCAACACACTAGTAAAAATGTGGATCAGAGATGTGAGTATAGCCAAAAACATGCCAGAAAGCGTCGCATACACCGTCGGAGGCAAGATCTACACATTCGGGTCCTACAGGTATGGTATTTAGTTCGATTGTCCCAATTGGGATATCAGTTACTGAATCTGTTTGATTTTCTTATCCGATGTGGCCATTTTTGCCTTAATTTCTTCTGTCATTCATTTACAACCACATGAACTGTTAACTTGAGCGTTTGATGAGAACTGGGTCTTCAGGTCTAATGACATTTACTGAATGCCCAGCCATTATGTATATGATACCTATAATAGCTGTACCCCAATGATCGCCGGCTGCGCCGCTCGCTGTTGCTGACTGCGCTGTCCGGTGCCCCGCCGCAGACTGGGCGTCCATAACCGCGGCGCCGATATCGACACGCTGTGCGTGGCGCCGCGGCACGTGGAGCGGTCCGACTACTTCTCCAGCTTCCTGGAGCTGCTGCGGAACACGCCGGGCGTCACCGACCTCAGGGTGGGTGCTGGGTGCTGGGCAGGGCGCCATCGTCAGGCAGAGAACGCTGTGTTTGTTCAGTTTCCCACACGCCGATTTACCACTGGATGGTGTCTTTTTTGTATCGCTGTTTTCCCATTTAAAAACCTGACCATATCAAGTTTGGTTAGATGCTGTTGGAAGCTTCTTCTTGGCAGCTTATTTAGAATTCTAATAATTCTAATATGAAACACTTTTTTAAATAAGTGCATGAAGCAGTTTATCGTTTTCATCCCAGACATAATAAATTGTTATTCATTACGATATCAGCTACCCAAACCTTGATCTCAAGACAGCACCGGTTTTTGTTGTGGGCGCTCATCTGATGTTTACTGCCATTGCTGTTGCACAGCTGTCATTGAGAGTTTCTTCTGCCCACCAGGCAGTGGAGGACGCCTTTGTACCCGTCATCAAGATGGAGTTTGACGGCATCGAGATCGATATGCTGTTCGCTCGCCTGGCACTGAAAGAGATCCCCGATGACATGGTAGGTACTCCCGTCGTTTTATCGGCTTGCGTTATGTCTTTCTGCGGCGGATATGAACACTCGCATGTTTAGCAAGTCTAGTGCCCTCACTGTTAAGTCGCTCCTACCCCACTTGCTGATATAAATTCCCTCCTTTCCCCCCAGGACCTTCGCGACGACCACCTGCTGAAGAACCTGGACCAGAAGTGTGTGCGCAGTCTGAACGGCTGCCGGGTGACGGACGAGATTCTGAGGCTGGTGCCCAACGTGGAGACGTTCCGACTGGCTCTGCGCGCCGTCAAACTCTGGGCAAAACGTAAGATGGGGATGCCGGTAGGCTTAATGTCACAGAGAATGGACACGGTTGTAGCACTGTATAGCATCCAAGGCAGTTGATGTGATAGTACGGCGTGCTTTTCTAATGAGAAATAAGTGAGGTCTTTTGGCATTACCGGAAAAGACGTTTGTTTATGCGGATGAAAACATAAGGCGGGTAACGTTGTTGTATGAGTTGACTGACTGTATCACTCTCGGCAGGGCGCGGCATCTACAGTAACGTGCTGGGCTACCTGGGCGGCGTGTCGTGGGCCATGCTGGTGGCGCGGACGTGCCAGCTGTACCCGAACGCGGCGCCCTCCACCATCGTCAACAAGTTCTTCCTCGTGTTCAGCCAGTGGGAGTGGCCGCAGCCGGTACTGCTGCGGCAGCCAGACAACGTCAACCTCGGCTTCCCCGTGTGGGACCCGCGGGTTAGTGCTATTTACTATTTGGTATATTTGGGTGATATGCACGATGTACACCTCGGGTCTAAATTCTCATTTTTAGGGGACAGGCTGGTCTGCATTAGCTTGAAAAATATGTGGTGGGAAATATTATGTGGACTTGGCTTCGACGATTGGCATTGGAGCTAACTGCGCTCATTGCTCATACCATTCGCAATAATTGTATTTGATAGGAGCGAGGACATGGTCTTCCTTCACAGTTCGTAAATATGGTAAAGTTTGATATATTTCCCGGAGCTGATCAGACCAGTATTTGAGGCTTTGCTACCGCCCTGCGGACGGACGAGTTGGCGATGTCTGACCTCTCTGCGGTGGCGCAGTGTTCGCTGCTGGGGCTGTCAGTCGGCCGCCATGACGAAGTCTGGGTAGGACCTGGCCAGTGGCGGCCGTAGTTAACGATGTCTGACGGCGGATCCGTCGTTTTTCAGGTGAACGTGTCTGACCGGTTCCACCTGATGCCCATCATCACACCGGCGTACCCGCAGCAAAACTCCACCTTCAACGTCTCGAACAGCACGCGCACAGTCATGACGGAGGAGTTCAAGACGGGCCTGGCGGTGACCAACCAGATCCTGGACAGCTCGTCGCCCTGGGAGCTCCTCTTTCAGCCGCACTCGTTCTTCGCCAAGTACAGGTAGGCTGGACAGTGGACACAGTGCTCCGTTTTGATCGTAACACAGCTATTTGCCAGCTTACTTCGAGGTGGATTAGTTGTAGGTACTAGATGCTCACACGCTTTTCCACGTGTCATACGCAAGCCGTAGTTATTTTGAAGAGAAAAAAAAACACAGCACAATGAAAGCCGAGTGCAATATTTTAGCCGTGACATTTGCGAAAAAGAAGAAGTGTTTTTTTCAGAATGTTTGCACTTTTGTAGCTATTTTGCTTGATAGGTTACGTTCCCAGTAGACTGCGATCATAATTTCCACAGGATGCTGACTGCTGGTGAACTAAATTGATCTGTTCATTAGCCTTGTTTTCAAAGACACTAAACTGGTGATTTTGTCCTCTCCAGGCACTATCTGATGATCGTCGTGTCTGCGGACACCGAGGATGACCTGCTCGAGTTCCGCGGCCTGGTCGAGTCCAAGATCCGCCACCTGGTCACGTCGCTGGACCGCAACCAGAACATCAGCCTGGTGCACGTGAACCCGGAGACGCTGCCGCCGCCGCCCGACTCGGCGCCGTACGTTAACGTATAGCGCCGCCCAGCGCCCCTACTGGGTCCACCTTGCTTGTCTACACTGGGTCCTGAGGTCACCTCGGTGCCAGGTCACCCCAGGCCGTCACGCACCCCCTTCCCGTCTACAGTGGCAGGTGTCAGCTGGGCGCGGCCGAACGTTTGGGCCAACTCTCCTATGAGGTGTATCATTCAGAATGCTTGGTGTACGGCACGTCTACTGCACATTCCGCCTATCGATCTTGTAAGGCATCCGCGGTATTGTGGTGGTTTTGTTCCGCCTGATTGCTGACTGCTGTTCTGTGTGTCCGTTTTCCAGGGGAGCACACAGCTGCGTCTGGGCTCTGGGCCTGGTGTTCAACAAGTCCGAGCACCTCAACGTCGATCTGACGCTCGAGATTCAGAACTTCACTGAGCACGGTGGGTTACTGGCTCGGCGTCAGTCAAAGCTGATATACCTCATGATTAACGTAATGTGCTCGCTTAACCATTGCAGTCAACGGAATCTAAGAAATAAGCGAGGCATGTTAAAGTGGGTGACGCAGTTGTGTGGGAACTGATATTGCTTTTATCGTTGATGTTCCCGACGAAGCCGAGTGTGACCACTTGTCTTCCCGCTGTCCAGTGCACAAGCAGGCCTACTCGACGGCCAAACAGCAGATGAAGGAGGGTAACAAGCTGGACGTCAAGTACGTGAAGCGGAGACAGCTGGTGCAGTACCTGCCGGCGGCCACGCTGCAGCTCATGCGGAAGGTAGGTGGCGCCCGGTGACGGCGCCCTCTGGCCTACACCGCCCGGCTCCTTGTCAGTAAAATAATGCCTTTGTCTTCATAGCTTGGGGATGCTTGGGGTCATCCAGGGAAATCATTGATCTATCAGCTGAGATAGGTACTGGGTAGGGCATGATTGGACAATGGGACATATGCTCAAATGCTAAATCATGGCGTGGATTTCTCCCAAACTCACATAATTGTAAAGTATCCATGACAGTTGGATAACGACAACTCAAGAAACTCAAGATTACCAACCAATATTTATTTTAAAATTACTTTTAAATACACAAAGCTTTCGGTCACATACGACCTTGATCACTGTGTTTCACAATGTTTCACAATTATACAAACTTCGCAAAAATGATACAAAAACCGTCTAAAATTCTTAATGTGAAGCGCATGAAAATTTCCTAGCCTACATCTTGAGTTTCTTGAGTTGAAACTCACATAAGTCGAGCTGTAAGTCAGGGGTGGAGGTGCATGACGTGTTTCAGCACAGATCTTTATCGATTCATTTAAATCTGTTGAAAGCCTTCACCATCTGACAAGCCAGTGTGGCCAAATTGGTGATGTTGCGGGGAAAGTCACCCCCAATGAAAAGCATAATGACATCCTCAGAAATTCTAAAATTACATCATCACATCACAACGTTTTTGTTGTGAAAGCATACCTAGTGAAGGAATAAAGACTAAAAATGTTCCAATGTACGATTCACATCGTCATACTTGTACTGTCGCGCTTGCAATGTTTTTTTTTCATTGACAATATTTGATTTTTTTTTTACTTTCCACCAGAGCTTGACGTCAGGTATAGTTTTTTCACATAACTTGTAAAAACTGCACCTAAAATGACACTGAAGACGAGTTTTTTTTTTAATAGACATCCTAATACGACTTTTTGATACATCCTCCCCCTAACGCTAATGATACATCCTCCCCTAACGCTAAACCAATTTGGCCACACTGTGACAAGCTTATTTATAATTGCACTCTGTAATTTTGAATTCATCATTCAAAGATGCACTTTCCCGTGGCATGGCTTGCTGTGTGAATTGTGATGGCATGTTTGTTGGTGGGACTCGCTTTATGCTCTAACAAATATTTACATGTCTGGTGAAATGTTACTGTGTTTGTAAATATCTGTCACGCTGCTTGCATACTTGTCTAATTCTGGTGAATTTGTTGAGAATGCTACGATCACTTGGGTTATGAAGTCGGTGTAAATACCCCATTACGTTTCCGGATTCGGTTCTTTATTCTTTCATCGTCTCTTGTTTTTGAAACCCTTATACACAAACCCTTAAACCCTTATGCGTAACCCCGTGGATTATGCCTTTTATATGATTGTGGTAATTGCGGTTTGGCGGCATCCCTGTGCACTGTCCCGGTGAGGGTGCTGGGTCCGGTCTTTTGTCACTCGCCGGGAGTCCGTCCCGCTGCCCGCATGGCCCGCCGCCTGCTCGCTCGTGCACCTCCCCCCACCGCGGCGGCGCGGCGGGCGGGCGGCCGTCCTCCGTCCGCCCGCCGTGCCGCGCCGCGCCGCGCCGCGGCGGCGCCATCTGACCAGGTGCGCCCGCCGGCCTGCTGGCCGCCGCAGGCCATCCGCTGCAGCGCCGTCCGCCTGCAGTCGCGCTCCGACACGGCTCTGGTGCGGCCTGGGGAGACGGCCGAACACAGACTGCGACGCCAGGTCGGTCCGCGGCCGCCCTCCCGGCGGCCGGGCGCTGCAAACACATCGGCCACCATCGGGGAGGATGTTTTTGCATCACTGCTGAGTGCTGTACAAACATCCCATCGCGACGAACCGGGCTCCTTTGTTCGAGCACCCCTCCGCCTATTCAGCCAATCCTAGCCTTTCACGCGCGATCATCAGCGATCGCGATGATCAGCTACTGAATTATTAACTGCACTAAATCCAAATCGCTGTTTTCATAATTTGTACTCGTCAGCTTGCTCCTAGCATGGCATGTATTTTATGGAATGGCGATGTGGGTGGCACTGGGTTCTGGGTCTGCACTGCATGCTATCCTGGTGGGTCTGTCTTACACATCTGTCCTGCCGGCTGGAGTCCCTTCTGACACGTCTGCCCCCCCCCCCCCTCTGGCAGAGTCTCTCGGCGGCGGCGCTCCCGTCTGCGGGCTCGAACGGCGCCTCACCCACGCCGGCGGGCCAGCGCACCAAGCGACCCTCCGAGTCGGGCACGGCTGGCGGCACGCCGGACTCGCTGGCGAAAAAGTCGCGCACCACGGACTCTGTGAGTGGCGCCGCGGGCACAGCCACGCGCTAGGGGCGGGGTGTGCAATGCACTCTGTGCGTTCTGACTCGTGCGCAGTTGCTTTGTGAGGTTGATATGCTTCCTCGTGCGCAGTTGCTTTGTGAGGTTGATATGCTTCATTTTACTGTCAAATATCGACTATATAAATGGCCCAAGTTTGAAAAAGAAAACCATCGTACGCCTGTATCGCGTATAATACTTTTTTCAAATATTTTTTTTTTTTATAGGGATTAGGGAAGCTACTGGACTTCGAGGAAAAAGGTTTTACGATTTTTTATTTAGACCCGTCTTAGTTTGTGTTTTGAGTTTTAATGCAAACATTTACTTATGAATAGTTTGTGCTTCGTCTATTTTTATCTAATAATGTTTTCAGCAAGGTGGCTCACCCCCATCTGGTAAGTAATGATAGTAAAGGTGTTCGATAACTATAATTTACCGATATAAAGTCTAAAGTCTTCAAGTAATTTCCTGTTACCGCATTGCGGCACAGTTTTTCAGTGGTTTGCTGATTCACGTCAAGATGGCACTCTTTGTTGTACTACACCGTTGTGGCCCATTTTGTTTTTGTTTTGGATAACTCGGCCGTTCTTTGTTGTTTCGTTGATAAGGGCCTGACGCTGATATGTTTTATGCTCGCGCAGACTGCAGAGGATTCGACTTTCCGATATATTATGTCACGTATCCGTGAGGAATTTGATTACCCAGTGTTCGCTTATCGGTGCGGGACTCGATTGTTCGATGATTGTATATCAGTGAGGGAGTTAGTGACCTCCGGTGATACGTCTGTGTTTTACGGCGATGTCCCGAGTTCTGACCCTCCAGTGTTTGTATGTATGGGGACGTTACGAGGCGTTGCGTTTTGGCCGCCGTGTCGACTGACTGATGATGCCGACATCTGCTGCACGCAGGCAGCGGATGTGGCCGGGCTCGCGAACGAGGATTCCAACTCGAGTCTGACGACGGTGCAGACGGCGCCTGTCCCGGCCGCGCCCGGCTCGGCCACTGTCGACTCGCAGCTCATTAAACAGGTCAGCTCACTGCCGGATACATAAGCCAGACAAACATGAAATATGTGCTTGATACTTGACGTTTACCATTCACGACTCATGCCATGTGATTCCGTTGAAAGTCAGCATCGCTCGATGTGCCAGAGAATCTCGTAGCTGCTGTGCGCGCGGTCGCTGCTGTGTATTGTACAGACGTCTGTTCCGTACTGCTTTGACTTGCTGACGTCTGACATGGTAATGTGCTACGTCAGACATACTGACGCGTTCTCCATGCCGTACCGTGTCGTGCTGACATCTGCCGCGTGCTGACGTGCTGACCCCCCCCCCCCCCCCCGCTCCGTGCCGCCAGGTGTCGTCCCGGCCGCCGGTGCCGCTGCAGGTCTCTGCCGACGGTGAGCGGTGACGCTGCCGGAGCGCCGCAGCCCGCTCCGCCGGCCCGCCCGATGGTGCTGGAGGCAGGAGCGCGAGCGTTGGAGACCGGCCGAGCCGCGCGGCCCGCCTCCCGTGCCGACCAGTGACGTATGTGTACCAGTGAGGTGTGGTGTGAGTGTGTGTGAGCGAGAGACTGATTCCTGTCCTTTGTCTGATTTTTAACGCATCATCCAACATTCCTTATCGAGAAGTTATTAGAAAAGCAAAAAACCCATAAAAACAAGAAAAGAAAAAAACGATGGTTCGTTCACATATTACGTACCTGACTTCCTGTCTGTTCTGTACAAATGCGAGTCTTTGTGTGAATGAATGCAGTGTGTTTACATGTGGGGGTGCTTGGCAGTGCTCTGTTTCTATCGTACGCAAGTCGATATTTATGTGGAAAGGGTGTACATTTGTAAATAGCCATTCGCAGACCAATCGTTTCGTTTTCGCCTCATACTTCGGATCACCTATCGGCCGCAGACCGTATCAAACAATAGACGCCAATAAAGTTATCTGGAAGACCGAGCGTTTGAGAGATGTGTTTGTGAAGTTCAGCTTAGTGTTGTGCAGATGAGATAACGATCAGTACGAAACGTAAAACGGATTGGACGAGCACAGATCTGGTCGTTATCGTATGTGGAGAACGGGACGGGTATAGTGGAGATAATAGGAGGTGGGATGGTCGGCGGTCGGATGTGGGGATCCGGCCAACCGGGGTAGGGCGCAATGGCACCGTGCTTGACAACATCTGTGCTGCCACCGGCTCAGTGGGTAGATGAGCCGTCTCGTAGATCACGTCTTACGGCAGATGCTGCCGTGCTTGTGCTTTTTATGTCGTAGGTAACGATCATTCAACTTCGCTATTATCTACGAAACTTTGAAAGCCGTGACAACACACGTTTCAAGCGGAAGCGTCCGAGGACACTGAGACCCTCGCAGTGGTATGCATGCTTGACACGCATTGATTTGACACGCGGCGGGACGGGGCGTCGCTGCTATCAGGTGGTCTGAGCCGGGGGCAAGGGTCGCCCGGCGGGCCGACCGGCGCGGCTAGCAGGTCAGTCGTGCTCCGCGCCCGTGGAACAGTGTCGGTGGCTGGTGGCAGCGTGTAGGCGCCGTAACAGAACTGGCCACCGCCAACATTAGCGTAAGCGTGGCGCGGACAGAGACGGCCAATTGTGACTGGTGTGAATTGCATTTTTGTTTGACAGTTGACGGATGAATGATCGGATTTCAGTTTGTTTATCATTTGTCGGAAGCACTGTAATGGACTCCATGGAAAAGAATATTCAATGATCTTACCGGCATGGACTAAGACCAAGAGCCCACTAGCTCATCCGTACTTACTTTTGAGCTTTTCATGTTGGGATTTTCTCACCCGTCTCATACTGGCTCACCACCTTCAGGCCTCAGCGTCCCGATTCGTTTGGCTCACATTACTCGTACCTGTCTTTTTCATTTCATCATATATGTAACATAGTTTTGTCTCTCCTCATACATCGCGCACGTCTTTTCCAATCATTTGCATAATGTGAAATCCAAAGCTTCATTTGCAAAGGTTCTTCGATGTATTTTTTTGATGTTGCGATTTTTTGCAGGGATTTGGCAGCAGCAAAGTGCTTCCACTTTCAGCCATATATGACGCAGTAAAGACATATATTGCGCAAACACTCAACAAAGAGGGCTCGTTGCTCGGAAAAAACAACAACTAAGACCGAGACAATTTTCCCAGAAGGGGACTCAGCTTCAATTTGAATTAGCTTGAGTTGTAGAAAAGCTTTTCTATCAATACTAGGTGCAGCTCAAGGCTATAATACAAATAGCCTGCAATGCTGTGTTAGAAATCTAAGTGGATGCAAGCATTATCTTGAATCAGAATCAGCGTGATGGACTATTTGAGGAACGTGATCGACACCCTCCAAGATCCATACTTGGTGTCAAGATTTCAACGTTACTTTGGTATTAGAGAGACATCTTATCCTGAAGCTCCAAAGTTTTATCAGAGAAATGGCAGATCATATGCCCGTGACTTAAGCCCAGTCAGTCACGGACAGGATGAGTATGTGGAGACGACCACCTTGAATGATGAACAGCCGTCAGGTGCAGCTGTGAAGAGATTTGTTGAAAACAGCAGCACACATGGAAATCAAGGGAGTGATGATGAAACCTCTGGGTCCGATTCAGCAGGCTCAGGAAAATCCAAAATCAAGGCTTTGCTGTTTCAGAGCATGACAGCAGAAGGCGAGTACACAGACTCTGATGGAGAGACAAGAGATTTTATAGTCACAAAGCCATTTTGGCATGCATTGTTTGTATTTGGAAGTGCTCTTGGTGATGAACTATTTTATGCAACATTTTTCCCATTGTGGTTTTGGAATATTGATGGAGCTGTTGGAAGAAGAGCAGTTCTAGTCTGGTATGGCATCATGTATATAGGTAAGATTTCTGCATTTTAAACAAGTTTTAACCTTGAGTTTGTTTTTATAATGCCTAAGAACCATAATCTTCCCTAATGTCATGACTGAGCATTAGGAATTTCTCATTTTCTACTTTAAATACTATTTCATTTTTATCAGGCTAGGTAGCTTTCAGTTCATGCTAATATAATGCTTATGTATCCCTTTGGAGTTCCATTTTCATTGCACTCTGACATGAAACACTGTCACTAAGCTCATGATACCTTCATTGCCAATTTTCATGTCATCTGTATGTTTTCTAGGGCAGGCCATGAAGGATGTCCTGAAGATACCACGTCCAGCGTGTCCTCCAGTAATACGGGTGCAGAAGAAGTGGGCTCTGGAGTATGGATTTCCCTCTACACATTCCATGATTGGGATTGCAATGCCAGCTGCACTCTCAATATTTACCATTGAGCGCTATCAAGTAAGTGGCTGTCTGTGTCTGTGGCTTAGGTATCATTGCTTCCGTGGTGAAAATTGCTTCATTTTTCCTTCAGTTTACAGCAGACTGGTTCTAGCAACTCAAAACCCCTTGGATCAACTTGGGAGTTGGGTACACACTACACAGCCAATGTAAAAAGTAGGGGAAATGTGGTAGCCCTAGCCCCATCCTTTGACCTCAAATTTGAAGGTCAAGGACAACGAGCTTCAGGTCACCAGTGTGAGTCATAATGTCTGCTCCTTTGATGAACAATTCAAGACCTTTTATTGCAATTTGATTGAAGAATTCGATTTCAATTTGATTTGAGAATTTCAAACCTCCAGTTTATAGGTACATAAAATAAGTGATCAAAGGTCAGGGCTATCCTGGCTGTTCTTAGAAATGAACAACACTTGAGGATCACTTGTCACTTGGCCTTACACTGCTGGGCTCTGAGGCTGGGTGATTGAGCACCGCACAATAACCTATTTACGCTCATCTGAAAAAGGGGTGTGTTGCCACTATTTTTGCTCTTGTACCTTTTGCACTTATTTTGTCAACAAATGAGTCCAGGCCAGGGCCTCTCACAGTCTGCTACTCAACTAAGTATAAGCATAAAGTACCAATCGCAAAGTATAGGTTACAAAAGGTGGTATCTGTGTTTCTGCACTACAGTATCTGGACACTTATTACACCTGATTTCCGTGTTTTGTTCGGCAGTACCCGGTGATCCCGACACTAACTACACCACATTTCCTTGTTTTGTTCGGCAGTACCTGATGATCCCGACACTAACAACACCACATTTCCGTGTTTTGTTCGGCAGTGCCCGCTGATCCTAGCGCTGGTTACACCACGTTTCGGTGTTTTGTTGGTGATGACCTGGTGATCCCGACACTAATTGCACCTCATTTTCGTGTTTTGTTCGGCAGTACCCGGTGATCCTGGCCGTGATCCCGGCACTCTTCTGGTGTCTCAGCGTGTGCGGAAGCCGACTCTACCTGGGCATGCACTCTGTGCTGGTAAGATAATCGCAACGACACGCTCGCATGTCTGCAGCTTTTGCATGTGTTATATTCATTTTTTTTTCTGTAAGGCAGATTCGAATGCCCATGCGGAATGCTGCATGTCTGCAATGCCATTCGGTCACTGGCCATATGGTTGCGAGAGATATTTTAGTTCGTAGTGGTGTTATAATCGGGACCGTTGCCGCCGCGTACCGCCCAGTGAATGTCTCTGAGCGTTATCAGCCACCCGGCGGGGTCGACCACGCGGCGTGCCGTAGCCGTGCGTGGGGCCACCGGGCGCGGAGCCGCCGCTCCTTACGAGGAGTGGCGGCCTTGCCCAGTGAGCGGCGACGACCTTGCCCGGTAACCGGAGACGTCTGTGATCGACAGTGGCTCGTGACGCGCCTGCCGATAACAGAGATACTGCGTAACACGATCTCCCTTCTCTGTCTGCGTGCACCGCACCGGAAGGTAGCCCTGGCGCCGCTGTGGGGGGCTGGGTCTGCTGTGCAAAGGCAAACACGATAACATTCGGGTGACCTCTGACCTCACGTAACGACCTCTGACCCAACGTAATCGTTTTTGCCTTTGCACAGTAGAGGTATGATCCATAAATCGTCACCCCTTCTTCGACACATTCCGCTGTCTAATCGTACGCCCTTGGCCGTATTTAATCTGTTTTCCTCCCACCTGTGTCACGTCCCTCCCGCTCGGACAGGACGTGCTGGCGGGTCTGTTTCTGGGCGTGCTGGTGCTCTGCTGTCTGATCCTGCCCTACATCGACGCCGTCGACGAGTACCTGGTGACGAACACCTACTCTCCGATCGCGCTGAGCGCGGTTATCGCGCTCTCGGTGCTGCTGTACCCGGCGGGCAACACGTGGACACCGGCCAGGTGAGTGAGTATGACGGGTGGACAGGTTAGTTGGTTTGATAGCGAGAAATGTTTTTTTTTTCGTTTGTTAACACCGGAATAGGTCACTTGGATTCATAAATTGGTTGGTCAGTAGTTGGAGTGACATATGAATATTTTGACTTTGATGATCACCTTAACAGGTTAGTTCCCTTCCCTGGGCTGTCGTGGTTTACACTGTTCAGATGCACCACTGGATCGGCCAGTTGGATGACGTTTATTTATTCCGTTGATCGTGTGTTGCAATAACTACATGCTGCCATTTATAGTGGCTTCCGCACCGTATCCGATGCGACCCTTGTTATTAAAGTCCCTCTCTGCCTCCGACAGGGGCGACACGGTGATCATCTGCGCCGTGGTTCTGGGCATCTACAGCGGCGCCTGGATGAACTACAGCAAGCACCTGATCAGCGCGGCCAGCTCGGCGCCGCCCTACGCCATCATCTGGCCGACGTACGAGATGTGGGGCCAGGTGCTAGCGCGCAGCTCGATCGGGCTCTGCTCGGTGCTGGCCACCCGGGCCATCTTCCGCAGTCTCTCGTACGCCACCGTGTGCGCCCTGCTGCGGCTCAACCAGCAGGACGTGACGCTGCGCCGCGCCAACGTCAGCCCGCGCCAGTTCGTCATCGTCGAGCTCAGCTACAAGTTCATGACGTACGCGGCGGTCGGGTTTGACATCATCTACACAGCTCCGCTGGTGTTCCGGCTGATCGGCATCGAGCGGCCAGAGTTCTACACGGAGGTGTAGCCACGCTGCGCTGGTTACACGCGGTTGGCGTCCGCAGAGTGCGGGAACGAGGGCGCGCGGTGCGATGGACGCGGATCGAGTGAAGGGCACTATTGTTGCCATGACACGTCGGCACTGCTCACGGGTACAGTGCCTGGTTTGGTCAGCTGTGGACGCATCGAGAACTCGTGGCAATGCCCAAAGAGACACTTTGCGATGGACGGATATGCACAGCACATAGTTGCAGCCTGCGGGCTTCATGGGCCTCTGCGCGCTACCGCTGTCGCTCAACGTGCACTAATCATTTAGTGAAAATTATCCTGCATGCTCATGTTTAAATATGTATAAGTTAAATTTAAAATATGAATCGCATCTTCAATCCGTATTCCTTCTCACGAACGGGTGCGTGTGTTTATGTGTGTGCAGCTGTGTATGTGTGCGTGTGTGCGCACCAGTTGAGACCAACCGTGATTGCTGGCGTACCGGGTCCGGTCTCCAATCACGCAGTAACGATGATACGGCGGCCTGCAGGGCGGCGCGGGTGTGCACCCCAACTGACAGGGATAGCACGAGCTGCCCGCAGGGCTCTTCATTCTACAATCTGTATCTCGTCATACTATCGATAATTCCAATGGCGGGCACTATCTGCACCTTTATTCACCACATTTACGCACGGTCACCAAACGCCTATATCCCGTCGTGCAGTGGGGTGTGTGGCTGCAGCTGTTTGCTGTTTTGTCCGAGTTCCTGTGATGGCCAATGTTTCCAGTGCAATCAAGACGTGGAATACACGCTGTTTGGGATGGACGACACGTCGGTCGAGAGGAGTACCGCAGGCCTAAGGGAAACTTTGGCACAGCGCCGGTGACTCGAGAGTGTCGAGCGCAAAACAATCCTAGAATCATCGGATGCGGTGGTTGCTGTGTTGATGCAATACGCCATCAATCATTCAAGTCTTACTGTCGAAAAGAACAAAAAGATAAGGGTGATGATGATAGCGCTAATCAATTCAAAACAAAACACAGCCATTAAATTAGCTGACGAATGGCTTTGTGGAATGAGACACCCCGAGTGACAGGACAGTTCCACACGACTAACCCATTAGGAGTTCATTTATTTCAGAATAAAACCAGGTTATACCTCAACCAGCGACCAAAGACGGTCATAAAAATAGTACACAATCTCCATGCAATAGGTCGTTTGTTCCCACACGGTGGGAGATTGTTCCCCGTAACAATGCTCTCGGACCAGCACTGGAAAAGCCTCTTCGGCCTCGGCTGCGGTAGCATAAACATACAACCCACTCAAAAAACACATAGAAAAATACACTGTCAGGGGCGGTCCGATTTCCACCCCTTATTGCATACCACCGACAATATCCACGCAGCAATATCCCTTTCCATCACTGAAAATCATCTCGTACACGAGGAAAATACTATGTCGTTTCGGCGCGCAGTCGTTGAGCGCCTGTAATGCAGGACATGCCACGGCCATTGGTAAGAGGGTACCACAGCCAGACAGCGTCGAGTCCAGGTGTGTATGGCGCGCTCGTCACACATCAATACCGCAGAGGGAGCACTCCACCAGCACCGCAGAGAGAGCCATCACTCGCAACAAGACCACCGTCAGCCAGAAGAGGAGACGAGGGGAGCGAGAGAGGAGAGAAGAGGAGGGGAGCGACAGCGAGAGCGAGAGAGAGAGAGGAGAGGAGAGGAGAGGAGAGGAGAGAAGAGAAGAGAAGAGAAGAGAAGAGAAGAGAAGAGAAGAGAAGAGAAGAGAAGAGAGAATCGACTGTCTCACAACCGACCCCACCTCTGTCCCCATCAGCTAACATCCAGCGGCGCGGAGCCGTCGTTGGTCAGCATATCCAGCGCCATCCGGGCGGCCGCCGCCGGCGTCACGGCAAACGCGGTGTCTTTGGCCGCTGCCGTTGGTGCGACGCCCGCTAAGACGGCAGCGGAATCATTGGCGCCTGCTAAGACGGCAGATGCAGTATCATTGGCGGAGGATATGACATCATGGGCGGCTGCCAAGGCGGCGGAGGCGGTATCATTGACGGTTGCTAAGGCGGAAGATATGGTATCATTAGCGGCTGCTAAGGCGACGGAAGCAGTATCATTGACGGCCGTTAAGACAGCCGATGCGGTGCTGCTAGCCGCTACAGCCGCTGCGGTCTTGCTAGCAGCTCCAGCAGCGGTTCCACTGCCGTTGGCGGCTGCCTGTACCGTGTCGATCACGTTAGTCACTGCGACGGGCACTGCCGATGATGGAGATAAAGGCTCGTCGGAGCCCTCGGCCATCCGGGAGAGGGCGTCAGTAGTGGCGATCACAGCTCCGACCACACCGATACCGATCAGGAACATGTCGAATATCTTCTCCTTTCGGGTGATCGAACTGCAACACAACAGAATATGACGTGTGAAAACCTTTCGGAATGTATCATTGAACAATAAATCAGATACCTTTACCCAAGTGCTATCCGGACCAGCACCGAGCGACCAAAAGTAAACAGGACGAGTTAAGTGAAAAATATCACACCGATCACTGATAATAAATGTCAGGATTTCGTGCACACATGACCGCGGCTGGCAATCCGTGGTGACATTGCTCTGTCAAACGTCACGGATACAGAAAGTCACGATAAATCACCCAAATATGAGCTGAAACTCTTTGGAAATTCAATGGTCACCATGCTTAGCTCGCCTAGTCGAAAGGTCGAGCAAAACTTTTCAACACACACGAAGATAAAAGTCCACCATCGAACTCCGAATAGCCCAAGCGAAACATATTCCATAAGTTGAATGAAATCAACCTTTGCTATGTTGACTAGCAGGGATTAGGGATGGATCACAAAGCAAAAGCGATCCGGAAGGTGACTCCAGAAGTGCGCTCGGGCCGGATGCTGACGCATGGGGTGCGTGTCGCATCGCACGCACAGTGCGCAGCCTGTGCGTAGTGCAGCGTTGGGTGTAGTGTGTGGAGTGTGCACCTACATTCGTTGAATACCCGAGTGCACGGTGCATTGCCGCTGTCGCAGTACGTTGTGTTCAGTTGACTGCAAAATTATGTTCCACTCCTCAGAAGCCATCAGTAATTGACTGGAATGCGAAGATGTTCTGCTTTTCACGCAATTCAGCGTATCTATGGTGAGCGTTGGGTCACAGCACTAAACTGTGTCACTCAGCTAAGTGTTGCGGCACAGCCTACCACTCCAGGCAACTGATAACCTGTGAAAAATGTAACATCATTCTGTAGTCAACTGTGCTGTGGTGTGTCGCGTAGGTAGTCTGCGCCAAGTGACACTGCACACGTGGTTCTCGGCACTGACCGTCGGCGCAGTCTCAGGTGGAACAGTCCGGGCAGAACGAAGGCCAGCAGCGTGCAGCAGGTACCGCCGATGATGGCCATCAGGTTGGCGAAGTTGGGGATCATCACGACCACCAGGCCCGAGGTGGCCACCAGCAGCAGACGCAGAACGTTCTGTAGAGGCGGGAGAGACTCCGTCAGACACACGCGAACGAGTCTGTACAGGCAGTAACAGCCAACCACCTACTACGGGAATCTAACGTCCAACGGACACGATGGCGGTCTCAAAGTAACTAACTCTGGCATGGGCATATCAAATTATTCACAAGCTTATGGCAAAACATATTTGGATTTCAAAAGACACATGACCGCATTGCTTCTTTATAAAGACTTACTGGTCAACCATGCTAATGAAGTATATCAATCCTCCACTGGCGATGATAATATAACCCTCCTTGCCATCCCCTGGTAAGGTTACTAACATACCCAGCCCTTAGGATAAGGTTACTAGCACACTCACCCCTCTGGAGGTTGTCAGGTAGCTGGCCGGCAGACGTTTCTCAATGATCGTCACCACGGGGAACATCATCAGTGGGTAGGTGAAGAACAGCGAGAAGCACAGGCAGCACTTGACCACCATGGCGAAGTCGATGGTGCCATCGCTGGGCGGCAGGTTCAGCGTGATGATCTCGCGAGTCTCTGTCGGTGCAGAGGCGTGTGGAGCGTTAGCGTGCGGCAGGTGGCGCATTCACCAGCATCACAAGCAATAATGGCGCACTGATGACGACAACAGCTACGGACGCTTGAGCCCAACGAAGCTATGCGCCCTAACCCAACAAGTACAAGTATAGTAAGTACAAACAATAATGATACAATACAACCATAAAGCAACAAAAGCTCACAACAGGGGTGTAATCACGAGACACGATGAGGCTTCAGAACACCGCGACAGAAAAATATGTAATTGACCGACAAACCATCTAACCAATAGAAAGATAGCGTAACCAACAACGTGTAAAGGGACAGGCAGGTTGGTCAGGAGAAGGAGGCAGCATACACCGGGAGGCTGTCCGTGTGGCGGGACGGGGGTGGGATGACGCAAACTGGCTCCAGCTGATGACATAAAACGCACAGTCTTGCTCACCGCACCTAACTACAGATTACCGTGGTACTCACCGGGTCCGAACGATATGTATCCGGAGCAGCCGAACACCACGTACAGGGCCGTCACCCAGAACATGGTGCGGCCAAAGTACATCTTGAACTTGGGCCGCACGTGTTCAGCGAGCGAGTTCTCCAGCGACAGGATCATACCGGCGCCCTGTCCGGACAAAGGTGTCAGAGGGGCAATGGTGGATACGGGTGGGGAAACTATTGTCAATTCGATGGGCTGGCGGCTTAAATGGAGCGCGGAGATGGCATCTGGGAACACCCGACACTGACGATGGGTAAACTCAGACCAACTATCGTTGAGTGGTGTCTGCTAGAGGGAAATTTACAAAGTGGCAGATGTGTCCCTAAGCATGTCTCTTTTCGTATGTTTGGCGATATGAGTCATACGAAAACACACACATACGCACAGCCAAACACACAAAACCTGTTCTCACTTCATAGCAGTAGATGGCGATGGCGAAGAAGAACGGAAATCCTCGGGAGGAGAACTCCCGCGGGTGAAACCGCTCCATGACGTAGTAGTGCTCGAAGTCGAACCAGAACACCACGGCGAACGCCATGATGGTGGAAATCTGCGCGAAGATGCTGGGAAGACGGGAGGGGACGGGGAACGGATGGCAGCGTTAGCCCAAATCGGCAAACCGGCGCTACAAGGACAATGGCCTCGTCAACAGGTTACATAAAAAAGGAGGTGTGATAAAAATCAACGAAGCAGGAAAACATACCATGGTCTGCATAAGTCCGCAAGGTAAGCTATCAAAACAGATGGAAGTGTGATCCTAATTGGGTCTGGCACGGCCCTTTCGCTAAGTGTCGGCTAGTTTGATATGAACTGTAGGTTGTCGACTACGGCTGAACATATGGCTTCTTTCTAGTAGGGGAGAGTGGGGCAAAGCGGCCACCCTAACGTTTCTAACGATGCCGACGCTTGATTTTTAAACTTGGAAAGATTCTTTCTATACCAATGTGATCCCTATTAAATTGTCTTTTATTCCAACTGCGTTTCATTTCCAAAGGCGTTCACATATGGGAGATATTGACAAAACTTTAAACCTATAGCATATTGGCCACTTTGCCCCATCCCTGAGGCAAAGCGGCCACTGGCGACTTCTCAAGTCCCGATATGAGAAACAGAATAGTTGCCTCATGCACGACTAGGGTATTTGATGGTGACAAGGTTTAAGGGAAGATGGATGTTTACTTTGTTATCTTCCCACCTATTGCTAAACAAAGAAAGAATTTTCTTGGAAAAACATTTAGTTGCATAATTTGGTAACTCATGTAACCGAAAAGTGGCCAAGATGAATGCATGACGACACATTTGAATATAAATAATGTTTTTATCCAGATGGAAACAACTTATGGCCAATTGGGGGCTGGCCACTTTGCCCCGGCCGCTTTGCCCCGCGCTACCGTCCGAGACAAAAATATTCCAGCTCAGCTATTAGTGGGGTAAAAAGCATTAAAATTGGTAGAAGGCATGTACGATAACCACGCAATGCATGGACAAAAACGCTTATGAAAATTCCAAACGGTTATGGAATAAAATAACATTTAAAAATTGTAAACATAATTGGTAACCTGGCAAGAAATGCTTTTCCGTGTTTCACAGAACAATGGCGATGGGCCTGAAACCCCGGTCTGGCTCATTCGAACGACCGCAAAGAGAAGTATAATTGGAAATCATAAATTGGAACTGATGCTAGCTGTGGAGGGCTAAAACGATGGATGGCCGCTTTGCCCCGGGTGGCCGCTTTGCCCCACTCTCCCCTATCGCATGGTCTGGCACCGAGTCAGGATGCCTTATCCACTGGGCTACATGGAAAATGAATGTCGTTTATCGTTGTGTACATATCGGTATCTTTACGCACCTACGTAATGTTTGCCGTTTCTAGCGAGCCGCGTGTCAACGATGCGAGAAAACTTTGAAACCATCTCTCCTCAATACAACATTCGTTACCCATCATTTCTGTCAGGTAAGTATTAATACGATTAGTTATAGCTATGCCTATTTATTACTACCCGTAGTCTCGACAGTCCCTCATTTCATTGGCTGAACAGCATGTCAAAACGAACAAGCTTTGACCGAGATGGGTACCATCGAAACGGGATGGGCCCTCGATATTTTTATACGACATTATAAGACATCTGTTTCAGCGACAACGGTCGCTAAAAGAGACAGTAAATATGGGCGTTAAGGTCGCCATCCACTGTGACGGAATTCCGTCCGGAGTCGGTCAGGAATGTCGCCGCTCGCTGTCCGCATCCGGACCGCAGACGGAAAGCTCACGGACACTGGCGAACACTTTGTGAAGAGCAGTTATCAGTTATTACAAAAGAAAATATAGCAATTTACTAGCATTACATAGTGCTGCCATGTCAAGGAAATTATGTTTAATTATTTCATCTTGAAAGAGTCGAAATTCTGTCTTATATTTGCCATTGAAAACTTGAAGACGGAAGACTGTCCGTGTCCGCGTCAATTCCGTCTGCGTTCTCCGCAGAAAAGTTCAACGTGTCAGACTTTGTTATTTCGTTTCCGTAGCAACCGCTTCCGAAACGCTTGCGGAGAACTGGCGGAAAATCAGCAGCTGATTGCCGTTCGGATACGGTCCGCACGGAGCACACACGATTTCCATACAGACCAGATGCGCCCATAGGGTTCTGTGTTAAATTCCGTACGGACCGCAAGCGTTTCGCATAGTGGACGGCGGCCTTAAGAACATAGCGCATTTCGTCACATGTCATGAGCATGACCGTCAAGTTTTCGTGAGCCATGTCCCGTGCGCTCACCTGAAGACGGCCAATTTCTCCAGTTTCCTGAGCAGGCAAAGCATGTAGAGGAGCGGCAGGAACAGCACCAGCCACTGACTGGTGCTCACGCCACTCACGTACGTCGACAGATTCTCCGATATAAATATGAGGTAGGCGCAGCAAAACCCTGAAACGATACCAGGTACACAAGATGTAGGTATGGACGCTAAGCAAAGCACGCTACATAACCCAACGGGGGTCACAAAGTTGACATCACTTTAGATCGCCTGTGCGGAAAACCCAAATCATTTGTACGGGAAACGCAAACCACCCTACGAAACACTCACATACCGTGGAAGCAGATGAGATGGTACAACTACAAAATGGTCGAGCCACATGCCATCGAGACTTACCGATCTGAGATACTATGACAGTGCCATCCACCAGCCAGCGACCCTTCTCGGCGTATGCGTAAAACCCTGCCGGAAGAACGCAGCATTATTTGTTGGCGATTCGGGGCGCGTTGACAGCGAAGTCAAAGTACACCCATCGCACAGCTTTGCGTAGCCTCCATCACAACAACGCATTGAGGAGAAAAATGTTAATTTGGTGGGCATTGTTATCAGGCACAAAGCATGAGCGATATTCATCCGCATCGAATTTAGTCATCCGACACATTAGTAGTGATTTCGCTCGTCCAAACATGGTCGGTATGAAAAGCCAGCTGTAGGGGCTGAGTCATTTAATTCCCAACGAGCATTTATTTCTCCCTCCCTCCCCCCCCCACACAATAGGATAAAATAAAAACGAACGGAGCCGTCGATTATGACTTCCTCAACAAAGCATCTGACCTTTCCACTATCCACCGCTTTCGCACTTAGCGTCACGAACCTCGACCGATATCCGCTATAAAACAATCTGGAGACATTGGGAGCGCGCCACCGCTCCACTGGCCATAAACCGGCAGCCATTGTCCCGTATCGGCCGGCGGCGTTATCGTCCCGACCCGGCCGCGGTGCGCCTTCTTACCGAGGTCACCGTACGTAATCTCGTGGCTGGTGTCCACCAGGATCTTGTCGCCCTCGTCGTCACCAGCGGCGTCTCCGTTGAGCAGCGGCAGCTTCAGCTCGACAGAGCCGTCCCTCAGAGGCACCTGTGGCACACACATTGCATGACAACAGGCACGGACTCGGGGACGAATGCAGCCGTAGACGGACACACTTTTGAGATAAAGAGGAAATTCGAAAACGTTCTCGAAAACGTACTGATTTGGATATGCATAGAAGGGGAAGGTAGCAATGCAAAGTGGCTGTGGTCTCACATTTCGTTTGTTATAAGGTCGTGTGGACTCAAAAAATCATTTTATACAGTGCAGATCCCGTAGCTCAGCCGGTAGATCGTAAAACTCCGAGTGAAGTGAGCACAACTCCCGGTTACAAAAGTCAGGGGCTCGAGGCGCGACGGGTGCTTGACGTTTATGAGGCTCCTGAGAGAGAACTTCACCATTTATTCAAATCGACATCTGCGAAGCTACCCATCTCACCGTAGCCGGCTCACAGTGAGAGCCGATAGTAACTAATAGAGCCGGTAACTTACCGATCACAGCTCGATCACCTCGTTCGCGTCCGGGCGAGTTTGTAAAAGGATAAGACGAAGGGCCTCCAGCGGTGTGTTGACGGAAAGGACGGCAAGGACCTGAACTGAAAGGATAAACATCGGGCCTTATAACAGAATCTACTGCACCATTCATAAAACAAAACGCATTACGACACGCGCCTCACATATAAAAAAGCAAAGGGTAAAAGTGACAGCAAATCAAACAACATACATGCAATAGCACAATCGCTTACGAGCTCACCGCTTCAATAAAGGCATACAATAATACTACAATGTCCATCTGAGGAACCAGTGTGGGGTAAAGAGTGAAAGTAGGTATCATTGAAATAGCTTGGGTGAGGAAACAAGACCTGACCCCTTCAAGCCCTTCGATTGTACCACGCTTCGCGAAGTACTTACATTGCTCTTCACGTAAGTATTGACCGATACATTCCCACTTCGACGTTTGCTGAGCAGTAAATATTTGCAGTCAATCAAGAGAAACATTGCTCGAATGGAAACGTAACCGACGGTCACCATTATCAATATTCCTTCTGCTAAGCCGGCCTGAAAAGAGAAATAATGTAATCAGTTTTCTGTAAGTTGAAGGATGTTTTACACAAACACAGAATATTTAAAACTTCTAGTGAATTTATTAAACTCAAGGGATCGTGAATGAATTCGCCCAAGCGTGGGATCGCTAAAATTGCTAAGAATGAATTGTCATTGAAAGTCACAAGTAACGCACTACATACCTCTTTGTATGCAAACGGCAGACCAAGCACGCCTGCTCCGATGAAGGAGATGAAGATGTTGGCCACGATCTTCACCGGGTGCGTGGCCCCGGAACCGGCCACGCCGGCCGTCATCTGCGGCAGAACGACACCGGCTTCAACATCAGACGTCAGCAGTGCCGGCACGTCATCCTAGTGGCGCGGGTGGGTAACGCGTCCACGTTCGGTGTGCGAGGTCCTGGGATCAAAGCTGAGCTCTGGCATCCCTTTCCAGCCTTTCCACTGTCCACTGAATTGTTGATGGGAAAGTCACCAAAAAATCAGGATGAGATAGTTAAGTTTAGTTTATTTGTAAATCATCAACGGGGTATGTCCCCAATCACAGATGAAGTCAGTTGAAACACAACATACACATATAAAAAGAGTTCAGCGAATACCGCTTAAATGACTGTTACGTTAAGAAAAAAGTGTGCACCTGTAAAGATAAATACACAATATAAAAACATCTTAGCAGTAAAGGTGAAGCATGTAGACACTACGAGTGTTGACATAAGCCAGAACAGAGCTCTTGAATTGGCCAGCGCTAGAGTTCAGAAAAAAAAACGAGCGTGTTGCCCGTCACGAGAGGAAGCCGATGATATCCAATTAAGGTCCTAGGTCATCGGTTGACCTTCCAGGTCAGGTCAATGACCCAAAAGTCGGGACCTGTTAGAAAGTCGCAAAATGTGGCTGCTGTGGGATTTTTTCGGGTGCTGATCACGAATATCGTGTTCGTTTTTATCACCGATCATGCCTTTAAGCATTTAGACCAGGTCGGGTCAGGTCACGTCAGGTCAACCAGTAGGGGTCGTGACGGGTATTCATAGTACGTGTCAACCGCCTCTGACAGCTTCGTAACATGTTACGAAGGCACCAAAAGGCACTTCGTAAATGTTCAAATGGTTGCTAAATTCGAATTCAGCACGAAAAACTAGTCTTGAAACATGTAAAACTAGAAAAAGTGAACCGAGGTCACCAAAGGTCAATGACCTGAACTGACCTCCAGGTGACCTTAAAATCCACCCTAATGCATGGGAGCAACATCAAATCACATTTTGGAACGTTTGAAACCACGAAAAGCTTACAAACGCGCGGCCAATGCGAGCCGACATACGCCGAATCACGATTTCGGCCAAATATTGTCTCGGAAAGTAGGTCACAGGTCAAAGGTCATTTGGGTCAGGGTCATGACATTGAAGGGTACGTGTAGAATTGATCAATGCGAAAGTACTGAAGATTTCGTCGCGATCAGCCGCTTTTTACGCGAATTATTTCGCAAAAAAAAACCTTAGGTGCAGCAACTCCCGTGCCGGCGAGGGTTAATCTCTGAATTTTAATATGAGTGACCTAGTGCCTCTGAGGTCATCTCAGCCCATTAAAGGTATCCAGTAGTCTTGGACAACAACTTTTGAAGAGACATGCTAGAGCAATGCACACTTCAAAGTTGTTCAGCTCAATGATATGGATCAACTGATAGGTTGATTTCCAGTCAGGTCATGACCCTTTCTGTTTCCACCCTTTCCAGTCAGGTCATAACCTTGACTTCAGGCCAAATTTTTAATATAATTTCTAAAGGTAAAATCATAATTCATTTGATGCATGTAGACTAGAGGAACAAGATGCTGGTAAAACAATTGTCTTGCAAGTTTTGAGTCTAAAGTTATTCCATAAATACTCTCCACAAAACATCAACTTTGATAGTTTTTGTCATGGCCTCTGGAAGCTAAACACCTAATCAAGTCTAAGAGCACTTCACAGAAAGTCGAAAGAGCTTTACAAGAGCTTTACACTACCTATCAAATACACTTTTTTGTTGCACTGTAGCACTATTCCTTAGTTCACATTACCTCAATGTTGACTGGACTATTGGAGACCAGAGGTCTTAATTAGGACCCAATGTTGATGTTGTTGAGTTCATGCAGTACTTTTTGCTTTGGCTCAGTTACTGGTAGGGTCATAAGGATATCATACATATGACTTGACAAGTGTCTGCCAAGGTTGTTTAACCTGTTGAAATTCATGCACCATTTGTCCAAAAAATATTCAAATAGGCAAACCTATGAATGATGAAATGAATGAAAATAATCAAATGAAATATAAAATGACCTCTTGTGATCAGAGCTTTCACCTGACCAAATAATAGACTGACATAAATTCTTCATGATTTGATGTTTGCTCAAACACTACTGCAGTGTGTCACTACCCAGCCTAAGAGCAAGTTACACAGGGCGGGTGTGGCTTCAAAGACCCTCGCAGCTCAGCAAAGGTCACACTGCACCACTCACCGGCCCAGCACGGGTTGAAGGATAATTATTCCTTAGCTGACCCATTGTGATTGTGTTACAAACGTTTTCTCAGACAATGCTGTAACAGCACAGCTGTTGAAAACAATGCAAATTCAGTCGGGGAAACTATGGTAAAATCTGCTATTTTTAGCAGTCTGCTATTTTTAGCAGAAATCTGCTAAAAATGGGTACGCATGTGACGTCATCCGGCTCGACTGGAAAAAATGCACGCTTTCGTCGAGAACTCGAGCGTAGTTGGGCGTTTGCGCCGAAATTTTTCGGCGTACTTCGGCGTAAATCGACGGCTTGCGCCGAAATTTTCGGCGTACTTCGGCGTAAATCGACGGTTTTCTCTATCCCTCTATCGCAAAAGGCTCCGGAGCAGTCGCGAAAAACCCGTCAGGGGGTGGCACCAACCCCCCTCGGCCGGCGAGGGTTAAATGTCTTCAGGAGTTAAACATCTTAAATATCACTCATCTTGTCTCGTGTTCGTCTCAGGGTATTTAAGTCATGTTCAGTGAACCTGATTGTGACTCTCCCACGGCGGGAACAGTTCACCGATCGAGAGTGAGGTTATGGATTGTCGGATCCCCTAGTTCAGATAACGTATGCTATCGTTTGCGTATTGACCGTTGTGATTCCTGTATTTCCGGCGTGTGGTTTGCGAGCGGACGCTGGCAATCGGTCCCGCGTGGCCTGGTATCTGCCCGATCCCATCGGCCGTGCTTGCACCACGCCTGTTGAAGGCCCCGTCAGGCGTCAGTCACCGGCTGGGCACATACTGCTGATCAGAGCCGGGCAACAAAATAAAGGTTACGTTATGGAACATGCCAGTGAGTTTGTGAGTCAGGAGATTTTGTGATAGCGAACGCTGGTGCTCGGTCCCGCATGGCCTGCTGATGTCTATTGTCTGCCCGATCCCGTCGACCGTGCCAACAACCGTCTGTAGACAGTAGTCACTGGAAGACAGCCACACACACACGCCAGCCCCCCCCCCCCTCGATGAAAAGTGCGTGGCTACAGCCTGCAGCCATCCGTAAGCCTTGAAAATTTTCGGCGCATGAAGCATGGCTTGGTAAAATAATTTCGGCGCATTAACCCTTGCGCCGAAATTTCGGCGCATCACCTCCGCCGAGAACTTCAACGTAGTGGAGGCATTTTTTCCAGTCGGGCGTCATCGTACCCAAATATAGCAGATTTGGGTACGGCCCCCGACAAAAGCAGATCTGCACCCTAATTGAAGCAAATGCGCATCAAATGCCTGGCAGATTCATGATTAGAATAGTGCTGAGAATGTCCTCTGATATTTTTGTTCAGATCCGACTATTTTCAAATAATGAGTTTGAAAATAGTCGGATCTGAACAAAAATAGCAGAGAACACTCTCAGCACTATTCTCATCATCAATCTGCCAGGCATTTGATGCGCATTTGCTTCAATTAGGGTGCAGATCTGCTTTTGTATGGAGCCGTACCCAAATCTGCTATATTTGGGTACGATGACGTCACATGCGTATCCATTTTTAGCAGATTTCTGCTAAAAATAGCAGACTGCTAAAAATAGCAGATTTTACCATAGTTTCCCTGACTGAATTTAATACTTACAACCCACACTGCTTCTCACATACACAAAGTCCACAATTAATGTGTTCTGATGTGTTCTGTGCAGTATCTGCACCATACACCTACAAATGACAACAGTGGAGTGCCTCCACACCAAACAAATGTCATTGAAATCATCATGCTTCACACTTAACAGTCATAATCCGGTTTGTTGCCATGCTTTGCAGTCTGTCGTCAGTCGTGGCACAAGCAAAGGAAACAGATGTGAGAAGAGAATCAGAATATGAATAGAGAGTAAAGAGACAACTAACCTTTATTCTTTACTAAGATATTCTTATAAATGCATTAAAATACTGTTCAGTTTATTAGAGACAAGCGCAGGTCCCGAGACAACACCGCCCACTTCAACTAAGCACCAAGATAAGCACAGAAATATAAAAACATATCCAACAGACACACACAACGGCACGAGTCGGCTAGAAGGCGCGCGGCGCGGGTGAGACGATTACGAAGGGATGGTAGCTGGTGCTGAGCACGTGATCGCTTCGGAACATATGACGTCAGATTGTTTCCTTTCTTCCTTCTTTCTCAATCAGACCACCGAGAAAACAATTAAAAACGCAACAATATTTCATGTTGTAGTTATTATTTCAGAAACATACGGTTTTCTTTTCAAAAATGACAAAAACTTTTCGAAAGTAAAAATGTTTTCTGCCAGCTTGGCGACACTTCGAAAGATGTCACGTGACTAATGACAACAGACGGTAAAAGGTCACGGGCTCTGTTCGGTCACCGTTTTTTATCAGGGGGCTGCCAGCCTGCTGGCGTTTCTCGGGTTTTCATTGGTCAAATTCACGTTTTCTGTGCAGTACACCAATGAGATGCCAAGAAACGCCACAACCAAGGCCACCAGAACAGAAATTCCATATGATATGACTATAATAGGGTTTTTTTATTTACCCTCTCATTGCCCTCTCTGCACCTAGCGGGGGTTATCGCGTGTTGAGGGCAATCCGGGTGAAATTCGAAAAAGCATTTCGAAGCTAACAAAAAGTAATCCAGGATTACCGGTTGGCGGTTGGTAATTAATGTGCTCACCTGTCCTGTTCATTTGGATGGCGAATTGGGATTTGATTTGATTTTCACACCGTTCAAGATTCCTAGAGATAGGTTCATGCCCATGGAATCTTGAAAATAGAGACTCAAGATTCTTTGGTTTGATTTATGCTGGTTCCATTGTATTGTTATAAAAGCGAATGTTTTTTTCATTTTTCAGGTGTCTGATCTCTTGAAAGTGTCAGCGGGTAGAAGATGACAAATAATGGTGTTCGGAAGCGGAGGGTGAGTACCTACCTATCTTCTTTTCATATTATTGGCCACTTCAGCTTCATGTTCTTCAAAGGCACAAGCCCAGACTATAAAAATGCATGTTATCATCAACAGATGTGCCATAACAGGCAGATTGTGCCAAAATTTTGGTGCAGCATCCAGCATTACCTAGACTGCAGAACTTGGGAGGTTTTGACAAGGTCTCGGGTGCGCATGGGGCCTCTGCTAGTCTTACTCAGGTGTGCATTCCAAAGCTCAGGTGTGCAAGGCATGGCCCAGACACACAGGTGTGCTATCATAGTGTACTTGCCTGGAGAGCTGTCACTTCACTTGAAGCTTGCTAATGAAGCAAACAAAATGAACATCTATGCAATTGGCGTACACTTGTGAGAGCACTCTGCGAGCTGTTCATTGGGATTAAATGTGTGAGTGTGACAGCTCACTAGTGCAGTCATTGCCATAAATTTCAGCATTAGCTCACTAGTGCAGTCATTGCCATAAATTTCAGCATTTTTACGCTGGCATATACAGGAGGAGGGCGGTGTAACCTCTATCTTACAGCGGACCTGGGTTTGATTAGACTCCCTCTGAATCTGAACTGCTGGACCCTTGAATCTTGATCGAGATGAAGGGTCATGGAAAAAAGAAGGTATTGCTCCTGACAGGAGACAAAAGCTAACCGATTTTGAGACCTTAGATCATTGGCTGACCCTCTGGGTCAGATCAATTGCCCATTTGTCAGGAAAATCAGGCCCTGCTAGATTTTCTTGAAGTGAAGCAGATGAGTCTTTGCTAGGGTATTTTGGGGCACTGATTCTGATTTTCACACTAGTTTTGTTTGGAAATGTATGTGTGCATTCGGGGTAGGTTGGTGACTGGGTCCATTTAGATCAACCAGCATTTTCCCGCCAGTTGTTCTTAGCCAGTAGGTAGTTACCATCAATGATGCCTCTGTCACATGTTGTGTACCTAGTCTCTTAAAGTGGTTCCAAAATCCTCTAATGAATGCTTTGATTATCAAACTGATACTTTGTTATCAGTTTCGAAAACTACTCATAGAAGCATTAACCCTCGCCGGCACAGGCCATTTTGCGTCCTTCGACGGCACAAGGTGGTACGACCCCCTCGCGTTTGGCCCCTGATCGAGCTAGAGCTTCACGGAAAAAACGAACATGCTGCCCGTCACGAGAGAAAGCCGATGATACCCAATTTTAAGGTCCTAGGTCATTGGGTGACCTTCCAGGTCAGGTCAATGACCCGAAAATCGGGAAAATCGGGACCTGTTAGAAATTCGTAAAGTGTGGCTGTTATGGGGTTTTCCGGGGTGCTGATCACGAATATCGTGTTAGTTTTGATCAGAGATGATGTCTTTAAGCATTTAGACCAGGTCGGGTCAGGTCAGGTCAGGTCAACCGGTAGGGGTGGTGACAGGTATTCGCAATACATGTCAACCGCCTCTGTCAGCTTTCGTAACATGCTACGAAGGCACCAAAACTACTTCGTAAATATTCAAATGGTTGCTAAATTCGAATTCAGCTCCAAAAACTAGCCTAGAAACAGGTAAAACTTGAAAAAGTGAACCGAGGTCACCAAAGTTCAATGACCTGACCTGACATTCAGGTGACCTTCTTGACACCCACTCTAATGTATGGAGCAACATCAAATCACATGTTTGAACGTTTGAAACCACGAAAAGCTTGCAAACGCGCGGCTAATGCGAACCGACATACGCCGAATCGCGATTCCGGCCAATTATGGTCTCGGAAAAGAGGTCACAGGTCAAAGGTCATTTAGGTCAGGGTCATGAAATTTTCAGGGTAGGTGTAAAATTGATCAATGCGAGGGTACTGAAAGTTTCGTCGCGATCGGCCTCTTTTTACGCGAGTTATTCGCGAAAAACCTAAGGGGGGGGGGGGGGGGAGCTGCATCAATCCCCTCCCTCCTGTGCCGGCGAGGTTTAATAATAAAAAAGTTAACCGAGGTCACCAAGAACCAACCAACTCGTGAGTCAGTGGGGGGGCATTTGAATCCCACCCCCGAAATAGGTGTGATGGTTGGGTAATCTACGAAAGACATCGCTGACTAAGTTTAAATGTGTCGCTCCCTGAGAGTTTCAATGCCGTCTGGTAAGTCTCGCTACGATGCTCAACATCGTTGTGCTTGTGGGGGGCAAGTAGGTAAGCTTGAACATGAAAGCTGCATGCCAGGCATGCAAATTACGGGCACAGGCGTGGAATGGAATCCTAGATACTCGCCAGGCGTGCACTCCCATCGAACTGGGCGCACCATAGTCGAGTGCTTCCACTTGCGCAGCTCGGTCATGCCCCAGGCTCACCGTGTGACACCCACAACTCCTCCACGGTGACAAGTCGTGCAATGACATCTTTTGGATCTTCCACATAGGGGCCAAAAACTTTGCGTTACGCCTCTTTTCGAGCTTGCCTTTTCTCTGGAGTCATGGCAAACGGGGGATGCATCTTGCAGAGATCTTAAACATATTAAGACGCTGATGAAAAATGGCTTTGAGGGCTCCGATGTACAGCTCCGCCTCTGCTGCGTTGTTCCAGGCCAGAACATTTGTCGTTTTTCGGCTTAAGGTAGGTACTCATTTTTCATATTTTCTTTAGTCAATGCTGATTGCTGTTGATGGCTGACCGTCGTGAGACGCTCATTCGCTAACATTGACGAACTCAAGCTGCCAGTTTTACAAGACCATTGTTTGACCCCTCTCAAAATATGGTATGGTGACGCCCTCTCAAAGATGCTGAGGCGATAGGTATAGTGACCGTATATCAGCCGCTGCACGAAGGGCTTGCTATGTCGCAGGTCATTTTCCTGACTCGGAACCAGGGCTGCAGAGTGCAGAGTCAGAGTCGGAGTCGCAGTCGGTCGGAGGGTTTCACCAAAGTAACAAAATGTTTTTTGTTTCAGAATGGTGGTCTGGCATCTCCAAACCGCATCGCTGGCAAAAATCACTCATCAACAGTTCTGCTGAAAACAGTCAGAAATGTGGCAATCGTTGGAACCGTGGGACTTTTCTTCGTCGTGGTTTCATGTAAGCGAATGATAATTTATCGATTTATGGAAGTCTTGAATTCAATATATACGATCAAACTGGCTGTTGATAATGCTATACTTCCAACTATTTGACTGTTTTAGTTCTCCGTCCCTGTTTCATACACACGTCATGTCTTTGTTCACCCTCTCTCCCGCTGTCCTGTCCCCGCACGCATATCCCTCGCTGACCCGTGTTCACTGTTCAGGCTCAGCCTACGCTGGTATGCTTCTGCTCTCCCCATCCGTCCTTATTTGGCTCATGCCGACATGCAGCAGAAGTCAACTCGTAACCACTTCCTTCTCAGTAGTCAAACACATCACCTCTGCGCTGTCCCACAGTGTCATACAACAACACTCTGCCATGGAGGATGTCACACGCCACCAATGTGCTGGACCGGCTGGCAGTGCGGCTCGGCCTCCAGGAGCAAGTGTACGCGGTGGTGATCGACGCCGGCAGCACCGGCACGCGCGTGCTGGCCTTCGCCTTCCACCATAGCCTGCTCGGTGAGTGGTGAGCGGCTGGCCGATACAGTGTCGGCGAGCTTAGCGCTGTGTATATGGAATGAGGGAATGGCTTGTTGCGTTTGCCCTACCATCCGTAAAGTTGAGCGCCTTATATTTCCTGGTTTTCCGAAAATCCGTAGAGATTCAGGTAGGAACCGCCCGCTGTTTGGCTGGTCGTCCTGGAAAACTTGTGAATGGGTCCCGGACTTAAAAAGGACAATCTTGAGGGCTGATGAGTTGGTAGGTATCCAAAACGCTACACTTGCACTGTTTGCGCCAATGGCTCTTAGCCAGGGAATATAAAATGTGGTATCATGTTGACATTTTGCGGCGGCCTCGTAATAAACATACCAAGTGGTGCTTGAGCTGTGCACTGCTTGTGTTCTGTGAGTGTGATGAGGTTGTGGGTCTGCACTCAATATTCATTGGACTTGCGCATTGCACTAAGTATGTGAAGCGTGTGCTTAGCGATTGAAGTTTGGTTCGGTGCTGTTTTCAGCGTGAATAAGCGCTGCTCTTTTTATAACAAACGTTTCGATTGAAACGGCTTTTGCCCATTGCTAAATACTAATGCTTATTTTGCAGATGGTAGCTTGAAACTAGATGCTGAGCTATTCAAAGAAGTCAAACCAGGTCTTTCATCATATGCCAAGGAACCCGAGGCGGTAAGTAATAAAAGAAGCATTCAAACATCATCATGAAAGCGAATTAATCGCTTGCGACGCGTATTGTAAGGTCCGTGGAATCCGTCGATTGTTCCTCTTGGGGTATTTGTTTGGGTTTTTGGTGGAGTTGGCCGGGGGCAACATGTTATACAAGATAGGGCATTTATAGCGTCTGAAGTACGCTTGCTTCGTTATGAATATGTTGCAACTAACGATTTTTAAGTCGTCTGAACTAACGAGTGTCTAGATCGACTGGATGTCGCTCTCTCCAGGATTTTACTCGTCCTCAATCTTCCTCCTAATCTCAATATTCAACTTATGTGATGGATGTATGCTACCTATTCTTTTTCCAGTGCGGGGCTGAAACTTATAACTAAAACAGTGGGTACCGGGTATGGTGACAAGTGCGCTCGTAATTCCCCAGCCTGTGGTGCCTGGAAGGTTAACACGTCCTGTACCCTACCTCCTTATCCCGCACTGATCTCCGTCCTGTGGCCAGTCGGCGGCGTCTCTGCGCGAGCTGCTGTCGGCGGCGCTGCAGTTCGTGCCTGCCGAGGCGGTGTCTCGCACGCCGCTGGTGCTGCGCGCCACGGCCGGACTCCGGCTGCTGCCCGATCACCGCGCCGACGCGCTACTGGAGACGGCACGCGCTGAGGCCGAGCGGAGCGGCTTCCTGACACGGCCGGACGCCGTGAGAATCATGTCCGGAACGGACGAGGGACTCTTCTCCTGGTTCACCGTCAACTTCCTGCTCGGTGAGTAATTCGTGGTGCCTCCGAAACTACACCAGGGAGCTCAGCGTCGCTTCCAGTCCCATGGTGTTGAGAAGTCTCTGTCTCTGAGTAGTGAGAATGGTGTCAGCAATGGTGAGAATGGTTTGCTGGGTCGAAACTGGTTTCAGCTCCCGACAAGAACTGAATGGCCTGCTGGTACCGCCCTTGCCCGGCCGACTGGGCAAAAAGAAATTCCGCTTCCCCTTTACTGTCCCGCCAGCCAAACAACACTCTGGATCGCTGTTAAATGTACCGTACATGATACAATACAATACAATCCTACTCCTATCAATACACCAATACAACATCCTATCAATATAATATCAATACACCTACTCCGCCCCTGCCGGCAGACCGACTGGGCGGCGAGCCGGGCCGGTCGGTGGCGGTGTTCGACCTCGGCGGCGGCTCCACCCAGGTGACATTCGCGCCCACGGAGGCCGCCACCATGCACGCCGCCCCGCCCGGCTCCATTGTCGAGGTGTCGGCCATGAAGGCACAGGCCGGAGTCTACTCCCAGAGGTGAGTCGCTGGGTAATCGTATCAACCTGCTGCGGGTTCTACTAATCAATTAGTCTAAGTCATGAGCACTAACTTGTTATTTAACTAGTCAGGCGTTGTATATAGGTATGCAGACACTAATGCGACTAACACGATTGCTGTGTGTGTAAGAGTTGAAGGATAATCCTGAAAATGACCGTACCAGTGTGCCGTGTGACTGACTTCTGTTTTATGTCCTTTTTAGTCGGCGCCCCAATGACAGAGTGGTCTACGCGCGAAGGTTTGTGCTGACTTCTCTGAGACGGCCTGTGTGCGCCGCTTGTTCCTGTAGTAGTGTAGTATAGTAGCGCTTTGGTCCTTTGGCGGTCGGCGATGGGCGCACGTGTTGTCCCGTACCATTGCTTTCTGTCCGTCGTACCGCTTTTTTTCTCATCAGTCTGTCTCGTCAGTCCCTAGTGGCGTCCGGCGACGGTAGACTTTTTGATAGTTTATTCAGTTCCTTGTCATGCCCGTTTCGCCCATGTTCATGATCTAAAGTAGCCGAAGGTTTTTGTCCGATAGCTAAAAACACTATTCGTTGGAAATGTTTTTACCTATTGAAAAACAAGCCTGAGTTCCCGGACAATTTTGGATAAAGTCACTGTCTATAGCTCACAACGCTAAACAGTAAACCAAATGTCGACCTTGTCTCGATTTGTGTTTTTTTAACGAAGGTTAATATTTCTTTCATTTCTAGGCACTTCGAAATTGCTATTTGTTTTGCATCACGACCAAGTTGCCAGGACGCGTCATGTCATTCACGCTCAATGAACTAAGGCATTGTATCCTATCACGTTGCCGGTTGCACGATCAACGCCATCGGCCGGCACACACCGATCGGAGAGTTGTCAAAAGGGTTCTGCGGGCGCACAAGTGACGGCTTACACTTGGGATATCGTTCCAGTAATGTACATAGCCTCGTGCTTATGGTTTTTGTCTGCTAGTGCACCTGTACAAATTGTGATGTTGCCTAACCATGTCCTTTTTGAAAAAGTTTGTGCTGTGATCGTCCTGTGCTGTTCGTTTTGTTACTACCTTTTTCGCCAAAGCATGATCATTTTCTTTAGCGTCGAAGTAGTTGGTCGTGTGTGCATTTGGTCTGTCAGACCTCATTTGTTTTCGAAAGTGTGGGCGGATCGATTTTCTGGCTGCTGTTTTTCATGATAAGATGGGTCACGTTTTGCGCTAACACTGGATAGTATATAACCCCACCCACCAATGGTGTGTCATCTTGGCGTATGGACTGTCAGCAATGTTCCTCAGTAGCACGGGACTCGTTCATGTGCTTTGTAGCTAGCATTTTTTTTCTACCTGTAGAGTTATAGTGTATTTTTATCTTTTTGTGGAGTAGCGCGTGTTCTGTGTCTTCGCTTGGCAGGGTATGTGTGCCACTCACAGTGAAACTGACACTGAAATTAAACAAATTCTGATGCAAGACAATCACACTCAGACAGCTTGTGGCCTAAGCACGGGTAGCATTGGATAAAGAAATAGACCAATCGTATTGCATGTATGAAGGTACAGAATCCATTTTCGGTGGTCAATTATGCGCCAAGTCTATATTCATCAAAGTTCAGTCATCTCTGCCAAATAAATTTTTTAGCACAAAGAGAGCTGAGGACATTGTTGCTGTCTGACAGCGCCGGCTGGTGTCTGGCTGCGACCGCAACAACAGCTAATGCGCGTAACAAGCCCACCATTGTGATCCTCTGACTGTGACCACGGTAACATCTAGTGCCCCCACCCTGACTGTGACCGTCAGTTACCTGGGGATCGGTCTGATTTCCCCCCTCCCCCCCCCCCCACAGTGCGACCGCCTGGAGATCTGATTAAATTCTGATTCCCCTTCCCTACCCCTGCTCTGACCGCCAGTTACCTGGGTATCGGTCTGATGTCTCCACTCCCTACTGTGACCGCCAGTTACCTGGGTATCGGCCTGATGTCCCCCACCCCTACCTGTGACCGCCAGTTACCTGGGTATCGGTCTGATGTCTCCACTCCTGTGACCTCCAGTTACCTGGGTATCGGTCTGATGGCGGCCCGGCACACCATCCTGACCGCCGGTATGGACGGTCAGAACTCTTCGGTGGTCAGCGAGTGCGTCAACCCGGTGGTCACGACAAAGTGGAGCTACGGCGGCAAAACCTACAACATCAGGTGATAATAACATTATTTTACCATCTTTTATAAAGTAAAAGTTAGTCACTAACTGCTTACTTTGTGCTCAACGTTGACTTTACGCCCACTTGCTCTCAAAGTAGATCGTGAGTCTAGTGCTAGTAGGAATTCGGGTCAACAGCAAGTCAAACTGGTTTTAATGGAAATGCATATCATGCAAATTTATGTGGAAAGCTGGATATATTTTTTTGCCCTATTGCTGTACTTTTTTATTCTCTCGGCATTGTATTTGAATCTGACGTGTTGTGGCGGAATTGACGTCATTACAGGCAAATTACAGGTTCAAAAACTGAGTTTGTCGAGGTACTTCTTGGCATATCTGCACATCCACCCTGTGCGCGTATTCAAATACCTTGTGCCACTTCATGCATAATGCATGTTTGCTGGATGACGGCCTCCCTAGCACCGGACAGCTATTATACGCCAGAGATTATTAGAAAAAGGATGGAAGATGAGCATGCTAATCCAGGATAAATCGCTACAAAAACTTTTGTACAGTACTAAGTCTTCAGTCACACCTGGCTATAGATTAAACCGTTGTGGGAAAGTCACAGACTGATGTGTGAGAATGTGTCCTTGTGTGTCCTCACCAAACTGTTACGGGAAAGTCGCCATCTGAAATAGTTGTGGCATGATGCGTCCTTGTCTGTCATTGCTGTCCAATGACAATTTCGTCCCATCGACAGTGGCGTCAGCACCAGCAAAAACTACAAGTTCATCAAGGGCAAGGGCGGCCTGATTGACAAGACGGAGCCGATCGTGGACTTTGTCAAGTGTTACGGTCTGGCCGAGCGGTTCCTCAGCGGCCGGCTGCACGCTCCCGACGAGCTGAGGTCCAGAGAGGTGAGTCGTGCCGCCGAAACGCGGGCCGCACTAGTTACTAGCGTGTCATTCCGTCTCGATTTCCCTAACTGGTGCAGGACTGCCTCGAAGTACTTTATTTTCATGTGATGTTTGAGCATTATGCGAGATTGGTGTGCCAGCTTGGAATAATTGACTTTCCCATTCGATGATGCCTCGCAAAATTTTATTAAGGAAATTATATCTGCATGACCTGCGCTGTGACCAAAAATCGAACGGCATTGTTCATTGAAGTTAACGGATGGCTAGATAGTGACATCCGAGGAATCATTGTCATTCACTGCTGCCCCGCTCGCCCGCAGGTGTACGCCATCAGCTACTACTTTGACCGCGCCACCGAGGCCGGCCTGGTGGACCCGTTCGACGGAGGCGCCGTCACCGTCGAGCAGTTGATGCGCGCCGCGCGCCAGGCGTGCGAGACGCCCAACGTCGAGCAGCCGCTGGCCTGTCTGGACCTGACGTACATCGCGGCGCTGCTGCACGCCGGCCTCCAGCTGCCCGGCGAGCACCTGCTGCGGCTGCACAAGAAGATCGACGAGCACGAGACCAGCTGGGCGCTGGGCGCCGCGTTCCACACACTAACCAACCACGCCTGAGGCGGGACCTCGGACCGGCGTGGGCTGGCCAATCAGTTACCCCGCGCTGTGCAGATGAGTGCAGAGTATATTATACAGCCATCGAATGCAATATCCCAATGGAGTCCACTCCCCAGTACCGTACCACTGATTGTTTGATAGTGTAATTTAAAGTGCATGCTGGATATCGTGATTGGTACGATATTTATTGGGGCGAACTCAGCGTGGTCTCACGTGTACCCCGCAGCTGAGCCTCATGCCGACGCGACTATTCATTCTTCTGATGTGCTCGTGATGAGTCAGTGTGGGGCGTGGTGTCTGTGTCACCTGATTCGAACTTCCATTTATGTGCTGCATTGTTGAGCCAACTATTGATGTGTAGTCACAAGCGCATGTTTCAACGTTTTTACATATGCCTAATGCCTGATTATTTTAGTTACCCCTTGCTATTTGAGACCATATGTCGATGTCGGGTGGGTGTTAGTGCCACGTATTTAGCGTCAGTGCGCCCATTGTTTACCGTTAAAGGCGACTGATGATGTGCAGAATTAAAGAATACGGTTTCTGTAGCTATGGCGGCTCTGGATTACTGCTGTGGTGGGCGTGCCTTGTCTCTTGGATGCGATGTGAGCCGGTTTTATGTCTTCTGTGTCCGCGTGCTGCGGCCGGTGAGCAGATTTTGTGATCAGCCCATGACGCTGCCGTGCTCAGCAGTGTGTTTGGAAGTGATGCTCAATTGCGCGGCGTCTTTAAGCAACATTTGTTCAATGAGACGAACCACCTTTTTGATCGGGAAATAAATTGGTACCGTGAATTGTGAAATATTTTGTCTGTCTTTTACGTCTCTTGACGGTGCCCGCGTTCTACAGGGTGGTGCTCCGATAAAACTATCGTATGTTATCACGAGGTCGAGCCTCGCATCAATTTTCCTAAAACGTCTGTAAAAAGGGCACTAACAAATTAATGACTGCCGCGGCGAACAGCTCTTTCTTGCCAAGCCTACACCATTTCCTACAACCCGTAACTCAAAGTGAAAGTTATCATCCAGTGACAAAAATTTTCATAAAATATGTCACCCATATCCTTTTTATTCCTCACTCACCAGTGAAGTAATCAAGAGTTGACCAATGATAGAGATGTCCTGTGTTTCACCTCTCACAAAATCATCATAAAATGACCAGCTGGATTGGTATGGCTACATTCACAGTGCTACAAAGCCAGCATTCACAAAACAGCATAACATGCTCCAGTCACAGATATCTCACTCAGGCGAGTCCCTTGGCCTTCATCTCAGCCAGGAGAGTGGAGCCCATCTGAGCCGGGCTCTTGGTGACCTTCACGTTGGCTCCCTGCAGTGCCTTGATCTTGTCCTCAGCACCACCCTTGCCACCAGAGATGATGGCTCCAGCGTGACCCATCCTCCTGCCAGGTGGCGCCGTCAGGCCAGCGATGAATGAGACAACAGGCTTGGCATCAGGGCCAGAGTTGTGCTCCATGAGGAAATCTGCAGCCTTCTCCTCAGCCTGTCCTCCGATTTCGCCAATCATCACAATACCCTTGGTCTCCGGATCATTCAGGAAGACTTCCAGGCAGTCAATGAAGTTGGTTCCATTGAAAGGATCACCTCCAATGCCAACACACAGGGTCTGTCCCAGGCCAACCAGTGTGGTCTGGTGCACTGCCTCGTAGGTCAGGGTACCAGACCTTGATACAATGCCAATGCAGCCCTCCTGGTGGATATGACCAGGCATGATGCCAATCTTGCACTTGTTAGGGGCAATGATGCCAGGACAGTTGGGCCCGATCAAGCGTGACTTGTCCTGTCTGAGGAGCCTGTGCTTGACTTTGACCATGTCCTGTTGGGGAATGCCCTCAGTGATGCACACAATCAAAGGCACTTCAGCGTCCAGAGCCTCAAATATGGCAGCAGCCGCAAATGGTGGCGGAACATAGATCACGGAAGCATCTGCTTTTGTCTCAGCCATCGCTTCTTTTACAGAATCAAACACAGGAAGACCAAGATGTTTTTGGCCTCCTTTTCCAGGTGAAACACCCCCGACAACAAGTGAGCCATACTCAATAGCTTGACGGCTGTGGAACGTGCCTTGCTTGCCTGTGAAACCTTGGCAGATGACTTTGGTCTGGGATGTCAGCTTCATGTTCTGCCTGGTGGCATCGTACGACACAAAGCGAGCAATAGGTGTGTTGACACGATTCAGCAATCTTCCTATATTTCCAAGGGGCGCTGCCATGATCCACAACCCTTTTTAACCGAAATTGGGTAACCAAAATCCGTGCAATGACAATTTAGCAATGCTGAAGCGAAACTTATCACAGAAAGAGGGCATACGGGGCTAGGCGGCTACATTACTGCAATTTCAGGAAACGTATCAGATGCGTCATTATTGAGAAAAGAAAACTCAGCTGACCAGCGAGTAATTCACAGCTAGTAAATAAAAAGCAGTTGTTTCACATTACAGTCATTACGTCTATTCTATCTGCTATCATCAGTAATCAATGGGTCGGTGGTGAATTTTTATGTCAACAGTCAAAATTTATCTTTATGTGGTCCACCAGCCACATAAAATGAGAATGCAGCAAATTTATGTAATGACCACCTAGCGTCCTTCTTGCAGCTCAGATGGGAGAGTCTCCCATCTGAGCTGCAAGAAGGACGCGAGAGAGACCACAAAGCTCAAAATTTGAGCCTTGCGGGTGATCGCCCTTGCATTCGGGCGATAACGATGATTGCATATTGGAATGGATGCTAACCATTTCGTCCCTCGCGCTCACTTCTAGCGTGAACGTCTGTGATCAGTGACAGTGGTTGCATGGAGGCCGGTTGACGACCGTGATGAGGAACTGCGTCTGACCCGTCCACCGACCACTTGCCTACTTATGGCAGATTGAACGGTTTGAACGTTTAATTTAATTCGATTCAAATGAAAAGTGCGTGGGAAAGTGGAACATTAGCATCAGAGCATCATAGTCGCTATGCCATCGCACTTGGTACCTGCTAGCGATTAGTCGCATAGGAAGTACATTTTTTGAATAAAATGTATGAAATTGCGAGGACGATGAATGAAAAAGGTTAAATTTCAGTGCTGAGCTTTGATGAAGCTGTCCCAAGCCCTCCCGTCATGAGCTACCGCCGGCGGGTCGGCTGGCCTATTCCCCGCTCCACCTCACCCAATGGCCGGCACCGATTGCTGATTAGATATCAGCACACTACGATTGGTCAAAGGTCGTCAGACGGGCAGAATTCACGGCCCAGACGGCCCCGTCGTCGGTCGGTGGGTCACGCCGGAGCAGTGTTGACGAGTGTCGGGTGATCGGTGACATGTCGGAGACGGAGGAGCGCCGGCACAGGTCACGGTCGCGCGGCCGGCCGGCCAGCGCCGCGCCCGAGCCGCCCGTGAAGCCACGGCGCCGCTGGCGTGCCCGCACCGCCAGTGCGCTGATCTCGTCGGCTCCGGCGACCAGCAGCGTCCGGCGAGCCAGCGTGAGTACCAGTTGAAGGCTGTAAAAAACGTGATTATCGTGGACCCATCGATGAGCGAGTATTGTGTTATCATTTCGGCTGTAGGACCGTTACGCCTACCTACCTATAGGTAGGTATGCAGAGATTACGGAAGATGTAGCCATTGCCTGATAAATTTTCCCGATTGCGACATTCTTCGGCACATTTGCCTACGTACAAAATAAATCCGGAACATTTTCCTCTCTGTAAAACGGTAGTTATTCCCCGATATTCGTTGTGCTGTCGCAGGATCCCAATGGTACCGATGAGCCAGGGGCGGGCGGAGAGGGGGCCGGGTGGACCGACGGCGCCGCGGAGCGGTCGGCAGCACCCTCAGACTCCAGTGAGGACGGCAATGCCGGTGAGTAACCGTGATAAGGGGTTACCGGGCCGATTGGCTGGCGGGCGGGTATCAACGGCCGATTCAATCAGGTCTAACCTTGTAACCTTTAGAAATCCAATACTGTTCGGTACCTAAAGAGTTCGCACTTTTCACGTTGTTATAGTGTTCGTAATGTCTACGTAACGTTTTGTCTGCGGTTGTTCGTTTGTGTACCGTGTTTTACAAATGTCCGTCTGTCTGTGCAGCGCCGGCGGAGGACTGTGATGGCTCGGAGCACACGGGACGCAAGGTCATCTCCACAGAGGTGCCCATCGGCATCGACCAGCTCTTCGACATGCTCTTCACAAACTCGGAGTTCTTTCAAAGCTTCTACCGGAAATTAAAGTACTACGGTGAGCTAACACATCGCCTTCCCCATCTGCTTTCACCGTTCCGTCATCGACCCTAAAATTATGCGTTGATAAATAGCGAATTTGTAAGTTTCGAAAAGGTCATCAATTACCCCTGCGTATGTTATAACTCCTCAGCTATCGTTCCAATAGTTCAGGAACTTCGTCGCGAGAGTCATGTCATTTACGATTGGGTAACATGAATCGGTTGCAGACGTCTCCACCACTGATTGGAAAGAGGGCGAGAACGGCTGTAAAACCCGGACGAACCGCTTTCTAGTGGATGTCATGGGCAAAACATCAACGTCAACAGTCACCGAGGACCAGGTACGTTTACGTAGTTACTGCAGCGTCGTTACTCGATATGTGTTCCACCGTCTCACCTATCAGAACGTCTAAGTCACGTATACCTACGGGTCGAGCCGCGTGGATTAGCATGTCGTGTCAAACACCAGCTGGACGCCGACTGTAAATAAATGAAAATCACTCGTTCTCTTCCTCTCCTCTCACTTTCCCCTTTCTCCAGACGATGCTACCCATCAGTAAGCCGGGCAAGCTGTACGTCATCAACGCCGAGGTCAAGAACGCCGGCGTCCCAATGGCGGATCTGTTCTACACCACCAAACACTACTGCATCCATCGAATATCCAGCAAACGGACCAAACTGGACGCCTGGTGTCAGACCAAGTTCAGAAAATCAACACTTCTGAAAAGTAAGCGCGTTTTGCGAAGTCCTGCGCTAGTTCGAGGCATACGCATTAAGGATACCAAACATAAGTGTGCATGAACAACTAAGCATGCCGTAAAAACGGAAACAGCGGAGCTGACCGAAAACACGTCCAGCAACGCCGGATCCGCTGCCAATCCACAGGGAAAAGGTTACAAGGGATTAGGCATTCAAAGTAGAATGGTAGGTCCAACGGATATAGGTGGGTCAGTTACGACAGCCAGGCGCATTAGCCCGTCTGCAGGGTAGCAGGGAGAGGTCATGTGAGTCTATTACGGAGGGCTCAGAAAGGAAAAACACAGGCACATCCGACTCGTTTGAGATCACTGAATCCAGTCAAAGAGTTACCGGCCTCCTCGTGTTCCGTCAGGCTTCATCGAGAGGACGGCCAACGAGGGCATGGAGGAGCACCACAACACGCTGGAGCAGATGCTGACCAGCTGGGTGCAGAGCCCGGACCGGGCGCGTCAGGAGGCGGTGGATGACCAGCGGCCCCAGAGCGCCGCCGCTGACACACCGACACCGGCCCGGCCGCCCTCAGGTAACGGCACAGCCTGCATTTGAAATTGACACATGGGGAGATAGACTAGACACATAACTAGACGAGACAGAAAGCCAAAACTATAGATCACAGCACCACCTGATAACATCGCATGTCGTGTCATATTCCGTACTAAATTATTTTATATAATACATCACCTTTTATCTAAAGAAAGTATGATAGTCTTCTCAAAAGTCAGAAACTCCGTTGTCACTGGGACGGGAGTTATGTTCCGAGCTCACCCCCATGTGTCGGTGCCCTCAGACGCCCCTGGGGCCGGTCGCGGCCTCCTGCTGCTGGTGCTGGCCCTAACGCTGCTGCTCATCGGCCTGAACGGCTTCCTGTACGTGCGTCTGTCGCGGCTGGGCAGCCAGACCGAGCTGCTGCTGCACGCCGGACTGCTGCAGGCCGGAATCAGGTCAGAGGGGTCAGGGGAGGGGGATGTTGGACAGAGCAGCTGCTGAGCTGGGCCGGAATCAGGTCAGAGGGGTCAGGGGAGGGTTGACTCAGGTCAGAGGGGTCAGGAGGGGGTGGATTGGGGTCAGCGGGGTCAGGAGGGGGTGGACTCAGGTCAGCGGGGTCAGGAGGGGGTGCTAGGCAGTCGGAGAGCTTCTGCTCTATGAGGGACTCAGGTCAGTGTGGTCAGGAGGGGCCGGGGCTGGCGTCAAAATACAGCCGCTGAGTGCTAAGCCGGGGCACGAAAAACCCCGAGTCATGCTGATTAACGATACAGGTGCAGCTATCAGGCTCAGCGAGGGTACGCCTTTAGTCATTTGAAGTACTGTATTCTTCATCCCACCTGCTTGAAGATAAGAGTCTCAGCTCCCATTCTTGTTTTTATCTCCAGTATATTTTGAGGCGAGTTTCTCTCGCATCCAAAGAGGGCAGAAGTTGCCGCTTGCTGTCGTCTTGTGGACGAATGCGGGAGAACCATCTTCCTCACGTATTACCGAATTCGATGCTTGCTTGCAGTCAGCTGTTGTAACTACCAGCCCTGGTGACCTCGATTTGGTATACTCGCAGACCTGACCCAGAGTTACTGGATCGTCTGACGTCGGTCCAAGAGCAGAACGAACAGCACCGCGAGCAGCTGGCGCGCTGGCAGCAGACGGTGAGGTCGGCGGCGCAGCTGGTCAGGCAGTCGGAGGCCACTCTCACTCAGCTACAGGTGAGTACGATCGTTACACAATCGTCACCGGCTAGACCCAGCTCCAGGTGAGTACGATCGTTACACAACCGTCACCGGTAGCACTGCAATAGAGCGTTAATTTGAATGGTAGCAGAAGCTTCATGGAACCGTTTTACAAGAGATTAGACAATAGCATGACTGTATGACTAATTGTATCGGGTGACTAACATCCGTGTATGTTTTCTCGGGAAGTCCAAACAATATGGCTGCCTATTACTCAATGTTGTGGTTCTTGCGGAAAACATGATTAACTAACGACATTCAAGTCCCGGAAGGAAACTTCGGCATAAGGACACACAGGTGAGCGTAAGTTTGTTGTTATTGTTTTGCAACCGCAGACACTAGGCGTACTCTGCCGCTGCGGTTGAATCAGCAACACCGTTTCCCACAGGGCTGGATGGACGAATCACCGGAGGGAAAACTCGGTCCCGAGGAGCCACCTGAAGTCCCAGCCACTCTCAGTAGTGCTGCAGTCGCCGAAAACGTACGGCACGGGCCGCCACCATCGGCAATTGGTGTGGACTAGTGAACAATGCAGAATGTTTGCTGCTAGTGAAGTGTACTGGAAAGTGTAAAGGGACCATCAATTGCTTCTGTATACAGAAAGGCTCAGCTCAAATACTGAGTTGCTGACTGTATTTGCTGTCATTAGTTATGTTCTAGTCAGTGACAAATAAAACATGTTATGAAAACAGACTGGACTTCCCTGTGCCGTGAAACTAGATTAACGATTGTTCTTAGCTCCAGAAACTTATCAAACGATATAAACTAAAAGCTCTACAAGAAAGCATCTCGTCTCTAAAAACTCAGTGTATTTCTACACCAAATTCAGGCTCAAGATTGTTTTCGACGACAGAAGTGTGTCTTCGTATTCGATGCGGTAAAGTAACTGCTGATGTGAAAGTAACACCAATCACCATCAATATGAAATGCCCAAGACCTTGTACACAAACTGAAGGGAGGAAGTGCCACTTGTCTCTTAGTTGAAGCGGTTTGTAGAATAAAGAAAAACAAGTGAGTGGCTGAACACCTGGCCAGTACAGCACCGAATAACACATTCAGCGAAAGGGAAGCTAAAAAAATATAAAATTCAGCTCAGTGCAATGATGTGTCTGCCTATCTCTTCCAGCGGATGGTTCAACACCCACTTGAAACTTGTGAGAATGCGAAATGATAAAAACTCACAGAGAGGGGCGTAAAAACAGGTTTCCGCGCAATACAGGGCGCCCCGACGTCTGGGTCGTTAGGTCCGACTCAGTTGGTTCGACACTGGAACAACGCACCGTGACAAATCAGCGGCTGGCTGGAACACGACGCCTTGAATCAGACAGACATGCAGAATGACCTTTCCTGGGCAGGACACCCACCCTGTTTGTCATTCAGTCATAATAAACAATTGTGTTATCCAGGTTTCCTTCACCATCTTACGTAAGATCTCGACGCATCGCACCAATCAATACAATACAGAACTGTTATTTCCTCGTTAAGGTCACCTGTTCATTGATCACATCAAGCACTAGCCATAACACAAACATTTATTCAAACAGCACTTTATTAGGGTACAAATACGCAGTTTCGCAACAACGATCTATATCAGCAACTTTTCTATAAATAATTAAAACTCATGCCCTACCACTTCGCTTTAAGCTGTGCTCATGAAGCACAAAACAATGTAAAAAACGCGACAAAAGCGAGAAACGCACAAGATATACAAAATATGTTACCATTCTACGAATGGTATTTCCTGTGTTTTTGCGTTCGCGAATTCACAGGTACTTAAACGCTGCTGAGCTTAAACCACTTTTATAACGTTCTAACGACGCACAGTTTATGACGGAGCAAAAATACGGCCAGTCATATCAGCTGCATGGACAATAAAGCGTAAAAAGTTCACTATTGGCCAGTCGCAAAGAAAGCAACCAAAGAGCTAACACATGAGTAGCATTGCAAATAAATCGCGTCAATACGAACGCAAATACGTCCACCGCAGCAAACAAGCTGCCAACAACTGGCCGATACTACAATGATACCTGTCGTCAATGGAATTTCAGCCGAGCTGCCGCCCAACCTTTCGCCGGCAGCCGCCGGCAGCTAGCCTGCCGCCACACCACTAGCTGCCAGGCTAGCGCATAGCCTGCGTTCCTGCCGAGCGTTGGCCTGGGTCGGCCTCACAGCACACTGGTAGCCAGCAAAGGGACACCACTCGACTGGCGGCGGCCACCACTGATGGCACGGAATGATGCGGACAGAGTGTGCCACCGCAGAGGGGCGGACGTGACCACGGGGTCTTCCTAAGGACAGCCGGGGACGGCGGACTAACCATGATAGCATCGATAGGCTCTGGATATAGCCAGCCAGCCAGCGACATCGGCCAACCGGGGAGCGGAGTAACGCAGCCACTACTGTCCAGCGTCCGTCATAGCCGCAGTTTCGCTTTCTGCAACAAGAAAATCAGAAACATGAGACTCATGGGATGAATAATTAAGATCATCGCAACTATTAGGGCGGCTGCTTCATAGTAACATAATGCGAGCCAGCTTAAAATATCGTTTACAAACGAGGTTCACACCCATACATCGTATCTTGTTATAAGCTAATAACTACTCGGTACTCGCACGATAAATTTAAATCAATGCCACTGGGCATCATACAATCAGACAGAGTAGTAAAGAAACAGGATATTTACAAACTAATTATCTGTAAAGATAATGTCAAAACAAAATAACGGAAAGAAAAGGGATGTAGATAAACATACAAAAGAACACTAAATAAAATGGTCAAGCTTACCAGGCCACCCGCTTCCTTTGCCTTTCTCGTCACCTTTTTCTTGTCTTCCTGAATTTTCTTCATTCTCTTCGTAGTTTCTTTCACACTGTGAAAGAAGCATCATTTAATGATACAATACTTCTTAGCATGTAGCAGGTTCAAACATTCAATGAATTCATTCACGATAATACTAAGACATCATTGGGCAAAATGAAGAATATTTCAGAGCTTGAGCAATTTTTTTTTCTTCAAAATAGTCTAAGACTTGACAGATTTGAATTTACTCAAGTTGATAAATCTTTAAACTTACATGCTCAGCTGTTCCCGTTTCCATATGTCGGCGAAATCACCACAGAACGGCGACCATATTAGGAAGAAGTCCTTCGGAGTCATCTTCTTTCCGTCCTTTCGATGTGTGCATTGGAAGAAGACACAGACGTCTGCAAAACTACGGAGAGGATACAAGCGTTATTATAGCAACATCATTTATCGTGAATCTATGATTTGCATAAAAATGTGTGTGTGTGTGTGTGTGGGGGGGGGGGGATTTCTGAGCTCCGTCGACAGCTGAATTAGGGGCTTGGGAGACATACTTAAGCGTTTCCAAAACTCACCAGTTTTCGCATTCCTTCAGGTTATTCTGCTGCACATCCAGTCGTTGGTCGGCCTCCCGCAGAAAGGTCTCCATGTTATCCTTGAACGGCTGCAGGTGAGCCTCCTCGGAAGAAGCCGCCACCTGTCACCAAATGGGAGAGCCTCGGTAAAACGCTGTGATCGGTCATATGAAATTATAATCTAAATAATCAGCAAAGGTAAAAACACATGGTATGCTACATTAGTAGTTACTAGTCGGACATAAGTCTACGCATGAAGCTGTTTTTTTTTTCACATCAGATCAGTGAGTCTGTTCCAATAGTTCAAGCACTGAAGGCTAGTCTGAAATGTGTCCGGCCGGGTCATGACTGAGCCTTCAACACCAGCACCAAGCTGTCACTTCGCTCGCCTTTTCGGTGCGGAGTCGGCAGTCTCGGAGCTCCTTGGCCAGCCGGCGGAGGTCGGTGGCCACCTCGTCAAAGCGGATCTGCTGGCACCGCTCCACGTCCCACGGACTGGGCACCGGCAGCTGCGAGCACTCCGGGTCGTGGTTCTGTAAAATGGAGGGGAATACCGTCAGAAGGGAAATTTCTCAGAACTCATCTCAGATCAGCAGTAGAGGCAGAATTTCGATCTCGCAAGAAATTCAATCTTTGTTTGACAAGGGGAAGTTGAGTAAAAACGGATGATGACCAACCGCTCCTAAGCATGTTGAAAACGTGCAAAATCATGGACCGATTGGGCATTATTCTGAGCTTGAGCTCCAGAATCACTACAGTGCGCCAGTAAGCCAATGCAGTACACTAATTTCTACGCAACAAGTTAATTTCTTGCATCACTACATCAATTTAAATTTAGCGTTGCATGTGATAGGGGCTAGGTATGCCATACCTGGATATATTTCTTGACGATGTAATGCAGTAATGTCACAGAACTATCTTTGCTCTTGACGTCTTTGAGTTTGCTGATGATATCGAGACCGAAGCCATCAGCTTGTCCCCGTGTCCTGTTGCCGCCGTTCATGTAGTTTCCCAGCGCGAGGATCAGCCCGAACACGTGCTGCACCGACTTGGAAGACATCAACATCTGACGAGGGCGCCAGTCATCAGAATGAGACAAAAAAAAAGAACAATCACGGTAAAGACCAAGAATCCTCACACAAAACACGCATTCACAGTTATACGGTAGAAGTACTCGATCTCACAAACATACTTCATCCACAAAACAACAAATATTTTCTCGGTAGGTGACGATAGAGAAAAGAATACGCGCACGATACGAAGAAAATGCCACATTTCATCCTTTGCACTGGCGGTGAAATGTGGAATAAGCTCACCTTACAGGTACTCTTCAGGTTATCCAGTTTGACCTCCAGCGTGTTGAGGGCCTCGTGGAATGACGATTGGAATGTGAAGCAGGTGATCCGATCAGCAAAGTGCGGAAGCTGACTCAGCTCGTATAAAAACCTGTCGCAGACAGGAAACATGAGTGTTAATTCGATTCACTACAGCAGGAAGCCTGGACACATTGCGGAAATGATAGATGATACTGTAATGTGGTTTGATAGGTACTCACTGTTCGGGTTTGTCCAGTGGGACGTCCGGGTTCTTTTGCAGGTGGTGCCGGATGGTCTTCAGCTCCTCGTCAGTGGCCCTCTGTAAACATCAGAAGAACAGTATAACATGGATATCGAACGAAATCGGTTTTGAATTCGGTAAGTCAAATAACCAAAACTCCAAGAGTGAACAAATAACAATATCAAATAATGGGTAGGGAGGGGAGCGCCGGTGCATGGGCGAAGTTATGATGCGACATTTTAATAGCTTCATGGTGTAATGAGGGGCTAATCATCGTTGTGACTAGCATATTGAAAGCGAAGTCAAAGAGCTCAATTTTCCATGCTTCGTTCACCGTAACGAGTGACTGACCATTTCCAGGAGCTGTTCGAGCTGGTCCAGGCTGAGATCGGAGGTGTCCAAATTGAGCACCGCCGACTCGATGTCCGCGATCTCCAGGTGCTGAGACGAGATCAGAATGCCCACGTTCTGCGACCGCTTGCTGTCCAGCAGTTTGGCACGTTTTACCTGTAGCGAAGAGAATTAGTCGAAACGGCGTTCATTTGAACTAATCGGCGGTCTCCATTCATAGTCCTTGACTCGATGAGCTAAATGAACAACAACATATGGACGAAAACGCTTCAAAGCGCTATTATCACAAACAACATGGATAACTTGCATCATGAAACCAACGTGAATTTGAGAAAAATGTATGATTTCGTAAGGTAGGGGAGAACAAGAGCACGTTTGCTCTTCAGAACCAAACTCACCTGTTTCTTGGGACTCTTGACCTCCTTCTTTTTGGCCGGTTTCTTCTGGACCACCTGTCTGGCGAACAGGTCGGTGAACTCTTCCTCCTCAAACGGCTCCTCCTGCAGCTGGTCCCAGAGGAGCGACGGCGTTGGCTGGCTGTCGGCACACACGGGCAGGGGCATACATAGAGACTTGAAGGCGCCGTCACAGGATAGGGTAACGCAGCGACGGCACCGGCTGGCTGTCGGCACATAGCACACGACGGGGTAACATAGGGCGGGAGCGCCGTCACAGGACCGGGTAACAAAAGAGCAGGGCCTAGCACCGACACACGATGGGTAACACAAACAGCAAGGACACTGGTAATAGTACACGACAGGGTAAGACAGACTAAGGACGCCGGCCGACTGTCGGCACATCACCTCACACGGCGGGGTCACATGGTACTACAGTCGTAAAACAATGCTCATCCAGACACAATGGGATGATTGTGAACAATTTCGATTGCATATTGACGTTTCCGCTTCTTCATTAACATGAAACAACAAAACACGACCTTCATGCTGATACGCAATAGCATTTTTTATAAATCAGTACAATGGACTTAGCTTTCATTCGATGACAGGTTGTTGTTTGTTTATTAGGACTTCAGACAGGTTTGATGATGCTGGTGATTTGGTGTGACAGGGCGAACCAGCAACGTGGCTATATCGTCAGAAGGGTTAATGATAGGTGCTAGCGCTTGCGTATTCTAGCCAACTGTCGAACAAAGCGGCGCTTCTGACACATGACACACCATGAATTACTGCATCAATGACGCCGAGCTGCGTCTCCCACCTGTCGTTCTCCGTTCCGTTGGAATCGGCCACGGGCGGGGCCACCGGAGCCGCCACGACCGGCATCTGAATACGCGTCCAGTACAGCGGCCGCATCGGCACCTTGGGGTTCACGGGCACCTTTCGCAGCGCTGTGGGAACCAACGGCGGCGTGGGTCAGTCCAGGACGGTCGACAAAAGGAGAGCGGGAAATACTACAGACAAAGACAGGATTCTAACGAACAACCAACCGGCGGGGCCAGACCAGCCGGGTTCAACTAACGGGTCCTGCACCAGCGAATGGGAAACCCGCACTGACAACCTTTGCGAACAATAATTCATTTTGACGGATAGCCGCTTTTTTAGGGGGGGGGGGAGTTCTGATTAGTTGCGTCATGAGATTTAGCGACGACCATGAAGTGATCATTTCGAATGCATCCAGCTCTGTAAGTTGGAGCTTTGACTGGAAAGACGTTTGAAGGTTTAGATTTGAGAGGCATTGTGATTGACATCGCCAATGAACCTTTCATTAGTCCCTAGAAGCAAAATGTATCATTCAATCCAAGCAGATTCTTCGTCTTCAAGGTGGATTGGGGCGCAAAGCCGTCGAGTTCAAGCGTCCGACTAAGCAGATTCGCTATATAAACAAAAGTTCCATCAAAATCAATAAACGGATATGGCGTCGTAAAAACATACAACACTCAGGACAACTTGTGATTAGGGAGACAATCTATATTGCTGACGAGCCAGGCTTCTAACAAAATTAATACAAACGCGAATAATGTCTATGCCGTTACCAGACGCTTACTTGCAGCTGGTGTCTGGCTCCATCCGCCCGGAGGCGGCGGCGGTAGCGGCGGCGGACCTCCAGCCGTCGGCGCGGGCGGGGGAGGGGGAGGAGGCACTCCGGCTCCGGGAGGAGGGGGTGGGGGAGGAATACCGGACCCTGGTGGAGGGGGAGGAGGGGGTATACCCGAACCAGGGGGCGGCGGCGGAGGGGGTATTCCTGACCCAGGCATGGGAGGGGGAGGGGGTATGCCTGATCCTGGCATTGGAGGAGGAGGGGGTATGCCTGACCCTGGAGGTGGGGGTGGAGGTGGAGGTGGGGGTATACTAGACCCTGGCAGGGGAGGAGGGGGTGGTATACCTGACCCAGGGGGTGGGGGTGGTGGCGGGGGCGGTGGAGGTATACCAGACCCAGGCGGTGGCGGTGGAGGGGGCGGGGGAGGCGGCGGAGGGGGTACACCAGACGGTGCGGGCGGAGGGGGCACACCACGTGCCGGCGAGGTCGGTGAAGGGAAGCCCTCAGCGCTCGGTGAGGTGCGGACAGCAGGCTGCTGAGGGCCGTGCCCGGGAGACTGCCGGGGCGGGGCAGGACCCGAGGGAGGCGGCGGGGGAGGCTGGTAGGGCGGCGGAGCCCGCACTGGAGCCGGTTTCTGCGGGCTCCAGGCGGGCGCCGCCCCTTTAGACGGGGTGGACGCTGGAGACGGACCACTCTTGGCGTCGGCGGTCTGCCGAGACGGACCACTCTTGGCGTCGGCGGTCTGCCGGGGGCCGTAGTCGTTCTTCATGTTCTTGGTGAGCTCCTGCAAACAGAATTACAACGTTCTAAGCTGGTCCCAAATACATCTTTTCAGACAAAGGAAAGATTCGTTCATTTCGGAGGCTGCATTCGCTTGTAACACATTCAGCTGCGTAGTTATGGCAGTTACTTTTTGTGGCAACTCGTATGATTTCGCAGACAGATAACGTCAAAATTTAAAAAAGCATATAAAAACACAATGCGGCACTCTCAGATTCCTGCTATTAGAGGAATAACATGGCTTAACTGTCACAAAATAGTAAGGTTGCAGGTTGCAGTTGCACCAGCACGCACCAACATATTCAAGCATCTTTCCGCTATTCATTACAAGCCAGAGGAAAAGGTAAATAAATAACAAGCTCCATAAGGAAAAGGTGGCTCATCAATTGGTCAATAAAGTAGCCGTATTTGGCTGTCTTACAAAATAAGATAGACTTTTACCACAACGGTATCTTCAGATTAATTACTCGCAAGGGGCCGTGAATCTGAAGACGCAGTATTGAAGAAACATCCCTGGTCAGACAAAATAATGGAGAAACCAACAAAGCCGTGACCAAAAGCACTCCGTGCTTACCTGCAGTCCCACCATGGTTTTGTACTTGTCCAGCTGCTGCTCCAGCAGGCGCAGCTTGCTCTCCAGCTCCGTCAGCTTCAGCGCCTCCGTGCTGGACACTTCAGGCACCAGACGGCGCACCGGTTTGGCCACGGGCTGTGACCCCGCATTCACCGGGGAAGGCGGGGTGCCCTGCTCCGACTGAGGCCGGCCCGGTGCACCTAACAGACAGGGGAGCTGTCGAATGGTGGCACCTAACAGACAGAGGACCGGGCTGTCGAGCGGTGGCACCAAACACACAGAGGAGCTGTCAACGACGCCCGGTCCCCGAGACGGGTACAACTGACATACCTCATGGTGCTTCAGTGGTCACAAATAAGACTGGCTTCAGCCCGTCGATACACCAAAACGAAATCAAGTTAGGGGCACCATAATAAACAGCCGATATCATGACATATTTATGGGTATGTCTGATTCTCGATACCTACCGGTCAAGTTCAAAAGGTCAGGAAAATCCCGCTACTCCATATTACAACTAGAGTAAGATCAGGGTTGTAAAGATTTGACCCCCGCGCCCGTAACCGCTGTAATTCCGTTCGCTCGGACTAGAGCACGCTCCTCTCTCACTAACCGGCCGCCGTCGGGCTGAAGGGCGACCACACGGCGTTGGGCAGCCGGCCGGGAGAGGAAGCCTGGGAAGCCGCTGGTTCCGAGTGCGCCCAGTAGTACATCAGGTTCGGCTGCGGGCGGACACAAACATTAAGGTCACACACTACGGTCCGGAATTATCTGCCGGAACCGGCAATATGTCCAAATTCGTCGTTGGCACCACACATAACGGAAAGCTATGTCGATCTACCGAGCACACGTCTTACTACGTAAAAGCAAATCATTGATTCTTGCTGACCAGACTTTTTCCACTGTCCAAAGCTCTGACGTGTCTTCTCAATGACTCACGGCCAGTGACTCACCCTGAAGACTGGTTCTAGCGGTGCCGAGCTGTCCTCAATCTGATGCAGCACACCGGCGGCCAGCAGCAGCGTCAGAAACTGGGCGGCCATGGCGCGCAGGGTCGGTTCGCCCAGCGAGGCCTGGTCGTCGCCGTAGGACGAGATAAACCAGTTCACCAGCATCTGGCCTGGTGGACAGAGGCGCGCAAAAAATTGATATAATTGCCTATCACACGCACACGTGTGTTGGCAATATTGACGGTATATGTAGAGATGTTACAAATATATATCAAAGAATGCACAAACACATGGGAGACTGGCATGACCAACATGTGTTTACTGCCACATTTGACGAGGGCGCAGAAGGTAAAAAAGCGAAACCCGACTGCCGACATAAGGCTGAGACTGCCGAAACACGATTTTCATGACAAATGTCACTAAAAGACCTTTCAACCATACATTTAATACCGATCAGCACGGTTCCTGTAAAACTCTAGCTCATTTAGGCGCAAAAAGGCAAGGGCAAGGAGTCGTATCAACTCATATCGGCCTGTATTAATTTGAAGAAAATCGCTAAGCCTTGCAAGGATTACGTGTACATAGACATACCTTCGAACTTTTCGTAGTGTTTGAATTCGAGTTTTTCGGGCAGGTAGCGCGGTCGACTGGCCTTCTGTCCGGCGACAGCGTGGGTCAGGCTGGCCACCTTTCGCAGCACGTTTGAGTCGGAGAGGGGGCCAGCGGAGCTTCTCCGTGACCAGCTGTCAGCACCTGGGAACAACAGAGAACACCGTCAGGGATAGCGCACCTAGCATACATGGCATCGCCTGCCAGAACACTTCCGACACAAAACAAAAAGGTGACGTGTGAGCTGTTCAACATTCCGATCAGTAAAATGTAGGAACACAAGCTAAAATCGGATAGTTCAGCATACAAGGCGCTGCAAAGAATTCACAGTCACATAATTAGGGAAATATGGACACAGGAAGACATTCAACCTTAAACTCAATTATTTTTTATTCATCACGTTTGCAGCCGGAAGACTGGCGAAAAAAAGAAACTAGGACTGTCTAGCAGCACACCGACCTAACCAGGTTTCCTTCGGAATAGTTGTCATTGTTTTGCCTGGTTCCCACTTTTGGAGGAGGCGGTGCAGTTTTTTTCGACCGGACGGCGAGGAAAGGAGCGCCAGCTCGGCTCGATTCATCGGCGGGCCGTGTGCGGCCGCGTGATGGGATCGCGGATGTGCCGGTCGGCCCGCCGTCCCGGATATCACGCGATTGTCGCTCGGGGCGCGTGCCGTTAGGCGGCGATACCATCGTGCAGTGAGGATCCGGGCGGCCTCGGCGGCACGGCCGGTCAGCGCCCGCACGACACCGCCGCGTCCCTCCGGCCGGCGCTGAATCACACGGACGGTTCTGGAAGGCACGGGACGGCAACAGCCAGCAGGACCGGGCCAATCGTCGGCGCTCAGTGCTCAGTCCAATGGTGCCTAATTTTGAGCAAAAGAAGAACAGAGGAAGTTGAACTGACTTGAGCAGCTTCGATTTTATCATTCAAGTCGAAACAACAGGAACTACATGTTGACTGCAAATACGTTACGAGCTACACAATTCTTAGCGTTTCAAGTAAGCTGTAAGCCCAAAACAGGTGTACAATTGGCCAATAAAATGTCTGTTTTGGGCCGACGTAAAGAAAGTACTGGTACCTCTGATATTATGAGCATAAGGTCAATACAAAATTTCTATTGTAAATCCAATGTTAGCCGTTTCGTTCCCATGACGCAATGAATTTTGGCAACTCCGCAACACGGCAATACCTAGCCAATGACATCAAAGTGAGGACACTACCGAAAGTTTGACCTCTCTATTCGATAAACTTTTGCAGTTTATTTTGCGGCTTCGTGTTTTCCTATGGCAACTTTCCCCGTTATACAGCTTTGTTTTCGAGGAAAGGCGATGATTTTGGCGGATACTTTTATAAAGTGGGGAAGGGAAGGATGTCATGGCCCTTCTGCCATTCGCTCTCATTCCCATGTATCATTATGGCGAAATGACGATGTAACATGATGTCAATGGATAACTTCACACAATAATAGCTGTTCCAATGTTCAGAAGCTATAAGGATGATCATAAACTTTCGCTACTGTGCTCATATTGACAATAGATTATCCTCCGGTGAAAACAAATTTGACATGAAAATAATCGTAACGGTATTCCCTCAATAGCTGACCCTGCATCACCTCACAAAGAAGCCCAAGGCACTAAAAATCTCAGAACAATGGGGTTCTCCATGTTCTGAGAAGGCCGGCGCTCTCATGATCTGGGCCCGTATACAGCCAGCATCTCCGGCGCGCGCCTGGACGGTAGGCTGGCCCGCATCTCACGGGGGTCGGCGGCACAGTCTACCAGTCCAGTGAGCGGACGCCGCAGCGGCCCGCCCGGCCACGCAGCGGCTGGTATGAGAGCGACGGCCAACACGGATCGCGAACACAGCGAACCAGCGTCCATCATGGTGTTTGACTCTGACCGCGGTTTTGTGTTTTTAGTCCAAATACTGACGGGCAAATTGTCTCACCTTGAGCATCTCTATTCTCTACTGAACTAAACGAGAACTTTCTGAGATAGGTCGAGTTTTCTACACATACAGTGGACGAGGCATGTGCCAGCCAACATTATATTTTAAATCACTTGTAAAGAGGGTCCCTTAATAAAACTGGATTGCAAATGTTTATCACCTAGGTTTGCGTTCTTGCGCATTATTGTGCCAAGCTAGCGTGTGTTTTCCGCGTCAAGGCGGCCCGACAAAGGAATATACGTTTTAATTCACAAAAGTTCGTAATTGCAGACACTTCAACTGAAAAATATTTCATAGCGTCAACTTTTCAAACAACAGAGCCCATTGCACCACTTCCTAGAACCACTTCTAGAACCTATAACAATTATTTTTACTCGCAACAATGGAAGAAAGGCTCAATCCAAGATGGAGTCGAATATTTTTTTCTCGGAGAAACCCATATTTTCCAGCAACAGCACGATAAACATAGTCATTACCTACATGCAGACATAGGCGCGGGAGCCGGGGGGGGGGGGGCAGTGGGGGCAGCTTGCCCCCCAACTCTGGGGCCGTGGGGGCGGTGCCCCCACAGCTTTGAGACGGAATACCACACTTTTTTTTTGCAAATGTTTTCTTTTTTTGTTGAAAAAGCCGAGGGGTGAAAAATAAGTGGCCTAAAACCGGTGAGAAAACTAGATTTGGGGGTACCCTAGGTTAATCTCTATTATGGTGTGCCCCCCCAGTCGGAAAGTAGTTCCCGCGCCCCTGCATGCAGATGTACCTACAATATTATACCACGCAGCAATAACATCATGCAAAAGGTGCAATCTCAAGAAAAAAAGCAATTCTCAAACAGCACGAGTCAAGCCCGTACAAAAGAATGATTTTACCAGCGAGCACACTGGCCTCTGGAACGATCTGATCAAAAAGTATACATCATAAGAAATGGACAATGGACATATGGGCTGAGGGCAATACTCGTACGTCACTGTAATGGGATTGTTTGGCTATATAACAGGGACGCATTCAAATTCTTCGATATTACCAACAATACACATTTTTACCGGGGAAAGTTAATAACAACCGCCATGATACATAAACATTGAATTCACGGGAGCGCCGCGGCTCCTTTTGAGGCCACTTCCGGAGCCATTTTCACGACATTGAACAATCCGTGTCCAACGGAATATCCTGAAGTCGGCAAAAACACTGCCCAGGGCCCAGCCACAGAAGCACGCCACAGTGGAGTAGCCGGACCCCGAACACCTCCCGGACGCGGTATCGCCGCTGTTCCAGACAGCTATCACTCAGGGCATATTTTAACAATTTTTAACTGCGTCCCAAAGTTGAGCAGAGGGCACGTGCTATGACTAAGGGCACAGGGCAAGGAACAGACTAGGGCACTGAGGAGGGCAGAAAGTAGGGCAGGGCAAGTCACACGGCATGGCACAGGACATTTTAGAGGGAAGGATACAGGTCAGGGCACACAGCAGGGCATAGGTCAGGGAACCGGACGGCACAGGGCAGGGACGCAGTGGGTCAAATCAGCAAGGGCTACGTCCCAAGGCGAGGGGGCTGCGTCCCAGAATGGGACGCAGTAAGTGCCTTAAAATATGCCCTGCTATCACTGCTTGCGTGCCGGCCGCGTTCGGAAACATCCTCGTATTCAGCGAGAAAGTTGGCCGCCCGGCTGGCCTGTCATGGCCGCCCTTGGCGCTGGCACGGTGTCATTTCGTGCATCGGACGGTGTATCGCTCCAAGGAAGAATTGGTCCACATACATCGACTCGAACAAAGGACCGGCATGAACAGCTGATAATGTACACTTGGCTGTCAACTTCGACATGCAGTTTGGTATAAAGCACTTTTGCTGGTGACGTGTAATTAACATTATACGTACAATCATTATGTATTACAATGCATGCAGGCATATCCTTATCTATATGAGTTTCACGAAAACGTAATGACTTGACTCAGTCGTGCCCATGTGAATCAAAATGATTAAGAGTGGTGAAAGGTTACCTTGACTTTCTAATCATGGTTCCGATGTTCAGTTTGACTAGAACGAAGCATACATTCCAACACGCTTTAGGTGGTTTTACCAATAAAAACTATGATAGCGCTTGAAATGGACATAAGTGAAAGTAGACTCGTACCTATTGGGCATGTCACCCCAAGGTCAGGGCTGCAACATTAAACGCTGTTCCAGTAACGGACAACACACACCACATTTTTTATTACCTTTGTGAAGCCACGTATCTATAATAATTCCGCATCAAAATACGTTTGCTCTGCAGGCAGCAGCTGGTCTGGCCATGGTGCCCCTTTAGCCTCTTGCAGGGCTGGGTGCGGGTGCCCTTGCGAGGCCATCCAGCCTGAATGCGCTGCCGTAAACAATGCATGATGATGACGCAGTATCTAAAGTTCACATATTTTTTGTACATGTCACATGATAAGCTATAAAGCCAGAGCATATGGTTCGATTGTTCGCACTCCACATGACACGCCATAAGAGCATCGCTCACACGTTGATGTAACCGTAATCAAACCACAAAACGTAAACGGCTAAAAAAAGCAACAACATAAGTGGAGTTGCATAACATAGATACGTAATGTGCATTCCAAAAGCAATGTCACTTTCATAGCACTGAGCATGGAGTTATTTTGTTTCTGGCTTTTTGCTATAAAAATGTTACATAAGCAAATCCTTGCATAAGTCTAGCTTCAAACATGCCAATGTGACCCTACGAACAGCTCTATCGTCTCCAGACGACATTCGCCCGATATTCGAGTGACGGGTCGTTTAATAAAAGAAAAAAGAAAAGACGGGTTACAATCATTTGATAACTTTATTGTCATCGGCTTACTCCATTGGAGGTTCCGTCACCTCACACAGCGGTATATTCATAAATATACAATGTTAACGTGCGTAACAGGATTGGCACAAACAGGTCTCAGGCGACCGACAAAATCGGCGCCCAATTCTCTGGAAGAATGAGAGAGCGATCTTTTGGAAGTTGCTGGCCCAGTGTGTCTAGGGTGCCGGAGTGGCGGCTGGCCTCGGTGTCGGCTTCAGGTGTGCGGAGAAGTCGAGCGGGGCCAGGCCTTTGAGGGAGAGCTGCGCGATGACGGACGGCGGCGCTCGGCTGCCCGGAGGGAGGTGGTGCAGGGAGGGACCGCGCCGGACCGCACCCGGCCGGCGCAGGGGCGGCGGCG